AATGGCATATTATTCAAAACTATTATTCGGAAATTTCAAGATTCGCACAATCCTACTTCCCTGAAAAGGTACAGAGACGTAACTTGAGCACTTATTTTTTTGTTTAGATATAGATAGCGTTCCACGTTTTCGGTTTGTTTTTATTTTTTCAAAATTCGGCATACGTTTTTCGGATTCAAAATTCAATTTTCGTTGGTTTTTTTTCGGTGTATATTTATTCCCAAAAAAGTTTACCATTTTTTTAGGTGAATATTAAAAAAAACACCATGTCCATCAGACACCAGATCGGATGATCGTTGTAGCTGTGATATTTGTGATCACTCAAAGTATAACGGCACATGTACATACGTGGTCTTCGCTACAACTTCCGTCAGGACACAGCTCAAAATTGCGGAATTCGCGGGCATAATCTCCAGCGCGCTTCTTTTTCGTTCCCATTCTGACGACTAGTGATGGACCGAATCTGCCGAACTTCAGATTCGGCAAAGTTCGGCAAATGCCGAACTTTTGCAGGAAAGTTCGGCAAAGATTCGGCAAATGTCTGCGCACGTGCGAGAACGCGATGAAGCCTTGGATTGCAAATGGACGCCGTGCAGTCGTGCGGTTACCATCGTGCAGTGCAGTACAACCAGCGGTTATGGCGCGGTGTGGGGTAGGTAACACGGTAACTGTGCGTTTGTGAGGGAGTGTGGTTCTCGTGTCAATATTTTCTGCCTCGAGAACAGAAGATCGACCAGTAATTTACACAGTCCACTGCGCAAGTGACAAATGATGTGGTGCATTCTGAAACATTGAGACATTGGCTGACAATTACTTTAAAGCACTCCTCGCAATTATAACAATTCTGTTTTCGGCTCCGGAGTAGTGTGTTCCAAAACAGAATAATATTACTTTTCTAATTAGGGTTATTTCGCGATTTTCATGTACCTGCATAAAACTAAACACAGAACTATAATGCTCGACGTTGCACATCCGACATTCACTGTCCCTATCTTCCGAAACGTTCGTGTGTGTCCTAACACCAGAAACGGGCATTTTAAAGGTTAAAAACGAGACGTTGTGAATATGGGACGCACACTTTCATGCAAAGCTGACGTCAAGTGACTCAAATCAAAGAACATGCATATTTACAATATTATTATTCTCTCTTCTGGTGAAGGCTCAACAACCGTTGCATTCGTTTTCGCGCACAAAATGGTGACTCCCAGAGAAAGCAAGAATGCAGCGTTATTGCCTTCATTTTAGCAATGTACACACACATGCAGGCTTGCGCTGATGACGCCTCAAAACCGAAACTCTCGTAGCGTGATTCGTGACTGCGCCACGCTCGCTTCTATCCAACCTCGTTGTCACGCCACTTCTGCAAAGAGTCACTAAAATTGCCAGTAAACACAAAAACGACACCGATACAATTACTTGTAGAATATCACCTTATTTAGTAAACATGTTACATTTAAGTTAAGAAAAAAAGAAACTTAAAACTTTTTTTTTCGCCAGAAAAAAACGAAATATCAACGAGTCTGGTAACAATGTATTTTTGCCGAATCTTTGCCGAGTCTTTAGAAAAGTTCGGCAAAAGTTCGGCTTTGCCGAATCCCAAGATTCGGCACCGAACTTTCGATTCGGCAAAAGTTCGGCCCATCACTACTGACGACGTTACCGTCTGAAGTGATGACCGTACAAAAACCAGCGGAATGGCAAAAACAAAAATCCATTGTATTTATGTTTTTAACCAGAGGGAACTTTGAGAGAGGGTGTTTAGAAAGGTATTAACGGCTTTCCTCGATCTCCTCTGAAGTGCATGAAGCGAAAAACCTTATACTAGCCCATGTCCCGCGAAGGCCAATCCAAGACCTCTATTGTTCCATGTTGAACCTTGGAAGAGGGCAATTACGAAGGCGTCACACAATGTCGAACCTTGCAAAGCCCCCTCTCTCTCTCCCCCCCTCCCCCACCCAGACCCACCTCGACGCGACACTAAAAAACTTAACTTTTTCGGTTAAAACCGAATTTTAGAAAACGGATTAGACGTATTTTAATCGGATTTTATGGGTTTAAACTGAAAACGCCGAACCTACAAACTGACCTTTTTCGGTTAAAACCGAATTTCCGAAAATGGATTCGGCGTACTTTTATCGGTTTTAACCGAAAACTCCGAACCCTAGATATAGAGCTTGACTCATCAGCTCCCCAGAAACATCAATCATTCATTGTTAAATGTCAGAAAACTAATTTTAAAATGAATAAAACAATCGCCAGATCGCACCTGGTAGACGGTGGCAAAGCTTCATTGGAAAGTCATGACGTTCTCGGTCTCCCGACTACCAGCGCCACCCTCGGAGGTACGGTTCACTTGGAGAAGCAGCCCAGGCTTGAACGCAATCGCAAAGCTTTGGCAGAGAAAGCCAATGTAGAGTTGGCCACGTTAGGGTGCATCAATGCCCTTCTGTTTAGGGTGATGACATCCTTTGTGGTACCCGATACCGAAAGCACACGATCGCAGCAAACATACAAAGAAATCATCGAAAACAAAATGTCGCCGAAGCACAGACAATGCCAAGAGCGCATGCAAGCAGACGCTTTTTCACGCACCTCAGAACAAAAAAGAAAAATAAGCGTTCGGAACGGAACAAAATGGTCAAATGTCACCACCCTAAGCAATGCGCACATAAAGGCACCCAGGCCATGTTGGATCTGTAGCTTCTGACGACAACAAAGCAGATGATTCAAACAAGTGGTGTTGTAGGCCGAATCGCTTGTCAGTCATCACCGATGTGAGTGATTTCACGGTGTCTTCGTCACCGCTGATGCCTTGCTCGTCTTCTATACTCCCAATTTCCATCGCTCTCGTGGTGATCAGTCATTGCGCAAGTAACTACGGACAATCCCACCCGCGAACGCAAGTGATTGCCGAGGCCGCTGGAATGACTGACTGTACAGCACCCGACTACTTCAACAGGTGAGGTTGCAACGCGTTGATGCCACCAGGTGGCCAAGCTGATAATCATGTTAGCCTTGGCTGTGAACAGACCGGCAACGTCATGAGCATGGCAGATATCCCAAGAAGCATTGCGCTCCTTGCTGTCAGATTTCAAAGCGAGATTTCAAAGAGAAGCAGAATCGGGCATTTGGAACAAAAAATAGAGCCATCTGATAAGAATACAAGTAAGCAATTATCATTTACGGATATCAGCGCCTCCTCTATGAGGTAATGCCAGTCAGATCCCGCTCTTGCCCAGGGTGGCCAGCCGTGCTCATTGCCCTGCGTGAATCCAAGCTGCGACACCAGGCGGCACGCCAATCCCATCCCCAACAAGCCTTTCGCGCAGCTAGAGCGATGTGTACATGACAGCTTTGTCCGGAATAAAACATCAGATGTAAGTAACTTAAGGTGCAAAATGGGATTAAAAGGCAAGTGAATATGATGAGCTGGGAAGTAAATTAAGAAAGCTCTGATCGAAATTGTTTTGGCGATGTTGTTTAAGCTGCACTCGGTGGCAGCATTCTGAAATTAACCGCCCTAACACGGTGGCTTGACTTCATTCACAGTTGCCTAAATAAAAAAAACAGTTCACTACTTGCAATCAAAATTCTGAGAAATGATTATTTACAACAATTTAGGTGAGTTTGACGAAATTCCTTGACAAGGGCTTTGCGCCGTATAGTTTTGCAACAGTGTTTTTGCCCGTCATGTCAGCTGCGTAGTTTGTGAGAAGGGGCTCCACAAACTTCATGCGCTGCTGTCCCTTCTTCCCGTCGTGGGGGAGAGCAGAGAGCTTCTAACGTGGAGCATCTGGGTGGCAGGTCCCGGGGCTCCAGGGCCAGCCAGAGTATTTGTTTAGTGTCTTGCCCAGATGGTCTGGGGGCTTGACTTCCCTTCTCCCATGAAAATAATGCTGCTCTGAAACCGACCGATTTGAGACCTGTACGTGTATATTGAGTGATTTAATTATTATTATTTATTGGACCACATAGGAAGGGGATGGCTAAAGCCGTGGTGTGGGATTAGGGTTTGAGGAGGGGGATAGAAGGTATCTGCGAGGAGTTGTGCACGCTTGACAATCGCTCTGGGGTGCAGACGGCATCTTGGCGGTGGTTCTGCTTCTCAATCTTCCTGCCAATATGAGAATCTGCCGGTCAAGTACTGGGAGTCACCTCACACTTCTCTCGCAAGGCCACTCTCACTACCATATTGGGCTAGCTTGTTTGCTTTTCAATGATGTTAGAAATCTTGGCAGACTTGCTAGTACAGCGTCTCAGCTGAGACTGGGAGAAAGAAAGCACTGCAAAGGCTGGGGCGTGTGAGCGTTTTGAGACGCGATTTGAGCCCCTGCTCAGCTCGTGCGCTCACTTTGGCAGTGCTTTCCTTCCCCCAGTCTCAGCTGAGACGCAGTTTTTAGCAAGCCGCCCCCGGTGTCTCCGCTGTAGATTGTCTATTTGGCCAGTGTAGTACGGCTGCGATCATTTGTTTTATCATAACTGGGAAACACTTTAAATTTAAATGAGACTAAGACTACAGCACAAGTTTCAAGATGCGCTTTAATGCACCTATATGTGCTGCACCCAGCCGCAGGCACCCTTAGTGTTTCGCGAGTGGTATACAACTAGTATTTTTAATCCTTATTTAAATATCCACCCATCCAAGACCATGCTCTTTTATTGATTTTCGTCTAAACAAACAATGATCTCACCCCGCGGCTCCGCACGGCCAGCTGGGCCTGCACGGCGCTGACGGCGTCGACGGAGAGCAGAGAGCAGTAAGATACGGGTGCTCCTAGCGGCAAGGCGCATCGAGCGAGAGAGGAGGTTAGAAAAGGGCATGAACATGCTCTTCGGACTCTCTTGCCAGGCATTACCCCATAGAGGTGCTGACGGATATTATGGATCACATTAAACCTATTACGAAATTTTTTTGTGAATATTTTAAGTTTCGATTTTTATAGCGGGCTCGACTGCCCAGCAGCCCTAGGTGGGCCGACGTTCCAGTGACTTGATCCTACCTGGGATAGCTGACCAGCAACTGACCGGTGCCTGCCGTACCAAGTTCATGGCCAGGCCCCGCCCTCAGGTATGACAGCAGCTTCTGCCGGGGTCCCTCAGGGATGCCCATCTCCTCCAGCTCTCCATCTGAGCACAGGTGCTGGGCAGGGCAAAGTTGGTGCAATGTTCAGTCGTGCTGTGGCATTCTGTGGCCCTAGCGGCATTAGCAGGCGTTACTTTCGTCACGGTAAACTATTCACTTTGCTCCAGGAATGGTAAGTGACAAGTCACATCTCCTCCTAACTCCAACAAAAAATGCTGGCCGCACCGGCCCCACTCAGTTCACACCCGTAATGATGGCAATGAGGGAAAAAAGCACACATCTCAGGTTTCTTCACGCTTTGCAAGTTCTCTCCAATTCTTTTGCGTGAGCGCAGAATTCTTTCAAGTTCCTTGTGAACTTTGATAAGCCTCAAGTTCAAATTTGTTGTGCCTATATATACGGTAGGATTGAACCTTTTGAGAGGGAAGGAGACCACTTCCTTTAGTTTTCTGAGCGTCTGCAAGCCTTCCAGTTGGTAGACAATGTCACCAATGCCGAGAAGCCAGTCATCTCCTGTAGTTGCTGCGGGCCAAAGACTTATTTCCTCAGTCAAGACTACGTCAAGCCCGCCAATCCTTAAGGTAAGATATTGAACTACAAGTTCTTACTATTCTTTGGAGCCACTACCGCCCAAGGTCGTCTGACAGTCAGCGCTTTTCTTCTCAGCTCCCATGTTCTTGTGGGAGGCGACTCGGTGAGCAACCTCGTTGCAGTATTTCAAGTGTCCCAACTTCGGAATGGAGCTCAGAAATGTGCTGAGAGGCAATGTAGTCTGCAGAATTAATGGCATAACAATAAAGATCAGCCTGTTGGAAAAACTGGACCTCTGATTTGAGGATTTCATCAAACTGCCATGGTCATAAAAGTCGCGAAGATGAATGCTGGCGAGATTTGCTGGGCCAACTCTACAAGCGCTGCTTTCACAGCTCGCCGAGTCACAACACCTACGGGGATGTCATCTGGTACCGCAGCGGAAAAGGACGCCTTGTGTTCCATGTAAACATTTTACATGTAAACATGTTTACATGTAAGCATGTAAACAGTGCATGTGACTAGTACTCCCAAAAGTGGGGATTCCTGTTGAAAGTGTGCAATTAACAACACGGCGTGCAGAACTCGGGGAATCTGGGTTCAATCCCCACCCCTGCCCGTTTCTATCTGAAGGAGCATCGTTGCGTGGTCGTGTATCACTACTGCGTGGTGCACGTTAAATACCTCAGGCTAGCGGTTGTACTGCACTAGCTAAATTTCTCATCTACAGCTGAGACACCAGACACCCAATGGGGCTGGCTAACTTCCAGCTGTATAAACATATACACAACACCTTTACTTTATTAAACAGAGGGACTGCCCTCCCTGTTCTTTCACAAAGTCGTACAAGAACAGTTGTAAACTAGGGTTTTCGGCCGAGTATACCACAGCATCATCGTCCAATGCTTTTGATATATACGGCAAGTCGACAGAGTCTTGCCATCGTCATCTTTCCCCATCAATGTCCCAAAAAAGGTGGGGTGGGCAACATCTTAATATCCAAGTAAAAAATGTTTAAAAAAATCTAGACTCACTGACTGCTTGCATCGATCACAGCTAGACAAGAGATACACAAAACTGAAAGGAAATTAAAGAAGAAGTTGTCCGTAAGCTCTGAACAGAGCAGCACTGGGAGAGCATGACTCATTCAGCAGGATGTTGACTTAATGAATTGGTTTCTTTTTAGAACCAACAATACTGCTGTCACATTTGCAGAAGAGACCCTCGCAAACTGCGCTATTTAAATGGAGGCAGCAGGGGCACTGGAGCGAGAGGAAAGGTGATAGGAGAGCCGTTACCAACCTGTTGCGACTGCTGATGTGGTTCGGGAATGCTTTGTCAATCTTTTTCAACAGTCGAATGCGACTGAAGTCAAGATTGTAAAGAGGTTTTAGAGGTGCGCCACTACACTAACGATCTTGAAATCTTGAAAACAGCCTTTCAATTCTAAAAAAAACAAAAGCAGAAAGAAAAAAAAAAGGTCGCAAAAACCAAAAGCATACAGGTGAGCTGGTTAGGAAACATCACAATCTAAACCCTGAGACATATAAACTGACAGACAAGACGACCCAAAATGTTGCCTGTTTGTGTTAATTGCGTTACATCCTACTGTCACTGAGTGTATGAGAGGGGCGTTTCTCTCGTGCTCTAGCTGTGCGTGCATGTTCGAGGCTCACAAGATGCCCAAGTGTTGTCCAAGGTAGGAAGCTCGTACTGGAGGCGGGACAACTCGTCCTCCTCCCCATCGTTCTCATCACATCAGCGACTCTGGTCGCACACTGGCAGTTAGCTCTAATGTGTTTCATTTCCATTTAGGGCATTAGCAAAGACAAACGCTCACCCGTGGAGCTGCAGGTTGTGCATTTCGTACATTTATGGCTCCTCGCTTTACCGGTTTCTTGAAGCGCAAAATAGGTGTAAAGAGAAGTCCACGTCCAGGGACATCAAAACATGTGCATGCGCATTGAGTACTGTACTAAACGCAGTTGCGTCATTACTGTAGCTGCATAAACATTGCACCGAAAATTTAGCAGCTAAGACAACAGCTATCCAACCAGCTTATGCTATAAGTAGCATGACCTTGACAAGCCATATGGAAAAAAAGCATCACTATTTATCGTGAAGTCCAGATATAACGAGTTCCAGGGAACAGTTTTCCAATTCCCGTCGACTTCGTTATGATCATGTTCGACTCTATTTGCTTCCTTTACGCAAAGCCCTAAGGGTGCTATGAATGAAATGAAACGAATGATCAAATTTGGAGTTTGAGATCGAGGATGTGCCTGCCCTCACCCGATGGGCGATGGGGGAGGCATGCCCAAAGCACACCCAGCAAGCCCCATTTCTTTTTGGTTTGGCTCCCTTATTTAGTGTTTGTTATTTTTATTCGCAATGATACCTCGAAAAAATGTGAAATGGTGTATGTTCTATGAAACCTCGAGCACCGATGGTCGGATCAACCTCGAATGTTCAATTTTGCACCAACTGAGTGTGTAATTCTGTTGAAGAGTCACTATATTGATTGAAATTTAGTTTTTGGGGGTTGCTTTATTTTTGTCTTTGATTACCTTTCCTTCATCTTTATTTTGCGCCGTTGTACCGAAGGAAAACACGCCTCTGTCGGACCTTTTTCTCTGCCTTCTCCGTGAATGACATTGATGAAACAAAGAAAGAGAGTGAGGGCATTGCTGCAGGCTGATCCCCGCTCACCAGAGAGTCCACCCCGCGCTCCACCAAGACCGGCAGGTAAGCCTCCAGCTTGAGGGACCTGAGCATGCTCGAGAGGTCAGTCTTCGGCTGGCAGCCAGCCAGGTGGCCCACCCCGCAATCCCCTTGGTGCAGCAAGATATCGAACAGGATCAGGGACCCTGAAACAAGTCTCTGCTGCAGCTGCCCATCCAACATGTAGTTTTCTCTACACGTGCAACAGAAAACAGCCCAATGACCATAAATGATTATATTCACCCATATGAGAGATGCTAAAGGGATGACGACCAAATGTTTCATTCTTTTTAAAGCTACCCGTAAAGTGTCAATGCTCATACCTTGAATACTCGTAGCAGAATCGAATAAAACCCGAGGCTTTCTCGACTTGTGCAATACATTGTTTTTCCTTCATCTCAGTTTTGCAGACTGTTTATATGTAATTTGTTTGTCAGATATTTGCAAGTGGTAGAATGATGAAATTTGTATCAATTATCCTTAAAAGGGAAGCTAGAGTGAATTTTAGCTCATCGTTTTAAGGCACGAACTCGACCTGTACGAGCCCTAAGCATCTTAGAAAATCCACAATTATACAAATATGCGTGGCCTTTCATCCTATTAAAAATGTGACCGAACATTACAGTACACCCCTTTTCCGAGATGAGTGCCAGAAAAAGAGGCATGTTGCTATGTCTGGTGGTGTTTTAAAAGGAAAAAAAGGCCACACATCATTGTAACTCAGGGATTTCTAGGATACTTAACGCACACACATCAAGTTTGCACTATAAAAGCAATATCCACTTTACTGCCTATAGATGTCCAAAGGCAATGCCGTAATTTTTGCTAACTTCCATAAAGAAAAATGATTAGTGTAGTGCTAACTTTCAAGTCAAGACGAGTGCTGTGGCAATAGGAATCGCACCATGAGGAATGTGAAATTCCATTCACCTGCATAGATTTTGGGGTTAGGCTCGATTGGTAGTCGTAATCCTATTCTGAATTGTTCTAGATACTTTGTTTTATTACGCATGCAGTCGCGATTCATGCAAACATTGTCGTCAGGAGGGTATGGGAGATGAGGGGGCCTTCTTGTGAATGTGAAGCCTGAGTGATGCTTATTAGTCGGTTTTATAATGTTTACACAGCATCACGAAAACATTAATAGACCTTTCCGGAAAATTCAGGCAACCAAAATCGCTAACTAGGAATAATGCGATACTACCAAATGATTTACAGCGCAGTCTAAGTTTCACGATCGGCAATGATCTGCACACCGCTCAGAGTGAAAAAATGACCGCATCTCCACGTGATGAATGATGTTGGTTGGGGCGAAGCTCTGGTGGTGCTGATGATACTGATTTTGTTCATAGATGGTGCTGATGGTGGTGTTCTTTTTTTTTATTGCTCATAGGTAGTGCTAAGTTCCGGGTTGCGTTGGTATGGAATGTGTGGTATGGAACGTGGTTATATACGCATTTGAGCATTTGACCGCAGCGCCCTCTCGTATATAAACTTTGAGCCAATGCATGCAAAGTTTAACGCGATTATATACGCCTTTGACCGCAGCGCCCTCTCCTGTATAGATGTTGAGCGGCTACAGCAACGTTTCATCCATGACATCCCCAGCTCTGGTGTTACTGCCACATCTCAGAGCCCCCTACTCGTCCCGCAGTCATGGCCGAGTGGTTAAGGCGATGGACTAGAAATCCATTGGGGTCTCCCCGCACAGGTTTGAATCCTGTCGACTGCGCAAACATTTTGTCTTTTTTTAAGAAGACAGATGGGATGGCAATCGATGTGAGCACGGACGCCGGACAAAGCTAGTCCCTAAGGAGCTTTGCCCCTAAAAAATGCAGCTGTGTTTTGTGATCAAACCGTCATGTGCTGAATTGCATTTTATGTGGAATGCAGCGGATGGTGATGCCCAGTTTCTGTCTCTAGCGAACGCCGCAGCGTCTTCTCAGAGCATTGTCACATCCTCCCATTCAACCGCTTCTCTTTTTCCACCATGAAACACGTACACACGGCATGAGGGTGACGCGCCAGTTAAGGTTGGGGGCAAGGGAGTGTCGTAACGTGCCGACACACAACACAGACAAAGACGTTTTCTCGCAGTGCAGGTGTTTGGCAGCTAGTCAACTCTTCCCACTGAGCGACACAACACACGAGACGCGCTCTACCAATCTCGGTTAGCTTCAGTAAGAATGCAATCCTGCATTAAGAATGTCCATGCTGAGGGGGCCGTTACCGAGGCTGTGGCCGGCGAGGGCCACCGTGCCGGCAAAGCTAGGGTTGCGATCCAGGAAGAGGCGGTAGAGGCGATTCATGCGCTGGCCCACTGCATCCACGATGGTTTGGCAGTAGACGGGGCTGGTGTAGAGCAGCACGTCGAGCAGCGTGTCGTTGGCCCACCGGCGCAGCTTGGGGATGCTGTCGAGGCTGACGCGGCCCAGGGCTGCATCCACGCCAGCCGTGTGCAGGCTCCAGTGCCACGACACGGGCAGCAGCTCCAGTCGGCCCGGGGCACTTTTGAAGTGGCTCGACAGCAGGCCCAGGGCCAGCTGCCTCATGTCCTCCACTGGGATGGGAGCCCAGACCCTCAGTGCCCAGACCCTCATTCCACAGACCCTAACTGCCCAAACCGTCAGTGCCCAGACCAAAAGTTGGACCAAGACCAGCCTAACCCAGTTTAAAAGTAACCCCGAATCTAATAGGAGACGTAAAAGTTCTGGAAATTTTCGATCGTCAAAAAAGAAAACTGTCTTTTTCCAATTTTTTACACAAAAATTAAGGATTCTGGGAAGGTTAAATGGTCGGTGCCCTTCGACATATTTATTTTTGTGAATTTCCCCAACTTGAAAAATATTGAGAAAATTGATCTCATGGATATATCTCCCCATGGTAATGGATACACGTTATGTATCCATTACCCCTCCAAAATCCAAAATTAAGTGCCCACAAAATATTTTTGAAATTCACACTCTACAGAATTGGAGAAATATTGAGTCCAGAAAAATAAAGCAATTTACAGCAATTGGGAAGGTAGGTGTACAATCTCTAGCACACCTCTGCGATGCCTTCTGGATATGTTTTACAGGACAATACATGGTTCGTAAAATGTGCAATATAAGGAAACCCTTGTCGTACTTTGCACCACTTGAAAACAGCTTGCTTTTTACCTGTAGCCAACAATTCACACGTTCGACTGCTAATGAATCATTTTATTAAAGTTCCTAGAAGACAACCTTCTGATCTGACAAAATATGTAGGTGTGATTTGAAAACTACAATAACAATTGTTGGCTGTTATTTCAGTGTCTTTTCAAAGCTGAACCAAAAGTGAAGCTGCAATAAGGTGAGACTATGTTAGAAACAAATGTGCCTGAAAATTTCAAAGGTTCCTTCTCCGTGTCGGAACCACTAAAGAATGATTAAAAAACTTCCTTTTTCCAAAATTTCCCGGGTTTCCTTTTTCCGGCATTTATATCTCTTAGGTTCAGTTCAGTAGACCATTTGCAAAATCTCCGAAGCATCAAGGAGCATATGGAGTTTGTAATTACCTGTGCTGACATCTGCAGCAGTATGCTTTAGAAGCAAAAATGTAAAAAGAAATTTCTCTTTGCACATACACTCACTGCCCTTACTCTGGTCATTTATTTCTTACCTTTTCTACACACAAGGAGACTGCATTTTTTCAAGGAGCAAAATTCTCATACTCCCTAAGCTTGGGAATTTTGAAGGTCTATTGGCTTGAATTTTGGAAAAGGACTATTGGCTTTCCAGTTGGAACCAACTAGCATAACTGTTTTTAGCAAAATAGTAATTAAATCAAATAGTCTCTTCAACTGTAGTCGAATAACACAACTATTTGTGTTTTTAGCCTCCCAATTGCAAAATATCTATCGGGTCCAATTGTTTTCCAGCTGAAACTATTTGTGGTTTTGGAGCCCCAATTTTAAAAATCCTATTGAATCCAATTGTGTTTTGTATGAGGACTATTTGTGGTCTTCCGTGTTCCAGCGTAATTTTTCGAGCAAAACCAATAGGCAACACCTGTTCAGGTTTGCTTCGGAACAGGCGAGCTTGTAAATGATTGTAACCATGATGCTAAAGAAAATGTCCGGTCAGTTCCTTAATAAGTTCTAAGAGGAAAAGAAAGCACAACTGAAAAGCATTGTGTAACCCACAACGAGGCTCACATCTCCACCCGAAGTGCACCTTGTGCAGATTAAAGGTATTCGCTTCCTTTCCCCGGCACCGCGCACTCGAAATCGGCATCCAACAAGCCGGGGCGCACTCGCCATAAAGGACGCCAAGCCTGGCCGTGCGACGGGGCCATCATTCGCTGCCTTCCCGTCGCTGCCTCGCCAATCCCCCAGACTACGGTGAATGCGTCTCCGACTGATGGGTTTACCGCATCCTCCAAAGTGTCACGCCGTTACCCGCCGCAACCCTGGCAGTGGCAGAGCAGTGGAGACGGGTGTGGCAGTTCAACTGCAGGTCGCTTTCCCCTCTCTCCACATTGGCGGTCAGGAGCCTTTCGCATTTGCTCGTGCTTTTTCCCCAAACCCCTACGAACCAACCGCCAGGACTGCGACATTCGATGGCACAACACGCCGACCCCCTGCGACGTCGTTTACTGCCACTTTCGATGTGCGGGCGCTATTACGGTGCCTGGAAAGTGTCTTCGGCCGGCGCGTGTCCTGCCCATGCATCAAAAGGGGTTCCGGCAATAAATGACATCGCGGGAGGCGGCGTGTCACGTCGTCAGATGTCGAGATCCTGGCGGCTGGTTGAAGCTACACGGACAAGAGAGGCGAGCGGACCCAAGGGTCGCCATTGTCGCAACGTCTCAACTCCTGGCTGCCGAAGCTTCCACCAATTGTTCGGCTGCAGAGCGACTCGCGGGAGAACGGCCATCTGCTGCTGCCGGGCGACACTTCTGAGGATGTGGTAGATGCACCAGTTGGAGACGCATTTCAGGCCATCTGGAAGACCGGGCGTGTGCACCAGAGGGGGCAAGGTGCCGCCGCTTCCAATGCACCCTCCTCAGAATTTACGGTGCTCCGTGGGGGCCGCCATGTTAAAACTTGATACCAGTGTTGCTGCATCTGTAGGTCGTCTTTAAGTTAGAGCTGACGGAGAAAATCTGGCCACGGCGCAACGCCGATGTACGCTGGAAGCTAGAGCCGGTTTGCTTTCGTTGTTTTTGTTTGGTCGGAGAAAATCTAGCAACAACGCACGTTCAAGTGGCGCCGGTATTGCTTCGGCGCTTCGGTTTGACCACGTTTGACGCGGTTTGCCAGCACATGAATCGAAGACGTGACCGGAGAAGTGCCCCTGTGATGGTCCCGGAAGACGGAAAGTATCATTCGTAATCGTCGTGCGTGCTTTGAAAGCGAAGGGAGTCACAGGGTCCACGAGTTCGCAACCACAAGCCACGGTTCACGACAGCGCTTCGTTGACTTCGGCGATCTTGTTCTGTTTGGTGCATAGAGATAGGTTTGGTGCAACACGGTGATGCTACAAAGAGTTGAAACGTTCGTGGTGTGTGGTGGGGTGCTTGGAGGTAGAAGGCCATACTAACACGAAGCGCAAATTGGTTATTGTGGCGTTGAAATTCAACGGGTTCAGTTCCGTCGTCGTTAGCTGATCCGGTCCAGCTGGTCCGGGAGGACGCAGCGAGCGCTTTTAAAAGTAAATCTTCCTTCGTTCCGTTTCAAAATGTGGAAGATTCTCGACGCATACCGTGAGTAAAAAGCTGCGGGCATTTTCAACAAAATTACGTCGTTTTAATTGAACAGTGGACTACGGATTTTTGACCTAGACCTTCTGTTTTTATGCTTCGTGTTGTTGGCGTTTGCACAGCGACGCACACCGCCTGAGTAGGTGATTCGGTCCTGCAAACGACCGGTCATACAGAATTTCAGGGAAACATAAGTCATCACTGATATTTTCTTGTAAATCTCGTGTGAATTTGTTGCGCTCGTCATGCGGTGTGAATAAATTAGGGCAACGTTTCCTACCTGCCTACGGATGCATGAACTGAGACCATTTTTTACGTAGTGAACATGGTGTTTTTTCTTTATTTTGGAAAGAGGTGTTGGTGAATTTATTATGGTACAATCACTTGAGAGTTCAGAAATTGGAGAGAGCGAGCATGCTTTCCCAACTTTGTCACTTTTCTCTCTGGCATTGCCCCTAGTTTCAAGTTGAAGTTCCACTAGACATACCTACTAGCAGGTACAAACTGCTCTAAAGCAGGTAAAAGACTGGTAAGTCGGGGCAATGCGGACTCCGTGTTTCGCGCAAACGATTTTGTTATGCCCGTCGGTTCCGTCTCTCCAGCAAAACGAATAAGATGATTTACAAAGGCGCAATCATAAGCCAATATTTACGATAACAGTGCATTTGATTCGGTGGTACGTGTAGTTGTATTTTATTCTGCTTTCTGCAACAGCGTGTCATGACGAAGAGCTGGAACGTTCGCGGTTTGTGCTGGGCTACCGGTTGACCCAGGGGCGAATCCAGAACACCGTTTTTTTTTGTTTTTTTTTTGGGGGGGGGCCAGGGGGGGAGGGAAATCTAAACTCTAAAGCAAGATAAACAGGACTCCGGTTGCGCCTTTTGTTTTAACTGCCGCAGAACCACACTGCGCCGACGGCCCCTAGATGTACGCCGCTGCGCCGACTTTTGGTTCTAACTTCTAAGCCGTGCTTTGAAACCGCCGCCGCGGACTTCAGTCTCTGTTGAAGCCACGGAGTGGTTCTCCAAGTGTATGCGCCTGCTAGGGTGCGGCCTACCCTATTTCGAACCCTCGTCCTTGAGTACCGAGCTTCCTACCACCTGGCAGGACGGGAGTTGGTTTTATTTCGGAGGATCCACCCATGTCAAATCGCCCTCCAAGAAGTGGGCAGGGGGGGGGGTCGACTGTTTGGAGGGTAGGCGGCCGCCCCCGTCGCCTCCCGCCTCCCCCTTGGGTCTGCCCTTGGATTAACAGAAGCCCGCGTCGCCCGCATCATGAGTGAACTTGGGCTGTTGTAGTGGCTCTAGGCTGTTGCTGCTCAAGCCTTTCATCCGCGGCTTGCCGCCAGCTGATCTGGCTGCTCGACGGTGAGGAAGCGGCGAAAGTGACCTCTGAAGCAAATCTAAATCCTTGTTCATCCAGTTATCCGGTGTCAAAGTGTGGAAGGCGTCCAAAGTGTACTGAGGGCGGGAACTACGAGCGTTTTTCCTTGCTTTCGTAACCGAAACCAGAACAGCGAGATAACTGCCTTGCATACTCCAAAATGATGGAAGCAATAAGTTGCCAAAACCTGTTTTTAGGGTTTCAAGCCGAGTAAGCAAGACACATATAATTAAACTTACATTCTCTTTCCAAAACGAAAAAGTAAAACTTAGTCCGCCGTATATGGCAGCAACTTCTCCACTGCAAAACCTATGCTGGCAACGTGAGCGGTTTCAATATGGCAGCCTCCGCTTTGCGCCGCGTTCCCTTTCCCTCCTTCCTCCGCCTGGGTGCACGACGCCCTCCTTAGTGGATCCCCGCCTCAAGTGGCAAACACACGGATACTCGATGAGAGCCGCCGCAAACCAGCAGATGCATCCGACTTGGCGTCACCGCATGCTGACGTTGCGCTTGTTGCAAGACACTGCAAGACACATGGGCTGCACTGCCGACGCAGGGACTCCGCGTGGATCCACGAGCGACGAAGTTAAGGGCAGACAATGGTGCGAGCCTTCTGGGTGGCACTGTTACGAGACCCCGCCCAAACTCACGGCACTCCTCGACGGTGCGCAGCCGCAGGTCGCAGGCCGAGCCCACCCCGTGCACGACGAAGACCACATGGTCCACCTGTGGCGGCTCCCCCTCCTCCGGGCAGGCGACACCGTCCAGGCCCCGCTTGACCGCCCGGGGCCGTGCCTCCTGGGCACTGCCCCAGTCCTCCGCGTCGCCCCACGAGGGCAGCTGAACCATGACTGTCGCGCTGTGCATCACCACCGTCTGCCGGCCGGGCAGCTCCAGCCGTTCGTGCCATTTGCCCGTCTCCACCGCCCGTCCATAGTGCTCCTGGAGTGCAAGGGACGCTCGTCTGCTTCGCCCAAATCACTCCCAACTCACAATCTCTTTCGTGACGCTGCGTTAAAATCAATTCAAGTTAATTTTGTTACATCCTTGTCTTAAGAGCCACACTGTTAAGGGGCACGTTGGTCTTTGGGTTTCTCTCCCTACTTTCTGACTAAACCTAATGAAGCTACGCAAGCTTGTTCAGTTTTTTTCTGCTGATTTCAAATATCTGGTCATTTCGTTTCCATCGGTAGATTAGTCCCCGAGATAATAAAAACACTCCTGCCTTTTGTTTCAGGAACAATAGGGAATAAGCTGCTAAACAAAAGATTATGTTTAACACGTGACTAGATGTTACGAAGTATAAAAAATACAATGCTGGAAGTACTTTTGAGATTGAACCATTATTAGTGATTTTGTGACACATTGCAGTTCATTACTTAATGTGTGGCTACCAAGTAATAAAACAATGGATCGGTCGAAACATTTCCTAGACCTATAGTAAAGAGTTGACTCCCAACATTGTATGCTTCACACATTTAGCTACATTTTGCAAAAAAGTTATATCTATACCTGCCCTAGATGCCGAAGTATCCCTCCTGCAAATTTTCAAAAAGTCAAACATTTGTGTTTTGGGAAAGAGCAGCTTTAGCATCAAATTCAATTCAATTTCAGCCTGCATAGATATTACAAACTGACAATAAAACTCAAATATTGAACTACAAAATCAGAAAATTGCGAGATAAGAAGAAAACTGGCTGTACATAGCAAAACCACAATTTCCAAAAAATGTATTTTTAGGAATTGGAACGAAGCCTGGACACCTGCTTCCTAGCAGAGCACCTTGATAACCAATCATCACAATCAGCAGAAAGGAGCTTCGCAACTTGCAAGAAAGAAACAATGTCCTCGCGCAAAAGGTTCAGTCTGCACAGCGACTGCGCGGGCCGTTTCACATGCCCGAGATTCAATGCAGAGCCCACATTTTTGCCAAACAATCATTCTCTCCAGCTCGTTATTCCCGACATTGCTCAGCTAGAACGTGACGATGGCGGTATGTGTGTTCGACGAGAGAATAGACACGCGGACCTTGTTTGCAAACACGGCGCCTATGGGGCCAACGCACTGCTTACAAACAAGCCCGCATTTGTCCGCACTAGGTGTGGGCAATGCGCATGCACAGAAGCCCACACGAGGTCAAGCGTCTGCACATGCACCCAGCTGACAGCAGCGGCACTGTAGTGGCATGACGTCTATTCGCCCATTTCTCAATCATTTTTTTTTTTTTAACTGGTTATTTAGACACTATTACCGTAAAATACTGCAGAAGCGCCCACCTCGTTCAAGCGCCCACTATTAACATTTCCCAAACTTGGGAATTCTGCAAATTATACGTTAAGCGCCTGATTTGACCGGACAAGCGCCCATGTCGAGATGAACCCAGTTTTCAGTGGAAGTGGGTTGGGCACTCCCACCCGGTATTTTACGGTATGTGTTGCTTCCGAGTATTACGGCGGAGCTGTTAAGGGCTAGGTTCCCCAGGATCGTGTCCGTATATGTCGACACAAACCTACCTGGACAGCTACCGCCATCTATAAGCGACGGCGGCAAGCACACAACCAGTATGGTTGCCGCCGTCGCTCGTAGATGGCGGCAACCTTTCCAGCTATGATAGAAGAATGGATAGTTTGGCGCGTTGGTGGGAATTCATCGTAGGAAACAGCGCGAAAAACAGACAACGACAAAGAAGCACACAGTGTATCGAGTACAGCTCCGCTGGTCTTCCTCCTTCACGAGAGTGGAAAAGCTGAACGATTTCTTCTGCTAAAAAGACTCCATTTATTTTTAACTATTGCTTTTAAAGCGCGGTATATTAATGTGCAAACTGGATCTTTTGTGCATTTCTATATGAATGTTTTCTTCTGTTTCTATACACATCGTCTTCATCATTCTTTTTTTTTTTTTCTTCTGGTATGTTTATAAGAGAGCTAGTTATCCAGTCATTTTTTTAGAAGTTTTTAAACTAGAAAATTTAAGTGTCCCAAAAGGAAGTTGGAAATCATCCTAGAGCTTTATTTATGCCCTATTCGACTCTGTAGACCTAGTAGTTTACAGATAAGTTAATTTTCAGATTTTAATTTTTTATTTTGTTTAATACTACACATAAGCATTGCAAATAAAACTTTCATGACCAGCAAAAAGAAATAGATAATTGTAATTATATTGTAAAGGTAGGTATGGTATGCAAATTTCATTTAAGTTACATCACAAAAAAAAAGTACTAGAGGCAGTGTTATGGCTAGAGTGCACCAAGGGCAGCGCTCTAGACAAAACATGTTGCATTTTTTTAACAATGGGCAAGTACGCATGATGTCAGCCACACTATAAATGCCCACAAAAAATACTAATCTTTTATTTATTAAACCACAGAAATGTTGATTCCTGCATGAGGAAAGGTCGATGCTCGAAAACTTTGTCTATATAGCGGGTTGCCCATATTGCCGTGTGCGTGACAAAGTTGGCAACGCACGTGGCTGTTACGCGAAAGGACAGGATTCCAACCCCGCTCTGCTCAATTCTTTCCTTTCTCAATCTTTGATGTTCTGGATAGTTCCAGAGCATTCTCGGTGGGGACCATCCATTCTGGTTCTGAAATTTCCCAGCCTAACACGCGTATAAAAGCAGCGCTACTGCGCTGCTTTGGGGCAGCCGCCCTTCCGCCTTCGACGCAAGATGCTGGTACCATTCTCTTTAAGCTTGATGGCACTAGTTTGCCTCACTTAACATTTATTTTCAGTTTTAGACCGGTCTACCCTTTTCCATTCGTGACAATATTAACGAGACACCATGTCTGGACGTATTGACGTCCAGACATTAAGAACTCTGACAACTGATAGAAGTTTGACAAAAAATGAAACATTAATTTTTTTTTAAATCAATTTAAAATTTTTTTAATGTTTCCCGATATACAAATTTGGGACGAAACATCATTTTTTGGCGAATATCACTAACACAATCAAACTAGGTAGGAGCATCCCAACATATAGTTTACGTCCAGGGTTATTTGCCGATAGTGGTTGTCCCACATGAAAGTTCCTAACCATTTGTTTACCACAGCAATCCGAATTATAAAATAACAGCCGGCAAGTGTGAAACATTGCACCCTGTCTCCTTACACATTCATTTTTTCTTCTTAACTTTTTTTAAAGGCAGTTTTATTTGTTTCAGGAATTATAGCAAATAAACGATGGCCCAGCCTTTTTTGTAGCAATGCAATCCACATTTCTTGGGTTCCGTTAGCAACTAGGTTTACGAGGTGACGTGTGGACGTTGGTTGTTTCCCATCTGTTGACGATTGGCACTTTCGGCCGAGAGAGCCTCATTTTTGGCCCGCATTGGCAGACGAATCATTTGCCAACAACATCTCTACAAGAAGCAGCTTTGACAGAGCCCCGAGGGACCCACCTCGAGAAGAGCGGCTACGTCCTCCTCGTAAGGCACAAAGCCGCTGTGCGTCTCCGGCTTGTAGAACCAGGTGCAGCGCCGCACTTCCGACGGGGGCCCCTCCCAGTACACCGGCACCCGCAGGCGCTCCTTGACGTGCACGTCACAGCGACCGCCATCTGTGCGCACCGCCGCCTCACCCCCTGCAAATGCACCACAGCACACCTCCCAGAGGCAGTCCCCAAAATGCACCCTCGTTGGCAGAGGTGCCCTGTACACCTTAAAGACCAGCCAGCGGGCCCCCATCTCTACATTCGAGAAAAGAGACCCTCCTCTTTTTTGCAGGAGTCAAAAAACCACTCCTTCTGGGAGGAGAGGAGAAGAGAGAGTGAGAGGGAAAAGAGAAAAGGACACTGGAAAAGGGTTTCCTGCATGGAAGAAGACGATTTCGTAGGTCGGCTACTACGCGGTACTCACACGAGGAAGTGCACAGCATGTGACGAAAACATAACGTTTTTTTGAGGTGCAGTCAGCTCCGCGGTAGAGGGAGGAGGGAATGCTCAAGTGGTATAAACGATCCCTGTTTGGCATCGTATTTCTTTGCTTTTAACAGTATTTTGTCGTTAAAAGCTTTGGAGCCGAGTGTAGGAACCGCAAATTTGTCCACGGTGGAGTCAAAAATAGAAACCACTAAATTCAACTGTTAATGCTGACACCCCTCCCACCGGCACCTCGTCCATGTGAACAATGAAGCTGAGGATGGAGTTGATGACGTCACGCACATCCCTCCGTGCAATTCTCCCCCCGTGTGAATGCCTCTAACCGTTTTCCATCCATCTTCTGGCAAAAGCGTTTAGAGAGGAAACCTCAGTGACTGGTACTGAAATAGCAAGCATAACCGCACACTCCGAAAAGTCGGCCACACCCGATATCTTATGAATGTCTGGGCAATGTGCCTTTGAAGAACAGTAAATGAATACAAGTACCTTGGCGTCGCACCCACCTCTAACTTGACATGGAATTAGCATGTCATTGAAGTAGTTAAAACAAGCGTAGAAAAAATTGTGGTTTCTCCACAGGAGCCTGCATTAATGCAGCCCAGTAACTAAATTAGCCGCATACAAAAGTCTCATTTTTCCCATCCTGGAGTATACAGACACAGTATGGGATTCATGGTCCCAAAGACGCATTAATGCATTAGAAAACATTCTAAAGAAAGCGCTGCGATTAATTTATAACCGATACGAAAGGAGATCTTTTGTAGCAGAGCTTTATCAATTTGCTTGGCCACGCAAAGAAGAACCGACACACTAAAGTTGTTTCACCAGTTAACCCATGGCAGGAACAAAATACCCATCGGTGATTATGCTGCACCTGACACTAACTGACCAACTAGAAAAAGACACACTAAAGCAATGAGCGAGTTTTTCTGCTACAAGGACGTTTTCAAGAACAGCTACTCTCCACGCACTGTTGCAGATTGAAACAAACTTCCTGAAGAGCTTGTGAACATTGACTCTTTCGACACATTTACTTCATGTGCACAGATTTTTCACAGAGGACATGTTAGAAGAACTTCCACAATTAACCCCACATTGTTTTAATGTTTTCTTAGTAAACACTGAAATCTTCATTTTACATTTTTACATTGTAACGCAAGTGCAGAGCCAGTTCAATTTACCGGTACTCTTGTGTGTTTTTTTGTTTTTTTTCTTTTTAATTATTATTGCCTTGTTTGTTATATTTTATGAAACACTGCATGGTTGTAGTTGCTTTGGCCTCTGTAGAAGCAGCCGGCAAGTCCTGATAATATCACAATATTGAATGTAATGAACTAATGTGTAATGAAAAAACTGTTAAAGTGCAGGCGAGTTGCTGTAAGTTATACATGATTGAAAACCTGAGAGTGTGGTTTGAAAAACACAGTCTCAGGTTTTGTGTGTTTTTCAGGTTTTGTGTGACCTTGTGTTCCTGTTTGTATAACACTTTTTTTTTTTTTTATGTATTGGTTGCGGTTCAGTGTATTTTTGTAGTTCAGTGATCAACCGTTGTGGTGGTGGCAACGTTCGACGTCCGGGGGAGGTGTATGTAAGACGTAGAGGCAATAAAGTTTTTAGCTGAGTTTTAGACGTTGTCTGTCCCTTTTTCTTTCTACTTCATGATTTTCTGTTTTTCAAACCAGTCTCAAGTTTACAATCATCATGTATAACTAATGTGTATTGCACGCTCCTGCTGGTACGTATGTCACTAAAACGCCAGTTTTGCAGCTGGCTGCAGTGGTACTCCAACCATTTGTGGAGCGCTCTAAACTTGTACGATCACATTTTTCCCACTTCACAGCCAACTAAGATGTCAAGAAAGCAGCTGAGGCAGTCACGACTACTTTTTTGTCAGGAAGTGGGCTACATTATGCAAAGAGTAGCACGGAGACAAGGAAGAAAGCAGTAAATTTTCTTTCCTATCAGTACCTTGCCTCATGAGCTACTAACTCCCCCCCCCCAAGCATTTGTATGTGTGTGGTGCTAAATTACTAATTGGTTGTATAGGCTCTCACCAAGCCAGCACAGCATGTAAAAAAAATGTGCAGTACCATGCTCCAGTTAAGTTTGAAGGTAACTATATATAAAGGCCCTCCAACAACTTATTGGAAGATGTGCTGCTTATTAGGCAGGCAAGAGCAAGAGGCTGTCTGCCCTTAGCAAATAAAATAAGAAAAGGAAAATATCAGTTTTTTATTTTGCGAGACTCTTTTAAAAAATGTGTGCCATCTAGTAGCTGCTGTGCCAATTTCCCGAGATTGCTTGGGTATGTGCTCTGAGCATGTATAGAACATGCGGGCTGTGTCAGTGTTTTGGCATGACCTTGGCTCAGCTCGTATCAAAAACAAGCGCTGCGTCAGCATTTGGCAAAAACCCGGATCCAATCGCACACTTCGTGCCCGAAAAATGGCAACCGCCAATGTCGCTCGACGGGGTTTTCAAAAGGGTCTATTAACACAGAGTGAAGTGGGAATTTCAAGATTCAAGCACCACTCTGTGGAGTTGAATGAGTCCAGCTGCACTTCGTGGAGGTTCCAGCTTCACTCTAGAATCTCCCGAAATTCGAGCATAGATGAAAATTAATCCATAAAAAGAAAGGTTCCATTCATCACAAGGTTCCATTTACCACAGAGGCACCTTGTAGAGCTCAAGAGCTCCTCCTGCAGAATTTGGATCCCCACAGAACATGGCCCAGAGTGCACACCACACCTCATTTAACCATGTGCGCAAGCGAAGGAGAAGCTAGAAACACGACGCTTCGAGTCCGCTTTCGTGGAGGGAAAGCGTCGCTCGAGACGACACTTCGGCAGTTTCACCATCGGCTTCGCTCACATTTATGCTCAACCAGAGCACTTTTCAAAGAGGTCCCAGACCAACCCCGTGGCCTCCCACCTCGGCTGGCCCGTTCCAGGCTGGCAGAGTCGAGGTGTGAGAAGGGCACCCAGAGGCTCTTGCTCTCCACCTGGTGCCTGTAGAACCAGTGAGGCTGCAGGCAGCCAGGGTCCCCACCCGCCACTCCAGGGGCCGCCAGGGGGGGCTCTTCCCGCATGTCGGGACACGGCTCCTGCTCACCACCCGCCGAACCTGCAATTGCCGTGCTTAGCACTTTCGCCGCCAATTCGGAATCTCCCTAGAGTTTCTCAACTTCAATTCTTTCATTCTGTACAGTTGGAAGCAAAGAATTGGAGAGGTGTAGCAATAATGCCGCGTGCGTAGCAGAGTTGGTTTAGCACACGGTGGGCACGCAAATTGGTATGGAGTTCGAACCCGACAAGCTCGGTTCTTCTCCTGTTAAATGTGGAAAGTTACTGTCCCTTCTAGAAAGTTCCAGTTGCTTCTTGTCTGTTATTGTGCATTCTGGTTTTGAACAATCCAGAACACGGAGCATCTATAAAAGAAGTGGTAGCGCACTGCTTTGAGTGAGTTGCCCTTCTGCTCAGTTTGCTTAATTCAACATTTATTTTCTCTTTACATCCGTCTACCCACTCATGACAATATTGCGGGCAGCGCGGAGCAACTGACCAGACACTGACAATGCTCCACGCTACACACTGCGTGTAGGACGTGTACATCTAGTGTTTCCATTTCTGGTATGTTTTAAATATGCTTCCTCGAGTCGTGCGACACGACCACCGTGGTGCTTTGAAACCCTGCCCTGCCATTCCGGGCTGAGGTGAATGTGTTTTGCATACACACTTTTGGGCCATGCTGGGTTTGCTGTCCATCTTTTTTTTTTTTTTTTGTGTGTTGTATGTTAAAGGGCCGACGAGAGATTTACACGTGCATAATTTTTTACAAAACGCATGACCTAGGTTGTTTTTTGTTTTTTTTTCTTATTTTTGATGACCCATATAAGAGCCTAACCACGAGAAAAAATAGGTTCCACACAAAGAGTGTGGAAGCACTACTTTTGAATTACGACAGTCGCTGACAGGACAAGAAGCGCCATCTTCCCAGCCTCCAGCACGGGCTCGTTGCCTTCCGTCGTGCTTAGGCTAGGTATGCGCGCTCGAAGCTTACGGTCGATGCCGACGATCGAAGCTTACGCCGACGATCGACGACGCACGTGAACACCATACATACATACATTTGGGCACATGAGTAACACAAACTGAGGCACATTTGTAGAGTAACTCTTACAATTTTCGTAACAAGCAGACGTGAACACAGAAGTACTAGACGTCGTGCACACATGGTGCGATTTTGCTTGCGATTTCGCAGTTGCGCTCGTGCGGCAGAAAAAGCGTGGTGCCAGCTACGGTGCCAGATGTCGCAGCTGCGAAATCGCAAGCAAAATCGTATCATGCGAATCGGGCGTTCGGCGTGATAGACCATTAGACAACCGTTTGAACTTCGCTCGAGCAGCCGACTACCCCTCCGAACGACGGCCGGCGCTTACCTTCCAACCGAGTTGCAGGGCCGCTGTCGGACATGCCGCTGCAGGCAATCACAGCTGATTCTCAGCGACAGCCACGCCCAGCACTGTTCTTAATCCGCAATAAGGCAGAAGTATTACGCCAAAATGTGGCAATGTTTCGAAAACGACCTTCTCTATAATGGTTTCGTGCTGGTTTCGACCAGTTTCGACATTCGACACAGAGTTGGTAGGGAGTTAGTATTTATGATCTCTATGTAGAAGGGAGCAGAGGCACTGACGGCACTGAGTGAGAGGTCCAGAGCGTCTAGAGGAAAATGGAGGAAACTCTGGAGGAAAATGGTCTGGTCTGCCCATAGAGCCATAGAGTAGGGGTCTGCCAACTGTGGGTCTGCCACTGCTGCAGCACAGCTGATGGGTGTGTTTATTTTAGAGTCCTATTCCACCCACACAACAAAAGTGGTCCCGAAGTGGCAGCAATTGACGTCACAGAAGTTGTAGTGTCATGTTGCTGGATGTCGCGATCCTGGCGGTTGGTCGTACAAATGCTGGCTAAAAGCACGAGCGAACGCAAGTGTCGCTGTCGTCTTGGCGTTCCAACTTCTGGCTGCCGACTTCCGTGGACTGTCACAGCAGAGAGCGACCTGCAGCAGAACAGGCGCCTGCTACTTACGGCACCGCTGCTGGAACACCGCCAGGATCACAACCGGCAACAGCACGATACTTTTATGACGTCACCAGGCGGATATTGAGGGACCATTTTTTTGGACGCGGTAAACACACTAGTCGGTTAACGTAGAAGTTTGAGCTATAAATGAATAAAGGGCAAACGCCAACCAATCCCTAAAAAATCGTAGGGTCCCAACGTTTCGGTGCCGGCACGGCACCTTCTTCAGGGGGGCTATTGAAAGGAGAAGCAGCTTCTTTCTTTTCTTCTGCGGTGAATGTAGCGCAGTATCTTCGTTTTTTTTTTTTTTTTTTTTTTTTTTTTTTTTTTTTTTTTTTACGGTGGTTAGTTTTCAAACTAGGTGCGGTACCTTCGTTTTCTTCGAAGTTGGTTATTTACAAACGAGGATCAGCATCTTCGTTTTTCTCTATGGTAGGGGCCTGTTTCTTTGGTGTTCTAAATGTCGTAGACCACTGACGTATGCTGAGGGCAAGGTGCCGGAGGATCGATTAATATTTCCTGGTGTGGTCTGTATGCGCCATGACTCAATAAAGAGTCGTTGCCGCCAGTTGGTTTCTACCAACTGGCGGCATGACTCAATAAAGAGTCGTTGCCGCCAGTTGGTTTCTACCAACTGGCGGCAACGACTCTTTATTGAGTCATGGCGCATACAGACCACACCAGGAAATATTAATCGATCCTCCGGCACCTTGCCCTCAGCATACGTCAGTGGTCTACGACATTTAGAACACCAAAGAAACAGGCCCCTACCATAGAGAAAAACGAAGATGCTGATCCTCGTTTGTAAATAACCAACTTCGAAGAAAACGAAGGTACCGCACCTAGTTTGAAAACTAACCACCGTAAAAAAAAAAAAAAAAAAAAAAAAAAAAAAAAAACGAAGATACTGCGCTACATTCACCGCAGAAGAAAAGAAAGAAGCTGCTTCTCCTTTCAATAGCCCCCCTGAAGAAGGTGCCGTGCCGGCACCGAAACGTTGGGACCCTACGATTTTTTAGGGATTGGTTGGCGTTTGCCCTTTATTCATTTATAACATTTAACCCAACCAGGCAGACGTCTGCCGAAATGTTCACCTTCAAGTTTGAGCTAGTTGGTAAGTAGACATGATAAAAACAAAACAGCGCGAAGACAAGGACGAAGTAGAAGAAACCACAAGACACAGCGCCGTGTCAGAGTGTAGCTGTGTCCTGTGGTTTCTTCTACTTCGTCCTTTTCTTTGCGCTGTTTTGTTTTTATCATGTACACTAGTCGGAGACGCGTTCCAGGCAGTTCCAGGCACCATAATGCCGCTGCTGCCACCTTTCTACGCATTTCGGCCGCCTTGGCAACTCGGAAAAGCAGGACCAGTGTTGCCAGACGGAGAAAAAAAAAGTCAGCAGATTGATCCCCAAAAAGTCAGTAGATTTGCACAAAAATCAGTAGATTCTACGAAATCTGTGTTTTGCCATGTTTTGCTATTTCCATTAAACCACACTTCGAAGAAATAGTATAGAGTAACAAATAACATGGTAATAAACACCAATAAAAATGAAAAAAAGACCATTTCATGAATAATTTTTTTTTTTTTATGGAGGACAAAGTAAAGTAGCACCGTGAATGTTTTTTTTTTATTATTTCTTTTTTTATCAGCATTGTGTTGCGATTTCGAGGATTATTCTTTGAAATCGAGACTGAGCCACTTTTGGGATCAACAGATGAGGGCGACAGTGCGACATCCACCTGTCGCCGTTATTGAAACGAAACCGAAACAAGACGTTCCGGCAAGTGCGCGCCTATGGTGCGCGCGTACATGTCCAATGTAAGTTTCCTGCAAGCTGCCATTTTTCCTTACTGGGCTGTGGAAGGTTTTTGACGCAACGCTGTCGGCGCGGAGCACTGTTGAGGCTACGCGTCCTCTGTCACGGGCTTTTTTCTTTTTCGCCAGTCTCAAAGTTTGCGTTCAAACGTGGAGAAACTTAATTCGTTAGCTTTTTAAGCCACCGAGGAATAACATATTATATAATTTTCTTTCCAGAGCCTGCCTGATAAAAGTAAAGAACCGAAATTTGGATGTCGATCCCATGCATTCCGCCGGGCGAATGAATGAGAATGGCGGCCCTCTCCGCTCAGCTGGGTGGGAGCAGCCGAGAGTTCATGCGCACACGCCTCTCGCTCTGCGACACAGGCTGATTGGCTCACTCGGGAGAGCGACGTTACGGCGGCGAGATCGTAGACTACCCAAACTATCCCCATATAAGGCTCTGACTCCAGTCACCGTCGGATTGCCGTCGAATCTGCTCTGGGTGAATAGATCGATGAATATACGGCTAAGTCACTCGAATAGGACGGGCTTCTGGGCCATTTAGCCAGTGCTTCGTTTTTAATGCTGGGAGAATACGAGTTTCCTTTGATGGGCGACCCTGGGAACTGAAGGGGCCAAACAATAACTTTTGATATGTTTACAAAAAAAAAAAAAAAAGTCAGTAGATTTTCTTTTTTTTTCAGTGAATCAGTAGACCCGAAACGAAATCAGTAGATCTACTGATAAATCAGTAGACCTGGCAACACTGAGCAGGACCACTTCTTACTACGGACAAAATATGTTGGCTGTTGCTGTGAGGTGTTAGCTGTTCCCGGCGCAGTGTCGACTAACCCAAACTAAGGCCGTATTCCAAAATTTACTCGATCTTACTCCAGGGTAAGGGTTTTGTACCTTGGCGTTCCAAAACCTACCCACGTCTAGCGTTTTTCAATCCATGTTGTACACGACCCACCGGAGTAACTCCGAGTGGACAGGAAGGAATACACGACGTTTTGGGCGGACTATAACCATATATTTGTGATTTCAGGTTAAAACTCTAAAAGGCGTTGCTCTCAAGACCCACGATGTCAGCGCTCACGATTTGCCTCACTCCAATACAGTCTTTACTCTCTATCCTAATACAAAGAAAAGCGATTAAACCTGCTAAAACCAACACAATCCAATCCAATCCACAAAACGCGGACATCTGCGACATCTGCCATTGCCTGCCATTGCGAGCTGCTGTAGTGCTTACGTGAGTCGTGACGTGTTGTTTTCGGACTTTGGTAGATCGAGACCATGGAGGCCACTTTTAACCTCAACTCCTTCTGGAACTCCTTCAGCAACAGACTGTGAGTACTGGCCGCAGTTGATTCGCTTCAGTGGGCCTGCGATTCCTCGTCTGTTCCGTTGTAGAAGAGGAAGCGCGAGTAAATGGACGCCGCCTCGCCAACCTTGGCGACGGGCGCTCAACTTCCCTGTCCTCCCCGACAATGAAGCTGAAGCGCGTCGCACTCGAGGCTGTCGTGTACTTTATCGGGGGCCAGACACACGCGCTACAGAATGTCCGACGTGTTGTTCGGCCTGTTCGGAAACCGCTGGACCACCGGTGCGCAAATTGCGCACCGGGGAACTTGGAGGTCATGATTCCACCTAATTCCGTTTCGACGCATCGTACGACGGGTAGGCCGTTTCCTCGTTTCTGTGTCTGGCGCTTTATCGGGCCCGCACCGCGCGAGCGGTTGGAGCCTGCCTTGGAGCTCGTGCCGCGAACGGCACAGAAGAGCCTGGACTGTACGAGTTTTGGGGCCAACGTCTACTGGCCTTGAGAGAATACCGAGCAGCGATAGCTGTGTCGTGGGCTCGGGACGGCCGGAGAACGGTTTGCCTGCTGGATTTGACCTGTGTTGCCCGCCAAGTTCCTGGCTCCATTTCGGCGTCAAATGCTGCGAGATGGGACAGACGTTCTAGAACTGGGCGAATGCGATTGGCTTTGCGCAGAAGGCTACAGCGACGATAGGTTGGCTCCTATTTGACAGCGAGACCAAATTCGCAATGCAAAAGCATTGGCTTTTCGATGGAGCAAGTTTTGCGCCGTGGCAGACTCGGTGTATTCGAGTCAATTTGCCGATTGCAGTTTGGAGGAACTCGCTGCAAGCCTCGGCTTCCTCGGGGCCCGGAAAAGACGTCAGGTCTTCTAGTGAAGGTCGACTGCTACGCCGAGGCTTTCACGAGGTTCCTCTAGTCCTCCCTGCCAGCTTCGACTGTCTGTGTTTTTACAGAGTATGAGGAAAATGGTAGCTATGAGGAAAGTGTGTAGCCTCAAGTTTCTCCCACGTTACAGTTCAGTTCGATTTGTACAGTGAACAAAAATATAGCTATGTACAGGAAGCAAAAAATGCTGAAACTTTATTTTCATAAAAAATGTCTTTTTTTTTCTTCTTTCAAAGGCATTGGGCAAGATGCCAGTTAATCCCAGTTAGCAGAAACCGAGGGACGTGTGGCGTTGGGTACTATCAGACCACTCTAACGGCCTGGTGCACATCTGCATTGATACGGTTGCAGTTCAAGTCGAGCCATTAGAGTGCTCCGATAGTACCAGATTCCACGCACTCCCGCTAACTGTGATTAAGATAGCATGTCAATCTTCTTAGTTTTCAACAAATTAGCGAAGAAGTTAATATCCCGAGAGGGTGAAGTCAGTACAGTCCCGACTACATTCTTAGGGTTGCTCCAACCATAGTTGAAACCGAAAAAAAAACAAAAAAAACGGGAAAGACTGCTACAGGTCATGGCTTGTTAATATGGATACTTTCATTCTCCAAACAAATCATTCATAATAGTGAATTAACATAAAAAACGTGCCTGAGCAATGAGTGTGGCCTGAACAGACAGTTTATTAGCCAAAAAAATGATGAGGCTTTGGTCTCCATCCATTGTAAAAGCTTGGTCTGCTGGGCAAGTTGGTAGTGGACATTCATATTAAAAATAGCGCAAAAGAGACGGAACAAAAAGACGAAGAAGCACACAGGACAAACGCTAACTGGCAACTAAACTTTATTTGGAACAGGCGGTGGGCGGTATGATTGTGCGGATTTGGCGGTACGCCCTGTTTCTGTTGAACGAGACTAAGCGCGTGCATGGCGATAGCAAAGTTGGAAGCTTTCAATAAAGTTTCGTTGCCAGTTAGCGTTTGTCCTGTGTGCTTCTTCGTCTTTTTGTTCCGTCTCTTTTGCGCTATTTTTAATATGAATGTCTCCATCCACTTTATGCCTGACATAGCCTTTACTGCCTTGTAAATGATCAGAGAAGTGTCCTGTCTTTCTTTTTACGAACAAGGGATGCACATGATGAGTGAATGTTCTTTAGGTTTGTTATTCACAGCCATAGAAAACAATAGAAAGAGAGGGGCGAGTGACCTGTTTGACTGGGAAAAACTAAGCCATTGTTCGGTGCCCACGTCATATCTCTTTCTCTTGAGAAGGCCAACGAACAACAGACATGAGTGAAGCTCTTGGTGCACACTCTTATCCTAGGGCTTCACTAATCTTGTTTTCAGGGTGTCTTTAGGCCTTCTTTAAAAAATGAATCTTGTGTGCGTAACAGCTATGCTCTATTGCGGGTTAAGAAAAGCAGGACAAGCTCTTCTTGCAAAGCCCTCTACTCTTTCCATTTTAGCACAGTGAAGGCGAGTAAACTCTTCCCCTCTCTTGCGTCCTCTCCAGCGCTCACCTTGCTCAAGCGAAAAAAGTGGAGGGCTGTGCAGGAGGTGCTTGTCCTGCTTTTCTCAACCTGCAATAGAGTAGAGAAAAATGCATCTATGTATATGTTTAATTCATTCCCAAATTAGTTGTCATTGTCCGTCCTGTTAGGTTTTTGCTGGTAGTCCATGGATTGTCTTAATAGTTTCTTTTTATAATGTGCATTGGATTACAAGTTTCAGTGCACTCTTAAAAATAAGTTTGTGTGTTAATATTACGGGAAGGTTGAAGGTCCCTAATCCAACGAGATATCCAGGTAGTCGGGAATGGCAGCATCATTTGCCCGGATGACAACGTTTGGCGATGTGGTGTATGACTCCATAAATATGGAAATGGCGGGCTTGTAAAGTACTGGGACCAAGCGAAAGAAGTAGAAGAGACAAGTGCTGACTGACAACTTAGCATTCAATCAAGAATGAGAAACAACCCAAGCAAACCACCATGCACAAAACAAACATCAGAAAAACATTTAAAAAAGAAGACCGCAGGCAATTTGCCTCACTTGTGATTCACCACTTGTCAATGAACTAATCTCTTTCTGCAGATAAAGAGAAGTCTGACTGATCTTTTTCATGCAGATAGAGATGTCTGACTGATGCAGCTATCTGTGCTCTCTTTGAACAGTTCCCTCCCTTATGAAACATTGAGATAAAAGTAGTCAGATTATGGGAAAGGCTAAAGATGAATCTGCAAGGGAATTGCTAGTGTCTATGAGATTACCAAAGAGGGCACAGATAGCTGCATGAGTCAGACATCTGTTTAGCTGCATAAAAAATATGATGGGTCATTTTCACTACCTTGCATATTTGAATTACTTCCTCTAAAGGGGAGGGAAGTAGTTTCTTATATGCAGACAAATGAATTGTGCTGTTGGATTGAGGTGAAGTTTATGAAGCCGACGAAAGACAGTTTTGGCACTGCCGGGATTCAAACTTTGTGGCATTCCTGACTGGTAAACAGCAGACTGAGTTTGAATCCCGGTGTTGCCAAAGTTTTTCTCTTTTGGCGACTTCGTAACATTTACCTGTTCGATAAGTGCAGTTCATTCATCTACATATTTTAACTGTTTCGCATAAAAAAGAGATAGCACTGACAGGTGGCGAGTCATGGTTAACCTGGATTTTTGGTGCTTTTTCTTGTTCTTGTTTTGTTCGTGGTAGTGCTTGCTTGGGCCGCATTCCTTTTTTAATAGGTGTTCAGTTGTTAGTGAGCACTTGTTTCATCTACTTCACCACCTGGTCGCAATCTGTTGCGTGCTGTTCCTATATTTATTCAATAACTTCCCCTACGAAATGCCTGGTCCCAGTATTTTTTGTGCCATCCATGTTTTTTCAATTACTTGCCACATGAAATGCCTTACCAGTTTTTGTGGTATCACTTTTTACTGTGATTTAAGATAAGGTTAAGTGAAACCATTTGGTCACCTAATGTGCCTTCAGTTATCACAGTGGACCACTTGGTCTGCACTCTTTTGATTGTGTCAAAATTTGTTTACTTTTTTTCTGCAGTCAGTATACGCTTTAACTTAATATGCAAGGCATCTCGAGAATGAGACTGAAAGGAAATGCAGCTTTGAAGTTGGGGGTGCATTTTTGAAGTATTGGGTATTTTCAAAATGTACAATACTTTAAAAATTGCATATCTTTGATACCAAAGCATGAATACATTCTCTTTTTTTGCGAACAATACCTAAAAAATATAAAAGATGTATTAACTATCTAAAGGTATTATGCAAGATATGTGCACTCTTATCTTGGATGCCACCCTGCCTGCCAGTCACTTCTTCAATTGTACCTTCTTCTCTCCCCCTTTGGCAGTAAGGGTCAGCTTTGGGTTTGAACGGACTAATCTAGACCCACACTAGGGTGAAGCATCTAGGAAAGTGCTGGTGGAGTCATACATTGGACGAGGCCCCTTTTGTTACAGGGCTTTAGCCCTTCCCTCGATGGAGGTGGAAGGGAGGGAGGGAGGGGCGGCAGCGGCGGCGGCACTTCGCAGGTGCCAAATTTTCTCCCATATCTTAAGTCACTAGGCCTAAAATGGGGCCGCATTATGGTGCACCTAAAAGATAATTCTGGAACAGTTGAGACTTTTTGTAGTGTTTCAACCTTTGTTACTCTGCATGTTTCTTTAACTTGCTCTTGAAGCATCAGTCAGTTCACAGGTATCTGCTTCTGCGAGTGATGCCTGTGAAGCTTTGGATGTTTTGGTTTCTGATGGCGAGTGCATGTGATTATTATTTGAATAATGTAAGAAACAATTATGATAGCAAGTTGAATGCTAAGCTACATGTTTTCTTGTTGTCTTATGGGTACAGGGAATGCAAAGAGACTAGGGCTGTGCAAATATTCATCCTTTTCAATAGCAAATAGAATATCACCCTATTTGATTTGTTGTCCAAATTGAATGTAATAGTGGTTTTTCGAAATTTTGAATGTTTTTAGAAAAATGCTCTAATAGTTAGAACAGTCTCGCACGTTTCCCTTCACAGGCACCCACCACTGGCCTGACATACGTGCCTTAAGAAGTCACTATGCTCGTCTCCTAGGCACAGCCATCATTGCAGTACCGCTTTGTCTCTCTTCTTATGGTGGTGTTTTATCTGTCTATGACTTCACCTAGGGATAACTGTGCACTATCACACAAAACTGCCATTAGATGCTTCTGGAAGGCAAAATGGGGTGACGTTTCTGTCTGCGATCGGTGACCGGCTGCTACGGCATGATTGAAGTAGAAAACTGGGGAGGTTCGAAGAAAAAGCACAGTGTAGTATGGAAGTTTTCCTACCACTCTGGCACTGGTTTAGCCAACTGGCTGGTGTGTGCTGCCATCTTCAAGATGCCAATGTAAACATCCTTTTCCGTTTTGTCTGGATCACACTGTTTTATTCTAGTCATTTGCACCTAGCCTTACATTCTTATAACGATTTTTAGGAAGCCCTGTGGACAATAAATAAGCAGTGTTCTTTTAAGCAGTGTAATCTTCATTATAAACTGTTTGTCCACTATTTCAGAATTATTAAAAAAAATTTTAGATTCGTATTATCTTCAATTTGGTGCCACCACCGTTCAATTTATATTCAATTTTATTTAAAAAATCACTGTTCGCACACTTAGAGGCTTTTCGAGCTGCTGTGAACCCTGAATGAAGCAGGCAGCTCTGGTCAAGATGCGCTTTGATTGAGCGAAAGTGCATCACATAGTGTCATTTTTAGGATGTCTGAATTGCAGTATTGTTTATTGTGGTGCGAGTGCTACACAGTGCACCCAAGGATACTAGGAGTGAGATGGAACTCCCACACATATAAAACCAATGCTGCATCAGAATGCACACTTGTAGTTGGTATAAATGTGCGTTAGCTGCGACTGCGTCAGTACCGACTGCAACGACTACACTGCCTCACGTACATGCTCCCACGACAAGTGCAGCGATTACGAGAAACCTTGCAGCCGGCAACACGACAGCAGCTTCTCCACCGCCATCAGCTGTTTCAGCTGTGCCTCCAAAACACAGGCTGCATTGTTTTTCTCTGGCATAAAAGTGGACAGGCATTTTTTGATAGTCACAAATTGTATTCTTATTTTCCAGATATTAGGCTTGTAGGACTGAATAAAAAAGAAAAAAAAAACCTATATGCCGGTTGGGGACTATGTCGGCTTGGACAAATCTCGCCACGAGAACAATTCTCACCACATTCTTTTGCTGCAATGATGGAATAAATGTCATTCTCGCCGAGAGGCTGAAAGAGAGAGTGTTTCAAGGTCACGTAGACCAAGTAAACGTTCAGAAATGCTAGCACTGGACCAACTCACTTCACTGAAAATTCACATTCCTCGGGCACAGCTAAAATTCTTAAGCACATATACATACTGCAATGTCCTGAGAGATGGCCCACTCCTAAAAGATAACCCACCCCTATTTTTGGCAGGATTTACAACTTTTTCAGTAACACCGAAACATAGCCCACTTCTAGTAATTGCAGGGCCCTGGTCGATGGTGATCTCGGCAGAAATTGTGTTGCTTAGTCCTGGTTAGCTCAGTTGGTAGAGCTCTCCACTGGAAATGGAGAGGTCTCAGGATACCAGGACCAGGCGGATTTTTTCGGTCGCGCACCAGCCACCTAGCTGTGTTTGGAGATTTGTGTTTGTCCTTTGTCCTTCTTGTTCCCCTTCTCTAGGGATTATTATCATAACTCAATCACCAATGTAAAAATGAACCAAGGAAGAAAAATAGGCATTTTGTGCAAAGATGTTTCCATGTAACTCGCTCACGAACTTGAATTGCAACATTAATTTTGGTCGCTTCTCTTGCGGGTGACATAGTTGTAATTTACTTTATCCGTAGTGTACATACTTGGAATGTCAACCAAATTCCTGGTCCACGATAGTGAATCAGCAGTGCTGATGCTCATGACCGTGGGGGTATCATTGTAAAGGGATACTTCAGCAAAATTTGAAATATACCCGTCGTGTTCACAAATAGGCTGAATATGATCCACAATATCTGTAAATGACAATCACATGTTTGTATTTTGAGCCTGATGGCTGTATTTTTTGTTATAAACGGCCCACTCTGGCAAATGCTCGGAGAGCAGCCAGCGGAGACACGTCACGTCCGCCACAATCTTGACATAGTTTGTCTCGGGACCTTACGTCCGGACGCAGCGGACGCTGCGAGCTATCCCAGCCAATCCCGCTCTGTGGACGTAGCCCGTGATACACTTTCCGTACGTCGCTGTGCCTTCTCTCCAAGGTCACTTGACATTCACACAGCTTTGGATAGGCCCCGATGGCTCGTAGCATCCGCTGAAAGCGGTCAAAGCACACCAGCGATCGGCCACCGCAAGTAACCCCAAAGTTGTCTTTGTACGAATTTTGAGTGACGGGTTAATCTTCTATAATCTTGTAGAGGGACAGTGGCGACTTCTGGGAGACACACAAGAGAGTCTCGGGGAGAGGGAAGTTCCTCCTTCAGCTCTTTTCTCGTCGTGCCTGGAGGCAGGACAGTTACCATCACTACCTGTCAAGGTTCCTAAATGGGCATTACAAACAAGGCATTAGCGACATCCACGAGGTACTCTTCGCTAATCGTTTGATCTGTTTTGAAATTCCTTTTCATGCCTTTTCAACAAAAGATTGGTGTGTCTGATGTGATAATGGCTCCATTTAACACAAATAGACCAAGAAATAAGCGCCGAAATTTTGTTGTAGTATCCCTTTACTGGCAGCGCCTTGCCCAATCATGTGACCAGCTGCACTTTCAAGCACCGTCAAGGCAGCTTCGCATGGTTACCAAGAGCAATTTTTGAAAGGGTCGAGTGTTATTGGAAGGTTGAATATAACAATGATGGTTGCTTCCTTTGCAGGGAGAAGCCGGTGCGTGAGCACCTCCAGAATGTGTACAGCTGCCTGGCCATTTCGACCCTGGCAGCAGCTGCGGGCGGATATGTGCATCTCTTCACCGACTTCCTGCAGGTACTTTTGCATTTTCATTTCGGGCTCGTGGTCCCCCTGACAGTCTCCTTCTTGCAGGGCAACTTTCTGACCACATTGCTGTCCCTTGGACTTCTTGTTGCGCTCTTCACGGTACAGGACAATGGGAAGAACCAGCATGTCCGTCTGAGCATTCTTGTTGGCTTCGCCTTCACCACAGGTACAGTCGGTTCCTTGCAGTTTGCCTCAGTGATTTAGGTTTAGGTGGGGGTACTTGCTTGGGACAGCTGCGGAAAACCATTCTTTATGCAGGCCTGCTGCAACATAGGCTTGCATCAGGTCAGGATGCTACTCTAGAGAATACTGGCTTTTTGGGGGGGGGGGTCATGTCATGTCCATGTCATGTCATGTCGGGTCTGGTCTAGAGCCAAGCTTTCCAATTGGTCATCTGCAACCTGGTGTGGCCATGTATCGACCCTATTGGCATCGCTCGGTTGTGACTATCCTCATGGGAGAATGTCGCAGATGCACAAGTCGAATGTGTTCTCGTGCTCACTTTTTACCATGCTTAAGAGTGCACGCTACACGTTTTCCTTTAGCTGCCTGCAGCCGACTGGGTGTTTTTTTTTATGTGAAGCACCATTTATGATAGAGGCACAGAAAGAGTTTGTTCTCTGTTGTGATGCTACCTGTTGATGGCATGTCGCGACTTTTGTAGACATGGCTTCCTCTGTCTGCGTTTTAAAATGGTGCCCACCCATGGTTCAGCATGTTTTGATGAGGGACAAGTTGTGGGGTGTTACTTGGATGCAAAACTTAAGCTTTGTTCGATTGGGAGTTTATTCAATACAAAAAAAGGGCCGCACTTAACCGGGTGGAACCACCTGTCTCTGGGCTTCTCAAGCACCCCCTCATCGTTGCAGCGAAGCAGCGCTGATGCTCACAAGCTTTGTTAAAAGGACACTGAAGAGAATTGTAAACTAGATGCGTTACCATGTTTCGCGATTTCAGGAAGGGTCGGGAAGCCAGTGTATTTTTTAGAAACATGTAGGCAAGGACTTTTTGTCAAAAGGATGCTTTCAAAGACAAACTATCAAGATTAACAAAGTGTTTGCATCATCCTTGTTCTCAAAGCTCATGGGGTGATCCTGCGGTAGTTGCCCGACCGGGACGGCAGAGTCGAGCGGTTGTTGTGGAACATCCTTTTGCAGCAGGTGCTCGTGTCCGTGCATTTTACACCAGTGTGCTCGAGCTCTCATTCTCTTCGACTGTGTTACCACTGTAGCCTCCATCCTCTCCCCATTGTAGGGGGATGCTACTGCCTGTCTCAATGGTTTCCGACGTTGCGAGATGGACTCTTTCCTGTCTTTTGTAGCAGTCCCATCTCTATTATGCACACATCCACTCATCCAATCTTGTAGACACCCTGTGCATTCACCCACACACCCCTTTCTTTGCAGTTTAGATCAGGGGTGGCCAGACAGACATGCAAAGAACCATAAAAAATGAGCACTACCCAGAAAAAAATATTTCTGCAAAAGCAGTTGCTTTTGAAAAATAGCATACTGTATTTACATCCATCAACATCTAGAGAGTATTTACAGAAAGTTTCATTTGTTTACACGGCATAGTTAATTTTTCATAAATTATTATCGGTCCACCAATGTTAAAGAAAAGGTAGAGGTTTAAGCACTTTGAACACATGTTTCTGCATTCCGCTTTTTGGCGTAAATTTCACTTTAAAAAAAATTATTTTTTGGTAATGTGACAAAACGAAAGGCTCACTCATTGTTTTTCTTAAATGGAACTTATTGGGCAATGCAGCTTTGGCATTGTTTTTTTACTTCTGGATTTCTTTGATAAAAGTGTAAAGATTTTGTTAGCAAGATAAAAGGCAAGAAATTTATTTGATTTTTCAGTGCGACGTTAGCATAAAATAAATTACTTTTTGGAAAGTTTGTTTTCACAGTTGCACTCCAGGCATTCTGCTGTGTATCTAGTGAAGAAAAGTGTGGGGTATTACATTAGTTTTCTAATTATAGTTTTCCTAAACAATGCCAGTGTGTTCCTGATAAAAAACACTAATTTATTTCACAATTCATGTACGCAGATAAAACTTTGCACTGCATTCTGCCTTGCAACTGCCGGTATATACTGTAAATTTCAGTGATATTAAGCCAAAGGTTCAAACCATTTTGGATAGTGTCCTCCTTGCAATGCAAAAAGGACATGGCAGTTTTTTTTGTTTTTTTTACATTCCAACTTAGTTGGTGGTTAGTGATTTCTACTCGTAAAGCTATTACTTCTTATGCTTCTTCATTGTGTGTCCCCATTCGTAAAACAAGCATCTTCAAGTGGGCTCAAATGACCTGCAGTCCTGAGCAGCTCAATGGGGGTTTGCCTGTCAGGGTAGCCCAATGTTTTTACTTTACCATCTTCATTGTTGATATCGGAGCCACGCAGTAATATGTCCATCCAAATATCAACGGACATTTCTGGCATGCAAGCATGGCGTGGGGACACTTTGCTTTTGGCACCTGCCACCAGGATCCTGCCGTGTCCTCACACTGCAGGATGACTTGAGCCTCGTTTCATTTGGAACGCTCCTAAATCTAGGGAGATGTTTTTTATGGTTAGACAGCCACCATTCAACTCATCAGCGATAAAAAGATTCCTTCCGAACCTTGCCAAGGGGGGGGGGGAGGGGAGGGGACGGGACGGGACGGGACGGGGAGTACTCGGGAGCCATGAGCCACATGCTGCTCGCGAGCCACAGTTTGGACACCCCTGGTCTAGATTGAGAGATCAAAGCTTCGTCCTTTGCTTAGCCACAAGGAAATGACCAGGTGATGCTCTTTTATGTCCTGCCTTGTCAGAAGGCACACATTCACTCACCTTGAAGCAGCACGTTGACCGCCTCTCTCTGCACAATCATGGGGCCCCAAAATATTGGAGACAAAATGTGTATGGTTAGACTGCCTGGCCAAAACAATTGAAGGGTAATGTTCTGAGCTTCCTGTCTCCTGCATAATAATAAAAAAAAAAAGCTGGAGTAATTTGAGTAATTTAAGAGTACTAGTTACTTGCAAAAGGTATTTTAAGATAGAGTACTATACAGTGACCCTTTAAAGCATTTGTGAGATACCCATTTACTCCCGTTAAGTACTTACAATGAAGTAACTCGATTAGAGTATTAACATTATAGGGCCAGCCTCGGGGGAGGGGGTGGGTGGGGTGTATTTTGTGTCCGTGGCATGTAGCCTCGACGACGTCGCATGAAACTGACTTCGTAGTGTCGCGTGAAGGCTTTATGGTGTTCACGATCGCAATGTGATCTTGAGTGATCTTACTGTGCCTGCAAAAGGAGTGCAAAGAGGCCCCACAAATGCCATGCATTTAGAATGCCTTTGGGAAAGCCAATTTTTCAAAAATGTATGTACGAGTCTGTGTTTGGTGGTAGTATAGTTTTGCATTCATGTGCGACACGGACGTGCCATAGCGGTGCTTGCCTCTGATGGGGCGTTGCTCTCCTACGCGCAGGATTGGGCCTGGGGCCGCTCCTGGATGTGGTGGTCTCTGTGGACCCTTCAATCGTGGCCACTGCGTTTGTGGCCACCTGTGCCGTCTTTGCCTGCTTCTCCCTGAGCGCGCTCTACTCGGACCACTGCCGCTGGATCTACATCGGAGGCAAGGCTCTGCGGGGGGACCCCCTGGGCTCCCTGCTTTGGGAGCGGAGACTTCCTAATTCCTAATGGTGTATTCACGCGGCAGATATTTCTCCAGAGAGAATCAAGTATGTCTTAGAGCTGCCAAGAGGAAAGGTTGCGAGAAGGAGGCGGCGATGCCAGAACAACCGAGCGAGCATTCACTGGACAGAATCGCATTTAGTTGAGTCGGCGGAGTTTTTCTTTTCACAAATGTATTTGCAACCTTTGCATCCCCATCAAGTAAAAGGAAGTGGAAGAAAAACAAAAATAAAAGACCCTGCACCTCAGTGCCGCTGACCGTAATCCTTCCCCAACAGGAACGACTCCGGCCACTCTGATGGTGTGATGGATATTTTGTGGGCCAGTCACGACTTGTCTGTGGCTACCTGCGGACTCGGAGGATTAGCGAACATCCGTAACACGGCACCCGTGACCTCAATACCTGACGACTTTTAATCCTCTTCTTGGAAAAAAAAAAATCTCCATCGTGTGAATACACCATAAGGGGAGCCCTTCCTGCATAGAGTATAAACAAAGCGGTCTTTCTTCCCCCATTTTTTTTTTCTCCGAGTAAAAATGGGCATTACGAATTGGACGTTGATGGCAGTTCCAGCAACCTAAGGTGGGTAGCGCTGGTCTCTTTAGAAATGGTGGATGAAAGGAGACTGCAAAAGACTATTGCAGTGCCCCCGAGATTTAGGGGAAACCGTATTTAGAAGGTCTTCACGGGGCGGGTGAAAATTTGTTCACACCGTCTTTCAGGAGATATCACCACCGTGAAACGTGGATGGACCCTCCGAATGTGGGACCAGCCAGAGTTCTTGCAGCTCGCGTAGCAAAGGAAGGCTCGCCGTTATTAGTTGTCCTCATTCGTGGCTGTACACGCCTTTGATCCCCGAAACTATGCGGTGTACCTGGTTAGGCTTACTTGTCTGCAAGAGGACTACAATATGTGCTCTCGTTTTGGGTGTTGTGGCTGACGGCTGTCTGCCTTTCAGGAACCCTGATGTCCATCCTGTCGATGATGCTTGTGCTGTCCCTGGCCAACCTGTTCTTTGGATCCTACCTGCTTTTCCAGGTGCGTGAGTGTAGCGGGGGAAGGGGCCTCTGGCGGGTGTGGGGACTGAGTGAGGGGTTTTGTCTTCCAGATGCACCTCTACCTCGGCCTGATCCTCTTCTGCTTCTTCGTGCTGTACGACACCCAGCTGATCATTGAGAAGAGGAAGCGCGGGGAGCGTGACTACATCAGGTGAGGCTCAGGGCAAGATCATGAAGTCAAATGGAAAGCCCAAGAGCTCCCCCGAAATGACAGCTCCCCTGAAACCAACAAATTTTTCATGTTAAAGAGTACCATGTTTCCCATGTGTATGTCACATTTTGTTTCCTAAATTTTTTCTGTCTGTTTTGGTCAACAGTGCGACTTGTATGCATTTTTTTTTTATAAGTATGAAATTTAACTGAGCAAGATGTAGGTGGCATTGACGTACACAACAAAGGAGGAATGGCAGAGCACCCGCTAATAACCTGCTCTCCCGCCCTCCGAAAACTGTTTAAAGCGTGGCAGCGTAGGTCCGTGGCTGCAGCGACCCCACGCACCATTCTTCGCAGCACTCCGTAATCATGTCCAACTTATACAAAGGTGCAACTTATAGACCAACCTTTTTGTGTGAACGGCCGTTTTAGGCGGGTGCAACTTGCAGCTCAAATAATGCGGTATTAACAAAAACAACCTTGCGTAACATGTTTTGCCAAAAAATAAAAAAAGGGTGCAATTTTGTTTAGACAGGATCACGAGCCAAAACTTTGGCTGTGGCAGGCAGCTATGGCACCACGTTTTCAACTCCATGTTGGAGTCCGGGGGCACAAACGGGCATGGTGGAAGTATGGGGTAGTGCTTGCACACCTTATGCATTAAATTCCTCTCTTTTGTGATCAGGTCTTGTTTGCCAGATTCACTGTCCTTTGGAGATATGGTTTGAATTGTTTTCATTGTCTGAAATGTTGCTCAATGTCTCGTAGTATGAGGACATTTTCATCGTGTTTATCAAAAGCAATGACGATAATAAAGCAGAGTTTCGCGAGTTCATGAAGCATCATGCTTTGAAATGTAGTACCAGTTGTCTTTTACCGCATGCATTTGCCAGCCTTAGCTACCATAGTACTTCTCCTCGGCAGCTTGCCAGTCTCAAGTGTAAATGCATAGCTACTGGAGTGGCAGGGGAGTATTGAGTGATAGTGGCAAATAGTGAGAGGGTGTTTCTGTAACTGTCGGCTACAAGTGGAAAAGAATAGGTCCACATTCATATTCCGTAAAGTTCTCGAAGGACGCCCGCCCTTGAGAGATCACTCATCCCGTTTTTGTGGCTAAATATCTTTAACATAAACATTCTGAAACATCACCCACCCCCGATTTCTGTCGGACATAACGCGATGTAGGAGAATCGCATAAACCGCGCAATTGGCTGTACCTGCACGTCTGGCAAGCGAGATCATAGCGGGTTACCACATTTTTCTCTATGATCTGCATGCGCGATATCGGCTCCGGTAACACGAGAGTTGTTCTCTCGTTTATGTTGCACTGTGAAATGTGAATCTGCTGCGTCCACAATCTGTGGTATCTTTTCCGGTGACAAAGTTTGTAGCAAATTCCCGCATTTTTGTCTGCGATCTCATTCCATGCGAGTTGGTCCCACCTGTATATTGCATCATAAAATACAATTCTGCTGCGTTCGCGATCTGCGGTATTTGTTCTCGTAACATACGAGTTCGTAGCGGATTTCCGCGTTATTGTCCGTGATCTGCGTGCGTGATATCGGTTCCTGTGACAGGCAAGTTTATAGCGGGTTCTCGAGTGTTCATTGCACCATAAAACTTGAATCTGCTGCGTCCGCGATATGCGGTACTCGTTCCCGTGAGATGCGAATTCTCGGCAAGTTTCCGCGGGTCCTTCGCACCGTGAAACGCGAATCTACTGCGTCTGCAACCTGCAATATCTTTTCCCGTGAAACGGGAGTTTGTAGCGAATTTCCGCCTGTTTATCACATCGTGAAACACGAATTTGTGGTGTTTGCGATCTGCGGTATCAGTTCCGGCATCACGTAATTTGTGGCCGGTGTCAGGGTGTTTATCATTAATTTTTGATAAAGTTTTGCTGTGGCATTCCCGAAGATAGGCCACCCCGTGTGTTTCACCATATAATCTTTATTTTGGGTGGGCGTTGTTTCGGAGCTTTACGGTAGAAAATGTGGGAAACGACTTGTTCTTATTACAATTATATAAAGTAATTGTGGTACCAGTGAAGTTAAAGGTTCCTTGTTAAAGGTTATGTTCACACTGAATAGAGCACGTCGATATCTGCTTAATCTGTACTTAACGATGCCTATTTTGTCATTTCAATGTTGTACCTGGTTTATTTCTAGTTATATTTTAGGCCCAGTCACATAGGTAGTTTCCGTATTGTCACCCTTTCAAATGCCAGTTGCAAATTCCTGAAAGTACCGTGCTAAACACAGTTTGTGGCACTGTTAGATAAGGAAATGTTATTTTTAGAGATGGTGGGGTGGCTGGAAGTGACATGGTTTTATTAAAGTATTTAAAGGGGCGATGGAACAATTTTTGCACTTTGCGCAAATACCGCTTAAAACGGATCCCTGATGTTAATGACCTATGAAACACGCGTTTGTTTTTCACCCCACGCAATAGAAGTTCTAGAAAATGAAAGAAAGACTAGCAGCGTTCACCCCCTCAACTGGCAGCCAGAACAAGCGGCCACGTGATCTGGAGCCGATTATATGCCGCCAATGTTGACCATAGCTACGCGCTGGGGTTGGAAAAGCACAGGACACGCGCTGAGTTCCAGACATTGTAATGGCTCGGCTATTGTCGTCGTTGCAGCGATTGGGCATGGGCCACTACCCAAATGCATGTCGAAGCATTGATTGTCACGAGCGTAGATCGGATGCGTACGCAGTCTTCGTGTCCACTGTGTGAGCAGCATTTGAATATCATCACCGTAAAGCTCGATGACGCATTCCCGGGGATCGTACTGTTGCCATTGTCCCCACGCGAAGGAGCAAAAGGCGGCTTTGGAAGGAGAACTGAAAGAAAAGCTCCGCTTTCATCCTTTGAATTCCGCCGCGACGAAGACGCTTTTTGGTCAGTGGTGTTGCTTTCGAGTATTCTTGGGTCCCACTAGTGCCAGGAAGCTGGTGTAAAGTAAGAAATATTCCTACTCAATGTTGTTGCACTGCCCCTTTAAGTCAGTGTGTTTCTAATAGACTTTCAGTTGCGAGTGCGCGCCGTGCTGTCGTTACCTCCTTCACTTTGTGCCGGTCCTTCGGTGCTTCTGTCCAGCCAAAACAAAGGTGTAGGCCGGAAATATAACTGAAAAACCGTTATATGCATAAATATTCACAGAAAAAAAAATTGAAATTTTCTTTCTAGATAAAAACTGAAAAAAGCGTGTTGAATTTGATAAAAAAGCAAAAAGAAAAAAAAAACAAAAAAAAAACGCCAAGCCCTATAATAGACATAAGTTGCAGAGGGTGGGCTGTGCCACAGGTCTGCTCAATTAGCAGATTTAAATGAATTGGTGAGTGTGAAACTTTGCTGGCCATTTTAAGAAACATTTAGATGGCATTGCATCTTAATAATTGACTCTTGGTCTTCTTAGATGATACTGAAGAAAGTTTCATTGTTTTTTCAATCACAAAACTTGAGTGGAGTTGCCCTTTTAACTTGTTTGGACCCCCCAAAGCATCTGGGTGATTTTATCTCAAATTGGGCAGGCTAAAAGTGCCTCATTTTTATTTTTTACAAGAAAAATATATGTCTTAAGAGCAAAAGAAAGGAGGGCACAAACTGCCAGTTTTCCGTATTATTTGTTCTCGAGTTATGGGGCATAGAAGATGCTGCGGCAGGAATTAGTATTTTCCCTTGCGTCGCAGGTCGTGTGTTTGACGCCCTCTGCTATCGTTATTTTTTCTTTGCCTCCTTTAAACTTTTCTTAAAGGCCGACGTACACTTCGCGCTTTTAACTTTTGCCCGTTTCCTCCTTTTTTATGTCCTCTCCACTTTTTACCTTGCCCCAACTTGGCTCCTCTCGCAGATTAGGAGAGGGGAGGGCTAACAGGATTATCTTCCCTGCAGAAAACCGAGGTTGTACGTCAACCTTTAAGTGTTTAGTAGGTAGTACTACAAAGACACCCGGAATAAAATAAAAACTTACAAGTTTTTTTGTTTTTTTTTAACAGAATGTGAAGCTCACCTTCCAGATAGATTTTTGGTCAACTTTGACAGGTCCCTGCTTTGGTTAAACTTAAAGTAAATTAACTTTTTTCGATCTATGGAAAGCCTAAAACAAGCTGATTATAGATATAATAATATCATTCAGACCTGTTAGCCATCTCGCTATTGTTGCATAAACGGTGTATGAAATAACAATTTGCAAGTTTATAATTACCTTTCTCAAAAACACCATTTTTTATTTTTAGTTTTTGAATGCTTTTAGATAGAATATCCGACTATAAAAAAAAAACGCACAACCTATAAAAGTAATATTTTGGTTGTATGTCCTAGTTGAGCTTGCAACCTTGTGAAATATGTGTTCCTTTGGATAAACAACAAGCACCCTTATCTGACCTTGTGTGTCTATGATTTCCAATAGACATTTGTATTTTTGTCTACTTTTTGAGACACAACCATAAAGTACACGAGCAACTAGCGATTTAGTGTGGCAGTTGAAAGAGGCATTTACAGAGCTACTTCCCTCTGCCACCCAAACGCTCCCTAACTTGATCTGTTTCCCAGCAGGGAGCGTGCGCATGGCCTGTAGTCGCCTTATGCTTTGTTCTACTGCAGTTCTAATACGCGGCTTCGCTTAAGCGTCTAGCTTATATGTTTGAGAATCACTTCTGCGAGCAACGGTCTAGAAACTTGAAAGACCACACCAGTTGCTTTGAGGTCAGCCCAGTGATAGCCGTTTATAAACACTGTTCCTGTTGTTGAAGTGAAAAGTTTGCACCAGTGCATACGCGAGACAGAACACGTTTCAAACGAAGCTCACAAGAGTAGCAATAAACAGTACAAAGCACATTCGAAGACAGAGAAGTTATACACAAAGCAAAACCACCTCCGAAGTGGAGATCCCAAAAGCAGACATGCACAAGACAAAACATCTCCAACGCAGGGTTCTAAGAACTAAGTACCGGTACAGCGAAAACCCAGAGCAGCCGCATAGATGTGTCAACACATGCACGTACCACTTTGTGCCCTGAAAGTAGATTATCAGCGAGTGTGTGCCGGCATGTTTGAAACTACGATCGTGAACTGCCTGGCTTCTGTACTTCGTTCACCCCTAAGCTGAGACTGCAGTGAAAACTACGTCCTCATTGGACTAGTCGTACCCCTTTCTTTGGCCGCGTCATCACGCTCCCGGCCATACCCACACACAGAGCCGGGTCAGGTGATGAGAGGGAGGTGGCTGATTGGTCCAGCGGCCACGTAGCTCCCACCGTAGTCTCAGCTTAAGGGTGAACGAAGTATAGACAGTGCAGAAACTGGTTCGCAGCTACATTGAACTAGTCAAATAATGTACTGCCTTCAAAGAATGTGATATTGACTTTTTAGGGGCGAAGCTCCTTAGGGTTTAGCCTTGTCCGTCTGGCGTCCGTGCTCACATTGATCTTGCTGGTGCTCGCGCTCATGAGCTCACATGCTCACATGCTCGTGTAAAGCAAAAAATGAAAAAAAAAAATAAAATGTTTGCGCAGTCGACAGGATTCGAACCTGTGTGGGGAGACCCCAATGGATTTCTAGTCCATCGCCTTAACCAGTCGGCCACGACTGCGGGACGAGTAGGGGGCTCTGAGATGTGGTAGTAACGCAAGAGCTGGGGATGTCATGGATGAAACGTTGCATGTAGCCACTCAACGTCCATAGGCCTTTGCAAAAAGAGCGCTCTGGCCGCCGCCATTTTGTGAATCGAGTGACCCCTATCAGCCAGAAATTTCTTGCACCCGCCTGAGCTGTGGAAACCCGGTCAGCGTGACTCCCCACCTGCATTTTGCATTCGGAGTTCGCCGGCTTTTCTTGGAAGTTTTTGCTTTATTCGCCTGCTTAGGATGCTTACCCTTTGTGTGTCACCTTCCACTGTGAGAACCAGGGAATACCAGTGCTCTAGCCTGCTCGGCCTTCGCAGGAAACAAACGAAGAGAGCGAACGTCAAGCAGCCCGCGACGCAGGCAGTTCGACGTTCTTGGAGGATTATTTCCGTTCAGATAATCTCCAAAAAGCCTTCCCGGCTGTGTTCCGGGTTTTCGCGTAAAATAGCTGATAGAGTCGGGTCCGGGGTGTGGGGACGACACGTTCGTTCATTTGCTTTGAAGCTGTGCAAAAATGCTGCTCTCTTCTACATGTTCCCCAAAGCACGCCGAATTCCGTCCGATCGTCATGAAGTGACTGTTGTTGACACTGTATGTTGGATATGCTGTGTTATTTGAGACCTTTCTCAAATCCTGTTCGGATAACGCGGCACCGTGGGGTACGTACAATATATGTTCGATTGGTGAGACTCGCTGAATTTCATGTTGTGGACGGGGAATATCCACGCATTTCGGATATCCTGTGTGGTCAAATATTTTGACCTTTATGGATTGACATGGCTGAGTGTACGGTGCCGTAAAACGAGGAACATAAAATGAAACAAACATTCCAGTTGCATTTGTTCTGTCGCGCACGGACTCAACAAAACAGCTTTCATTTCTTTGCGTTTGTTCCCAAAAATAGATCACCGCTTTCTTAAAGACCTCTATAAATTATGTTCGCCACAGAACACAACATTTAAAAAAAACGCGGCAATTCAGCCGCCACCGGCGTCCGGAATTGCGCCTACACAGGCTGCCACAGCTTACTGACGAGAAACTCCACAGCTCAGCACAGTCGGGCAACACTGACGTACACTCTCAAAACCAGGGACGCGCGCTATAAATGGCTTCGTTCGAGACTGCCGCTGGAAAGGTCTATACAGTAGAGGGCGCTGCGGTCAAATGCGTATATAATTGCGTTAAACTTTGCATGCATTGGCTCAACATTTATAGACGAGAGGGCGCTGCGGTCAAATGCTCAAATGCGTATATAACCACGTTCCATACCACACATTCTCTTTCTGACATGGATGAAAACGAATGAAAGGCTCGGCATGCTGCGGCTCACCGTCTACGCAGACAAGCACCACCAGAGCTTCGCCCCAATCAACATCATTCACCACATGGAGATGCGGTCAATTTTTTTTTTTTCAAACTGGTTCTGTGCGCAAACTTTTGTATATTACTTAGCTGCAAGAATTTTGCAGTCAACTGTTGGTGATTTCCACAATCTGAGGTGTACAAAACCCGGTGTGTATTTTCATAAGTTTTATGTACAAGATTTGAATAGTGTGGTAACACCGTCGTTTATTTGAAGCCTTAATATATAGAAACAATCTTGATATGTTGCGTGGCATTCTGATTTTTATAGACTTCTCACTCACTGTTTTGTAGTGTGCATATATGTTTTTGTTTTATAGCAAACTAAATTTTAATGAATATAAAAAGTTCAATTTTTTTTTTTACAACGTAATTAAAATATATGTTTGAAATCATAGACGTCCAAGGTCAATAAGGATGCGTGTTGTTTATACAAAGGAACACTAATTTCACAAGATTGTGGCTTAAATAGAGGACATACAACCAAAATATGACATTTCTAGACTGTTTTTTAATTGTCTACTATTGGTATCTAAAATAACACAAACAAAATTTTAAAAAATTTACTTTTTGAGAAAATTAATTTTAAACATGCTACTTTTGTTATTTTATACACTGTTTACACAACGATAGTGAGATGGCTAATTGACAGATCAGAACAATATTATTGTATCTATAATCGGCTTGTTTTGGAATTTCTTAAGTTTAACCAAATAGGGACCCCTCCAATTTGACAAAACATCGACCTGGGAGGCGAGTTTCACATTTTGTTAGAAAAAATTAAAGAAACTTGTAAATTCATATTTTATCCAAGGTGTCTTATAGTACCTACTAAATGCTAGAAAAAGTTTAAAGGAGGCAAAGAAAAAAAAATAACGGCAATAGAGGGTGTCACATAAACGACCTGCCGCAGCATCTTCTACGCTCCATAACTCAAGAACAAAAGATACGGGAAACTTGCTGTTTGTGCCCTCCGTTCTTTTAGAAATGCCCCCAAGGCAAATATTTTTCTCGCAAAAAAATAAAAATTAAGCACTTTTAGCCTGCCTGATTTGAGATGAAATCACTCATCTGTCATTTAATTAGCACCTTTCTATCTTGCCACTTTCAGCCTTGTACTAAGGCTACTGCAATGTTTGTAGCATCAAGCGACAGCAAGTAGTGAGATGTAGGAATGTCTAGTGTTTGTCTGGCAGTGCATGGAAGGCCGAGTTGGGTGCAGAAATGAAGGGACGCTCTGTTGCCACTCCTTGCAGACACTCTGTGGACCTCTTCATTGACTTGGTCAGCATCTTCAGACACCTGCTTGTGATCCTGACTCAGAAGGTGGGTACAGGGGTCCAGTGGAAATGCCGCCCACCCCATTGTCTTGGTGTCGGAGGGGTGGCCACACAGCTTGCGCTCTTGTCTGGGCTTCTGGCCGAGTGGTTTAGTGCACACCATCTTGGAGCAAGTGGAGCGAAAGCTCGCGCTGCAAAATCCAGGGATCCTGAGTTCAATCCCCACCCCTGCCCGTTTTGATCTGGATGAGCATCGTACCGGCGTGCGGTCGTGTACCACTACTGCGTGGTGCATGTTAAAGACCCCCAGGCTGGTGGTTGTACTGCACTGGCTAAATTACTCATCTGCAGCTGAGAGGCAAGTCGCCTGTTGAGGCAGACTATGTTCAAACTGTGTAAACATACACACACCAATTTTTTTTTTTTTTGCCTTGTCTGGGAGAGGCATTTGCTGAAAACGGGCAGGGTGGAGCAGTGGGCCTCTGCTGTTATTGCTCATGTGCATGTGTGGATTTTCATTTCGCCTTGGCTCTTTGTCACACACTCTGAAACCTTGCAGTGGGTGTCTTTTCTAGTCAAGAAATATGAAGCAACATGGAAGAGTTTTTCTTGAGATACAGTAGAACCTCGGTGATAAAACCGGGGAAATAAAAACTACAATCTGGGAAATCGTAAGAAAAGAGGACGTTATACGGGCGGAAGTGGGAGGTGGGTGCAAACATGAGACAGATAGGAATTGCCGCAAAGCACTTTTTCTACGCAAACATTCGAAGGTGTGAACTCAAATTGGGCTGAGAAAAAGTTTGTAAACATTTATAGGTGTAAACTGAAATAAACATACTGCAAAAGTTTGTAGGCATGATCTCAAATCTGTTTAGAAAATGTTCGTAAACATTTTTCAGCGTGAATGAATGCGTTCATTGAAAGCTCGTAATTTCCATCTGGCACTTTTGGTAACTGAACTGTAGGCAAACGACGGGGTCCGGGGCTTGCAGGGGGGCGTTTGCCGATGTCCTCGTCGGTTCGTCCCGGTGCAACCATTTAGGAGAGGTTGCGGCGTGCTATGGTTGGCGACAAGTCAGAAATGAAGTGGACGCTCCTCTCGCCTCTTTCCACTCCAGCAGAGCGAACGCTGGAGAGGAGGTGGCCTCCTGTCCAGCATTCGCTCTGCTGAAGTGGAAAGAGGTGGGAGGAGCTTCCACTTCATTCTTGACCTGTCACTGACTATAGACGAGTTTCGGCAGAAGCTTCTTTACACGGACCCGGAGGAGTACCAGAACCTCCAGCGCATCAGCCAGGCGAAGTTCTTGCAACTTCTTTCACAAGTGGAACCAAGAACCGCGTGACAGCACAAACAATCAAATAAAAAAAAAAGGAACAAAGCACATTGATGTTCTATCTTTGTGTTGCTCGTTAAAAAAAAAAAAATTGTTGCTTGTATAAACATGTTTAAAGTAAAAAAATCCGCAATTAAAACGGCACTCTGCTTTTTCAGTCCACGATTTTCAGTGGAGGTTGACTCGAAAAGCGTTTGTTGGCAACACCACCACCTTTTTTTTGGCAAGTAAAACCAATATGGCACATTGTTTCCTTTCGTCTATTCCCTCCATTCACTGGGTTGTTTTGTCGTGCAATTCTCGGTTCCACGCGTGAAGAAGCTGCAGGAACAGTTGCCGGCTGATGCACTGCAGGTTCCAGTACTCTTCCAGGTCCGTGTCGAGAAGCTTATGTCAAAACTCATCTGTGGTTTATTGAAGTTTTGCGTGCGAGTGCGCAGGGGGACAAGGAAACAGGCAAATGCCCCTTTGCAAGGCTGGGACTCCGGCCCTTCTTGAGCAGGGACCACACTTGCGTTATTCCTTGGGTTAGTAAAGGTTGTGGCACTTCGCGCACAGCCTCTCGCAATGTTCTGTCTCATGCGGCACGTAATGGAGGTGCACAGTTCTTTTTCGTATCAATGCAATGGTGCCGGGACCGTGGCGACAAACGTCTCATTAGCTCGTAGACCAAGCCGCCAAGTGGTTTGGCCGATCCACGCTTGAAAGACGAACGATCTGCGAACTTGTCGTTGCATGGTCAATACGTCTGTGAAACGGTACGTCGTGTAAATCGGCCAGCACCGTGGGCGCTATATCAGCGGCTTTTTGGACCTAAGAACTGGGAAAGCAAATGTGCTAGGCAGGAAATTAATATGTAGGTTCCTATAGGAGCTCGGCAGGACTGGCACTTCTGAACGTAAAAGTTGGGAAAACGCAAAAACCGGGAACTTATCAACAATGTTCCGCGGTATCTTGGATTGACCTTAAGTTCAGAATTGTGCAGCAAGAAAGGAGGGCACGATAGTTGCTTGTGTGGCACTTTACCAACTCGCCTTTCTAACTGGCCTCGTTAGCTGTCGCCAGAGAATTGCGGGCTGCAGTTTAAAACATTTTTTTACTGTCAAGCGAGCATCCACTACACAGGGGTGGAACGGCTGCGCCATTTGCGCCATTTCGTGCCAAACACGTCTGCGCCATTTTGCAGAAACTGCCACTGCCAATACCTTGCGCCATTATGCACCAAATCGCACGTGTGCCAAAAAAAATTGTATTTTGTCTTGGTTTCGATTTCTATCGACTCAATTGGCAACAATGAGCACATTTAGCTTGGCTACCCTTGCAATCCTTTGTTCTGTTTATTCTTCCCGTGTATCCCGAGTCGGAAGCGCGCAAAAAAACTTGAGGATCGGATTCCAAGCGCTACACCTGCGGCTGGATTGTTATTCTTCAACCATCGGGGGTTAAGCACGTCGGCCGAGGTGAGGAGAGTCGTTAAGCGTCGGATTGCCTGAGGCTCTGCGGCCCGGGCTCCGGACGTTAGCCAGTTGAAAACAAATGAGCAAAAGATTCCTTTTAGTACTTCATCGTTAGAAGTTGGAACCGCATTCCCGCAAGATAAATTGTGATTTGATAGATCTGAAACGCGGTCCAATCCAAAACATTGCCGGCCAGCAGCTGTCACGCGAGCTTTAGATCTGCTCGACGTACTTTAACCTTGCTCCTGCTAATCGCTTTGAATACGATAACTTCGTTGATCGTCGTCGGCTGCTTCGATATTGAGTTGCACAATAGTATAAACTTGAAATTTGTTGCCCTGTTCCTCCACGCAACTGCACGTCAGTCGCTTACGCACGTCAAGAGGTTTGCACATATAATTACTATGTTGAGCACGTGTGGGTTGTGCGATAAGCAGTGATGGTTTGCATTTTGAGCAGCTGAAAGCCACTCAGAAAATATCAAGGACACCACCTTCAGAAACATATGGTACTTGCTTTTTGTTTCTAATTAAGGCTCCCAAAGTTTCAAGTTTTCGCATCTGTTACACTGTTATCCCATCTACCTAGGTTCCTAACCACTCATGTTCATCTGTGCTGCTAAGCACAATTGAAATTGATCCTGTGCTCATCTAAGACACAAGCTGAAGTGCAATGAAAACTGATCTGAGCTGCTTCTAGCCTGCTCCAGAATGTAGTTTTAGCTGCTCCCAACCTGCTCCAAAACAGCGGTTTCAGCTGCTCCTGTGGCTGCTCCCAAATACATTTCATGAGTTCCACCCCTGACTACAGTCTAATGAACGGAAATGATTGACTTCAACCGAACTGCACCAAGAACGAAAAACAGTATATTCCCAATTTAGAACTAGTGATACAGCCAATCCACCCATATACAGCCTCATTCACACAGCCGGCGCCTCTACCATCTCGGCACCGTCACGGGAGCACGCCGGGGCGGGGACGCGACGGCAGGGTGTCCGAACAGGCTGCGCAAGCAAAGCGACGGAGGCTGCGACGGCAGGATTGGATTGGATTGCTTATTTATTCAACTTACATTTACAAAATCAAGAGATAATTGTGCCTGAACATTAGTGCGCACGTTTCTTTTCTTGTAAATTAAGGATTTGCGTCTGCTATTAGCAATTTCCGCCGAAAAGGAACAAGAAAAACAACACAAGCGTTAGCTCACTGTTGGTAACGGTATAATGAAAAAATTTTCCAAACTTGGCAAAACTTTTGTATTTTTTGATTGGTCGATTTTCGATGGGGGCGGGACTCTGTCATCCGCCGGGATGGCGGTCCACCCGTAGAGCAGCTCCCTACGTCGCCCGGCACCCGGCACGGCACAGCTTTCCGTCGAAAACCGGGCCGAAAATCCTCTCCCCTGACGGGAACGCCCCTTGCAACGGTGACGGGATTGGAGAAACGCCGGCTCTGTGAATGAGGCCTAATACTACCAGTTTTTGAGGCGTTTTTGCTACCGATCTCCCTCCAGAGGGAGATTGGTAGGGAGGCGGTAGTTTGAATACGCTAGCTAGTTATATGGCCATTTTTGACTGTATGAACCAGGCACCATCTCGGGAGTGCCTATCCCATGCACTCAAACCGTGGACACAGACGTCTGATTGCTTCCCATGTGGAACAGTGACATTCTTGTAAAACATTCTTTGAAAATGAAGGTTTGTAGGTGTGCAGTTTTGTTTACATAACCAATTAAAATTACCACAGTTGAACCCAGATAATACCAGAGAACTTAAATCTGAAACAGGTTCGCGTATCCAGAATTTAAGCTTGGGGATTTGTGAAAGAAGTCTGTTATTTTATGCACATGGGACGTACGCAGCGTATAGCGTGGGTTTGTATACCAGTTGGTGCCATTACTGGGAGTGGGCCATCTTGTGAGCCTTTGTAAGCAAGCGTTGCCTCTCCCGTTTCTCGTTGCAGGAAAGCAGCCGGCGTGAGAAGCGGAACTGATGGCTTTGCAGCACTGGCAGGATTCCCTGGGCTGCAGAGACTTTTTTTTTTCTGGGATTGTTTAGGTGTCATTGAGCAAGGCCTAAATTCGCGTCTTTAACCCTGTCCTGGAAGCCTCTCGTGCGGCTCCCCCCACATTGAGTCATAAATCTGCAAACGTGCCCCTCTGGTTTCCAAGTGTCTGAGTTCAATGGAAATATATTCTTTGTGTGAGGCCGACTTTTTTTTTTTGGTGCTCTTGACTTTGCTTGGTTTATCTGCTATTTTGACTGAGTTTAAATTTTGTTTTTCTGCTTCGTTGCTTGAGCATAGGAAGCAGTCTGATCCAGTTGGAGGGCTGTACTTTGGCTATTTTGTTGCTTTTTGTTTGTGGCACATCTTAGAGTGTTTTGTGTTTCTTGCCTGTATACCCAGTCTGTATGTGACGTTACAGTGAATACATTATTGTCATTCACGGCGCAACAGATGTACTGACCTTCCACACAAGAAAAACAGCTGACAATCATTCTCGGTATTCTGGGGTCATACTATTTGTGTGTGGCTGTATTTCTGTGGTCCAATAAAAGTTTCTCGGGTTCTAGACTAGCATCCCCGAGTGCCCTTTGTTTCTTCATTCCAGACAACTGTTGAGGGTTGTGGTGTGGGTGTCGCCCTACAGGCAGCACTCTGCAGGCTCCATCTCGGGACTACTCTTGCCCATTTGACAAAGCAAGTCGCACCTTCCCTTCTGGCCCACCACATCCATACTTTTCACGAGTCTTCCGTTGCACGAAAATTTGAACATGTGGACCTTAGATTCCGTTCCTGCAGTCGCTGCGGCACAAAACATGCATTTGGCACGTTGACGTGAGCTAGTCAACTTCGAGCGTTGTACGTGCCAGACTAACGAAAAGCACCTGGCATGACCCATTGGACTGAGGGTGCTTCGACCACCTGGGGATCTCCTGACATGCAACTGAAATGTCTGTTGCACAACGCTGCCTTTCCAATTAAGCCTTCGTCAGATTGCAGGCATCCAGGTCAAGATTCGAACCCGTCGACGTGAGAAATTTAGCATTTGCAAGCGAACGGATTATAACACTTGTCAAAATGACGGAGAAAACTGGCCATATATTCATGCATGGTTGCAAAGAAGCCACAAACGCAGTGAATCTGCTGACTTGCAGACAGAAACGTGACCCCGCGTGTTGGCGAGGCTTCTTGTCATGAGTGATTCTTGTCTAGTAGGTCAAGTCCTGCAGGTGGCTATCGGATGGCTGCAGGCATTTTTCTTTGAATTTTTGCCACTTCAAGGGTGCCAGTATATGGCTTCATTATAGCATGCCTTTAATTAGGGATGTCGCGAACCACCCTAGGTTCGATTTCGAAAGGTTTCGATATTTGCGAAGCGAACTGAGGTTCGATTTCGAAAAATTTCAATATTTTCGTACCGACCGAGGTTCGATTTCGAAAAATTCGCAACTTTTGACCACAGCGGAGTTTCGAATTCGAACATTTCGAAGCTTTCACGGTTTCTAAAATTTCGAATTCGAATATTTTTTTACTTCAGGTTCGATAAATTCGAAGATTTAGAAATTCTTTGTAAAAAAAATTCGAGAACTTCGAACGCTTCGAATTTTTATAGACATGAAGTTCGAACAATTCGAAGATTTCGAATTTCTTTTTGCATAAAGTTCGAAGGTTTCGATTCTCTTTTAACGCCAAATTCAAAAAAAAAAAAAAAAATCTTCGAAGATTTTGAATTTCTTTCTAATCCAAGTTTTCAAAGTTCGAAGTCCGATTTTCAAGTTTTTCCACAGTTTCAAATAACGTTTTCACGACTCACTGGTTTTCACAAAATCAAGTTTAGAAAAGTTAGGGTGTGATATCTAGATTCTGCGAAGTTGGTCAGGCAATTAAATGAGACGACGAGTGTCCCGGATGGTGCTGGAATATTTGCCAGTGCAGAATTGTGACCGCCAGCCCCGGGGGGGGGGGGGGGGGGTCTTTAACCTGCATCACGCAGTAGTGATTGCACGAACACACTGTTTTACGAGACTCATTTAGTTCGAAACGGCCAGGGGCGAGCAGGAGGTTGAGGCTCAGAAAAACCTTGAAGCGACCTGGCAAACTAGCTCGCCACCCCTTGCACGCTGGTAGTAATCCGATCCGGTGAAGTTTATAATTGTCGTGGAGGTTTATTTTCTGGGACGGAGGAATCGCCTCGCAAAAAGCACAAATGCCGACACAACTCGAGGTCGAGGAGCGTTCTACCATACAAGTGGCGTCGGAAGAGGAAAAACGGGGGGAAAGAGGGTAGCGGGGGGGGGGGCTTCAGCCTCTTTCTCCCCCTTGCAGGTATTTCGGACTGTTAAAGAAAACAATACGGGGAAAGAGGGCGTGGTCGAGCTTATTTTAATCTGAAATTATTTATGCATATGTATAGCTACTGTCGCTCTTCACTGCATAAAAGGTTGCGTAGATGGTCATTGTTAGAAACTCGTTGTCAGAAGGCACTGCTCGTCACATGCTTAGTGGTTCGGAAGTTCAAAGCTGTCTTTTCGACCTAAACACCTGTGCCGATAGTAAAAAAGAAAAAAAAAAAAAAGAATAAATGCGGGAATAAAAAGCAGGAGGAAAAAAAAACTATCAAGAATTCGTCGAAAGTGCTCTATTCTTGCATATTCAGAGGTTCAGAACTTCGAAACAAGTTTCTTTTACCAAAATGTGTACAGGCTAAAAGAAACACGTCCCAGGAACGTGAAGCGAAAAAAAAAAGTTTTCTTTTAATGACGTGCTGAACTTAAACACTATTAGATATGTACTGTCTGTGGTGTTAATTTAAATGCGATACCTCAAACAACTTAGACGAAAATAAATATCAAGCTTAGGTCATAATTGCATGCATATACATGTTTGGACATTTCTTCGAAACTCACGTTGAATAACAATAATCACATCTTAAGACGGCACTTACCTAGGCTATACATAGATCATTCTTAAAAAAGTATAACCTATCTACCATAAATAGCTCCGGCTGCAGCGTGCTTCAAATCTGGCACAAACGATAATCGTCAAAAACCCGTCGTCCTTCCTCGCCCCTTCGGGGATTTATTTCTTTAAACCTAAGCATGCCAGAACATTGAAATAAACGACATTGTCTTTCGTAAGGAACGCAGCACCGCGTGTAAAAGTTCGAGAAAAAAAAATCACGACTGTACCCCACTACTTGAAATCAAATGAAACCGTCCGCCGGTCGTCGAACTTCTGAATTTTCAGAATTCAAAAGTTCGAAACTTTTCGAATTCTCTCGATAAATAAATTCGAAAGTTCGAAATTCATCAAATTTTTTGGTCAGTCAAGTTCGAAAGTTCGACAAGCATCGAACCTTGCAGCGCAATAAGTTCGAAAAAGATCGAATTTTTTAGCGTAATAAGTTTGACGGTTCGAACAGCGTCGAACTTCTTAGCTTAACAAGTTCGAAATTTCGACCTCCGTCGAATTTTACGATATAGACAATTCGAAAAATCGAAATCTTTCGAACCGCATGATTCGATCATCGAAACTTCGATTCGAAAAAAGTTTGCGGCATCCCTACCTTTAATTCCACCTCTAGCATGCCCAACTGAACACTAGGTCTGTAGATGTCCTTGGGATGTTATTCTAATGGGGAGTTTTAGCAGATTGTGCTTTCCTAAAAGGATACTGGCATCAGCAACTCTGCCACATTGGAGCATGCTCCAAAACTCGCACCTGGGGCAGTATCGGGCCTTCGAAAATGATTTCCTAAGACTCCCTATTGATATTCGTAGAATGAATCGTGCTGAAGCTCATCAGTTTTGTTGTTTCTTAAATAGTACAAGTAAACAACTCTTAATTCCATGCTTCTAATGCATCTGAGGAGTATTCAGAGCACTACTTCTCGCTTTTTTTTATATTAGCGATCCGACTGGAATGGAATTTTCCAAGCACATCTTCCCCTTACATTTTGGTTGTAAATATCTACTCCATTTTTATACAGCTTAATCAGTTTGCATACTATTAAAGATTTCATCCGTAAAAATTATGATTTAGATCAAGATAAATCCAAACATTGAAATCGGAAAATATACATCTCACTGAACTAGTTACAGAATCCAGTAAGGTAGGCCCATTCACACTCTTGCGACCGAGTACGACAGAGAGACGAGATCTCTTACAACTTCTTAAATGTTTCTAGAATGAGAAAACACACTGACATTGTGGCGCCATCTATGCGGTGACCCTAGAACTGCATTTCACAAAAGCGAAGGTTTTGCGGGATTTCCGAGGTCAAATGTGCGTAATACCCATAGAAAGGCTCGTTTATAACATTGACAAAAGCTTTTTGAGCCAAAACAAAAAGGATAATGCGCGAGAAATAAAAAAAAATATGCCGGACCGCCGAGTTTACACTGCTTCCCAATAGATGGCGCCAGTGTGTTCTCTGGTTTAAAGGCCCGTTCATACTCTTGCGACCGAGTACGACTGAGAGAGACGAGATCTTCTTAAATGTTTTTAGAATCGGGGAACACACTGGCATTGTGGCGCCATCTATGCGGTGACCCTGGAACTGTATTTCACAAGAGCGAAGCTTTTGCGGGATTTCCCAGGTCAAATGTGCGTAATACCCATAGAAAGGCTCGTTTATAACAATGACAAAAGTTTTTCGAGCCAAGAAAGAAAGGATAATGCGTGAAAAATAAAAAAAAATATGCCGGACCGCCGAGTTTACACTGCTTCCCAATAGATGGCGCCAGTGTGTTCTCTGGTTTAAGAAGTTTTAAGGAACCCAGGTTTAAGAGGTCGCAAGAGTGTGAACGGGCCTTAAAGGCGCGTTCACACTCTTGCGACCGAGTACGACTGAGAGAGACGAGATCTCTTACTTCTTAAAGGGACGCTGAAACGATTTTCGGACTTCGGTCAAAGATTTCTGGAAGTTGCCCTCTGACACTTCTGAAGTAAAGAACAGAAAACCGATTTCGCCTGCGTGTCCTAGTTGTTGCATAAAAAAAAGATAAAGATTGGCATTTCGGGCACCCCTCAACTCACTCCCAGCCTTCAGGGTCACACCTGGTCCCCCTCCCAGTGATGTCATTCGGAGTGCCGTGTAGCTTCCCGTGTGCTATCTCGGAGGACGCTTCCCCTCCCTCTCTCTGCGTACATTAGCGGGCGCTATGCTGCAGCTTAGAGCCGAGCGAGGTCACGTAATCTTTCCGCCGTAGTTCCTTCGGCTGCCACTTGGGGCTGCAGGTGGGGGAAAAAGCTCGACTTCTGCTTTGCGATTATGCAGCGGAATCGCGACATTTTTAATGAAGGAAGTGTTTTCTCTATCCTCTGGGACACGATAAACAACGTAAAAATGACGAGATGCAAATTCTTTTAATCATAAAATCGTTGCACCGCCCCTTTAAATGTTTCTAGAATGAGGGAACACACTGACATTGTGGCGCCATCTATGCAGTGACCCTAAAACTGCATTTCACAAAAGCGAAGGTTTTGCGGGATTTCCGAGGTCAAATGTGCGTAATACCTATAGAAAGGCTCGTTTATAACATTGACAAAAGTTTTTCGAGCCAAAAAAGAAAGGATATTGCGCGAGAAAAAAAAAATATGCCGGACCGCCGAGTTTACACTGCTTCCCAATAGATGGCGCCAGTGTGTTCTCTGGTTTAAGAAGTTTTAAGGCCCGTTCACACTCTTGCGACCTCTTAAACCGGGGTTCCTTAAAACTTCTTAAACCAGAAAACACACTAGCGCCATCTATTGGGAAGCAGTGTAAACTCGGCGGTTCGGCATATTTTTTTTTTATTTCTCGAGCATTATCCTTTCTTTCTTGGCTCGAAAGACTTTTGACAATGTTATAAACGTGCCTTTCTATGGGTATTACTCACATTTGACCTCGAAAATCCCGCAAAACCTTCGCTCCTGTGAAATGCAGTTCCAGGGTCACCACATAGATGGCGCCACAATGTCAGTGTGTTCCCTCATTCTAAAAACATTTAAGAAGTTGTAAGAAGATCTCGTCTCTCTCAGTCGTACTCGGTCGCAAGAGTGTGAACGGGCCTTTAAGGAACCCAGGTTTAAGAGGTCGCAAGCAGTCGCAAGAGTGTGAACGGGCCTTAAGGTGTAAATGGACGATTTGTGAGAGAGTTTGACCTTTTGTTTTGAAACTTGTCACAAGAAATACTGGTGGCATATAAAAAAAAATACTTGCCATATTTAACATATATTTATACCTCTTACTGGATACCTGTTATACTTCTCCCAGGTAAGGCTAAAAGAAATGGCAGATTGGTTGTATCCATAGAGATATGGCCTCCATAAAAAAGCAAGGTGTAAAATGTTTATTGTGAAAGGGGACAAAACATTCACAGACCCATTTTACTCCTTTCATAGCAATAGTGAAAATAAATAGGACTTATTTCATAAAAACACTTGGATAACAGGAAAAATGCTTGCATATTTTCAGACACTATTTCAAAAATGTAATTTTTGTAGAAGCTTTGTTTTTGCTATAGAGCAATGTACCTACTTTAAGAAGAAAAAAATCATTTTTGAGGGGCAATATTATGGGGTGGAGATGTCGCGATCGATGCAATGCCTGTCAAATTGATTTGTATCGTGCCGTTTGCTGTTGCTGCAATATAACCCACGAGGCTACTCTGGGGAACCCAGTTTAAAAATTCATGCCATAGAAGTTGCGAGAAGTGGGCAGGAAGCATTCAATATGAAACATTCCTCAAAGAAGCACAATGAGCAGGGGAATGCAAATGCACGAGTCATTTTTAGACTATAGCTCTTTTTTCGAAAGTCTGCCCATAGAAACATTTTGCTTGAAGACTACTAAGCAAATGTGCCCCCTTCCCAAAGGCAAACATCACAATCTCGTCTCCGACAACATAGCTATTAGGGGGGAGCTGATGCATAGGCAATCGGCACAAAAAGAAACCTCGCACAGATGCAAATGCTTAGTATAAGTGACTACAGGCAATTCAGGTATTGTTTGTGTCTAAGCAGAAAAGAAAATTTTTCTGCTTCACTCCGCGAGCATAAAATTCAGAAAACTGCAGGAGGAGAGGCACGGAGGTTGCTGTTTGACACCTGTATGATCCTACCCCGAGATATAATGGGCATTTCCAAATGCCATTTCTTTGCAACAAAGAGTTTCACTGACCATTGGCCAATCTGGGCACATATTTTTATACTTTTACTATTGGGCATTCATGAAACCAAGTTTAAGGAGGAAACAGGTTGACCCTGCACGTTTGCTGGTCCCACTGCAGGGCACTAGAATGGCACGAGGATCAAAGGCTTCACAACGTTTCTACCCAAGGGAGCCAATTGGCGGCGTGGGACATTTGCACCTGGGTCATCCCACACTCCGTTTCCCCCTCGTCATGATGACTGAGGGGGCTGGCGGGCGAGAGTGCAACGCATTTAGGCGAAAAATTGGCAAGGAAGTACCCTTGGTTCGTGAAACGGGCACGCTGGAGAACTCCAAGTGTTCATAATCGGAAGTGTGCACCACAGACTCCCAAGCGTAAGGAAAGGACCGGCTGCTGTTCTCCTTGGCGCTTCGCTTGCACTCTAGGATCACAACCCATTAATACTACACAGCTTTATATGCCCAAGGCTCAATGTGCTGATCACAATGTCGAGCGGGAATACGTGTCATCCTTGTACATTTACATTTGCATTTACATAAATTGCACCGCAGTCCTTTGAATCGATTCAGTGCATCAAATCGACCCACGTAAACAGCTCAATTTGCTAGTCGAGCACATCAGATCGGATTCAATTTGCTAGGAGCGGTTTGAGACGGTGAAGCCCGGTGGAGATCTCCATGTAGAGGCTGGCGAATACAGTTGGGTGCTCATGTGACTGATCGCGGGAACATTTTTGAAGCAGTGCTACTCGTTCGGTTAGGACTAGCGACACGTGCGGCACAAGTTCAGCATGAGAGAACTTGCCCAGTCTTTTGTTTTAACCTAAAAAACGGAAATTCCAGAAAAAAAACTGGCATTTTATGATTTGCTTGAAAGCAACTTGATTAAACGGAGTCTAATCATATGTCTGGGAACCCTTTCCAGTTCCACGAAACATAAAGAACTGCTATGCCACATATATAACATTGCACAGTACCACTCCAAATGCTCGTTATGGCACTAAAAGCATTCCATAACCTACCACACTCCTGTCAACCACTCCAGAGAGGATCCCCTTGACACTAGACCACAGTATAGAAACATTGTACATAGATTCATGAAAACCTAACAAAAAGCTCATATGCCCATTCTTGTGCACTTGTTTATTAAAGTGCGAAGGGAGGTAGTCATTACCATCAAACAATGTCAGGCTGATTTGATGCCATGACAAAACGCAGACATTTCCTTGGACAAGGACACTGCCTCAAGCCACTACACTGCACTCACAAACCTAAGCACGGCAAATGCAGCAGAAGCATTGTACGCAAAACTTTGAAATGAAAGAACACAACTTCCGACCGCATCTTTACAGATTTAAATCCAGAAGACGCCAAATCTTCCATACTTGTATTAAAGTACATGCACCCTCTTCCAACTGAAAGCACCAGATTGCTAGTTTAGGCAATGGTAGAGAATTCTTGCAAGACATTCTCCTGCCCAAGTCCGGTCAGGTTCAGCTTCTGCCTGAAATCGGACACCACGTTTCGAACCTGAAAATACAAACAGCATTTCCATCAGAATTCTCTCAGCCTACAGGAGTTGCTTGGCAACAGTCCTTGATAAGCAATATTTTATATAAACTGTATATCGCAGAGTTCTTAGCTCAGCATGAAAGTCTCAACCTGTGTTGCCAGGAATGCACCTAACTTTGGAAAGTTTGTTTAAATAAACCAGAGTGCAAAACCAAACTAGTGAGCCCATGTTTGCTGCACATGCATGACAGCATTGTTTGGTACCACTTGGTCAGACCAAGGCACCAAACAGCCAGGCATGCACACTCTGATGATTTCTTGGAGTAGGTTAATGTTACACTATCACCAGGGCTGCACACTTTTCCGTCTTCCAAATGGACTGCAAACTCAAAACGGTGCTGCACGCTCTTTGATCTTTCAGCACATACATAGAGGCGGCGAGATTCTGAACCAGCGATCACTCCGATTAATTTAGAACATGTTAGTTTTGATGCAGACTGGCAGTCTGTTTACTTGGTCATCTTCCTTTGCAGCAATCGGTTTATTTCGCAAGTGAGCCTTGTTAAAGGGGAGCTCCGGCGATTTCTTGAGCTACTGAAACTAAACACGTTTTCGGATTACCCAAGCTTTACTCTTTCATGCTATTTATTATCTTCAAATTCAAATTAGCTATTAAGAAAACGGCAAAGAAAGGTTATGCCGAAACCACAATTTAAATTTGTCCATGCTTTCCAGTGGGGCGATGTCAAATGTTGTAAAACTTGCATATTATGTCACACAATATTTTCGGTTTTGCTAGAGTGAGCTTCCCCAGCATTCATTTCACGCCATAGAACTTCTTGTAACCCGTTGGGAACAAGCTGTACTGGACCCCCAATAGACCCTTTCCAGAAATTCAGTGCCATCTAATGGCTCAAAAATCTGTAAAAGTTTTTGTATGCTAATCTAGTACCTATTCGTCAAGGGCAGACGTTCGAAAGTAGCAATGTTCTTCGCTGTACAGAGTTGATGGTGCCAAGAAACTACCACTCTGTACGAGGCGCTTAGTTGCGTTAAACTGTCAATAAAATTCACCAAATTTTATTGTTTTGCACTTTTTCGAGCCTGCCGAAGACGGGTGTTCCAAGGATTCACATGATAACCTCAAATGCGTAGTGCATAGAAGAGGGTTACCAACCGTCCCGGATTTTGCGGGACTGTCCCGACTTTTCATGAAGCGTCCAGAGTCCTGCATCGTCCCTGTCGGGACAGCTATGTCCCGGTTTTGGTTCAGACTGCCCAGTTAGCAATTTTATATGGAATCCAATGCACGTCAACAATGTGAGTCACGCTGCGAAACAGGAAGTTAGCACGAATCACACGAAGCAATGCTGCGGTGGCTAGCGTTGGCAGCAAGAGTCTTTAGCCACTTTAGCATGCAAGCCATGACAAGCCGCAAATCGGGGCGACACTGGTGCGCCTGTTATCATCATCATAGTTTGAATAAACCTCTTTCTGTCACCCTTCTCCTGCCTCACACTGCACTCATTGTTTCTTTTCATCGTTGCTGCCATAGGAAGTTTGGAACATGTGCTCTTTAGCTTTTCTTGCGTGAACGGTTTATGCCGAAGTTTATGCCCCTGTGATGACAATATTTTCGGTTATGAAGAGCTTGTGGGGAGACGAAAGATATCATATCCGTGCTGGACTTGTCCAGGCAGAGTTGCAGGTAAAGCTAAAGTTCCGTGTAAAATGCCACAAATTTTACGAGCAGATTCTCCGGCAAGAACTGTTGCGAGCAGCAAGCGGTCAGCAGAAGTACCACTTCAAGAGGCCAGCAATAAATAAACGACAGATTGTCGGATCTATCTGGAAGGGAAACTGTAAGATGCTGCAATAAAGATAGAACTGATTTCACACACCCCCTCCCCCCCTCCTCCCCACCCCCGCCGCCCCATCCCGACTTACTTTATTAAAGAGTTGGTAACCCCAGCATAGAAGCTTGTAAGTCTCGTCACGGTGACATTGAACAATACAGCAAACAAACATCTGAAATGCTCCGCCTGTATTAAAATTCTTCCTTCATCAGCCATCAAAAGGCCACCTTAGCATGTACAGGCAACACACACAATGATGATGGTCATCAAAGTGGCCAAACTGAATTTCGGAAAGGGTCTATTACAACATCTCACATCACATTTTCAGTGTTGCCAGTAGAACCTCTCAGTTCTAAAAGAAAAAAAACAACAAAAAAACGGGGAGGACTAATTTTGAAAATTTAATAACTTAATGAAAAGAAATTATATACGCTTGTAATTTGGGTTACTAGTTCACACGTGTCTCTTAATGTGTTGAACAAATTTTGAAGCAAATCAGCGACTATCAAAATGTCAACAGGCTCCACTTTAAAGGGACACTAATAGTGGTTTCTGAGAACCACTATTTTTGGTCACAACTCAAGATTAGAATGATATGTGTCCGATTTCCCAATTACAAATTAGATCAAAGATTGCAACACGCCCGTTTTTCTGCGATTCGGCGCAAAACCAGAGGGTGCCATCGGACGTGTGACACCCAATCGTGGGTGATCACTTTCTGTACGCGAATCACACACGAAAAAAAAATTCAGTCTGCTGTTGGTTGGCCCTCTTGCCGTGGGGGAAGCGATCGCTCCCTCTGGTTTCTGCGCCGAATCACAGAACGGGCGGGTCGCAATCTTTGATCCCATTTTTAATAGGAAAATTGGACGCATATCAATCTAGTCTTGGGTTTTATAGAATGCTTAGAGGTCGTATATTGAGTTACAACCATAAATAGGCAACCTCAGAAGTCAGAAAAGAAAAGGGTTGATTCGACAGTACAGGCACATTTCTGAAAGTCACTATGTACCTGGTATTTTCAAAACACCCGATACTGACATGCGTTACCTGAAACAGAATACCCAAATGCATCTAAGGGTATCAGTATCCAATACTTCCTAGGATGCCACCTAAAAACATGGGTCTCTATTAACAAATAATAGCTGCAAAACATCCCAACATTTTACTCAGAAATGACTGCAATAAAATCTGTGGAGTATCTAAAAGTTTTGCCAATATCCCATCCCTGCTGTCCATATGTGCAATTAATGAAGTAAAAAACGACGCCCCCCCCCCCCTCCCCCAACCTGGACACTCGAACAGCCATTAAAAGTCTGCAAGAAGTTTTGTCAAAGGACGAGCAAAAAGAGGCGGCAGACTCACCATGAGCGTGAAAAAGGGAGACTCCTTGGGTTTCTCCGAATACTTCTCGTATTGGTCCAGGTTGTCATGGAGCTTCAGCGTCAGCGTGTCATAGTTGCTTCGCACTACGTTCAACACCTGGAAAAACTTGGTTCTAAGGACCCTCCAATTTAGTCCACCTCTGCAAGAGGCAGATCATGAAACTACCAGATGAAAAGTAGAACTCTTAATGTATTTATAGACTTGAGCGTGTTGGTAATCTACATTGACTTAAAACGAAAGAAACACACAAGAGGACGAAACAGACGACACAGCTTCCGACTTGCAAGTCGGAAGCTGTGTCGTCTGTTTCGTCCTCTTGTGTGTTTCTTTCGTTTTAAGTCAATCTTAATGTATGTTGTGCAATTCATTTTCTTTGTATCTTGCAATCATTACGAAGCAGTAACATATAAAGATTAAATTAATGACAGAGTTGGAACTTTTCTCTAACAAAAATAGGATAAAGTTTCTGGTCTTTGGCATTTTTTTTAAATAGGCACAATTAATTGGTCTTTGTTTCCATGAAATATGATTGGCATTTATCAATGTCTATTGGAACAGACATGACTCCAGCAGATAAAAAAAAAACTTGAAAAAAGTTATTGAAGGAGAAAGCAAGACTGCGTAAAGGCGAGCAAAAGTGCAATAGTAGAGAAGGGAAGAAACATTGCTTTACAGAATTTCTCACTGCATATCTTTAAAGGGAAGTTAAAGTGAACTTCAATTTGAGAAAAAGACACTACTCCTGTGGCACACCAATATCATTACCATTTTGGCCATTTCATAGTCACATCAGCCAAGAAGAGGCCTTCAAAGTACAATCCCCCCCGAACTCCAACTCTGCTATATCAAAACATGGGTGGAAAGGTTTCCTTGTCATGGAATGAACTCCCATAGGCACAACGCATTTACTCATTGCTTATCTCAGTTTTCAGAATGGACCTAAGTATCAAAAAAAAGCTTGTAAAAAAAATTACAAAAAAAATTTAGGCAGGATACAACAAACAATGAAATGGTGGCCCAAACATTGGTTGACACAGAATCACCAATCTGAAACAAAACACACACAAAAAAAAAAAAAAAGTTTTGCACCTTTTTTGCACGACAACGCACAAGGAAATCCAGTGTCATGAGCGCGGCAATGTGAACGTTTGTTGTCTTACTTTCCTTTCTCTTCTCAACGTTACCCTCCACTTTTCTGTCTTTTTTTTTTTTTTTGGGGGGGGGGGGGGGGTGGGGGGGGCGGAGGGATAAAGGAAGATTTTTTTTTTTGTGTGTTTTTGTTTTTTGGTTTTGGTGTCTCATTTTAAAAGTGTTGCTTGTTAATAATTTCAGTGTGGTCACTTTGTTCTTTCCATGGCATCGATTGTTGGAAGGTCTCATTCGCACAATGCACGATGAAAATTCAGTCCCCCGCTTATCTCAAATTGTTTTCTAGTTTCCGTGACTTGGAGTTAAGGAGGGTTTACTGTAGCGCCCCTCCATGGCAACCGGTGCAAGGAGGAGAGCTGGAAGGGCAAGCATGACTGGCGAGTCGTGGCATGTCCTAACCTGTCCTCTTGCTACGTCGGCCGAAGTCACGAGAGGACAGGCCGGAACACGCTGCGAATCGCCGCGCTTTTCTGCCACGCAAATATGCTGGAACTGACCATTAACTCAAAATTTCTCAAAATCTTTCCAGCTTTCCCTTAAAAAGGCAGCATTACCACGATTAATAGTGCCTACATTCCTATTAAATCAGTCGCACTTACATGCAAGACGCCAGGCTGAAATCATTTTTAAGTGCCTAACCGCCGAATTCACAAACCTCACTCTAATTGAGGGGCTCCTCCACTTCCTCGAAGAAGGCGCGAGGGCCAGCGCTGGCAAATTGCGAGGACGGATCCGCCGTCGCGATTGGCCAGCACTGGCCCTCGCGCCTTCCCCGAGGAAGTGGAGGGGCCCCTCAATTGGAGTGAGGTTTGTGAATTCGGCGGTTAGGCTCAGTAAACTTCTCGGTGCATGCCATTTCTTTACACTGATTTGTCAATGTCATTTAGTGTCCATTTATCACTTTTTTTCTTCTCTTTTTTCAATAAGTATCAGAGGCTTGATGCTAGATATAAAGCACACACTAGACCGCTGGCTTCCAAATGGGTGCCTGCAGAAACCATTGCTCGACGAGCGAAGCCTAATAAACTTGTATTTATCCGATTCGTGGTCCAGAACTGGAAGGTATTTTAGTTAAAAGGAGGAAGTACTTCCCCGCATCCAGAAGGGGCTGAACCTTTGGACACAATATTGACCCACCTACACGTGCAAGCACACTTTGTTTCAATTCGCCTTCTAGAAAATGAAGTACAAGCAGCACCTAGAATGTAGGCGTGGGTGTATGCACCTCGGGCAAAGAAATGGAGGACTGTTTTTGTGACTAACGTTTTGCCCATACATGGCACTCAAACAACCTGTGGCATGACCGCTAGGAATCAGCCCTAGCAGCTGTTGTCGTTATTAACCTCGGGGCAAGGGCACGTTAGGGTCCCTGATGTCAGTGGTTGAGAATCACCACTCTGAACAGCCGAAGTGCTGTGCTAACAGGTGATATGTGAGCATCACACCCATGCATCATCTGAGAGATGTCCAATCACCTCCAGCCACTCTAAATTTCCAGCATCCAGAACTGTGAGCAAACCGAGTGAAATGATCAACTGCAGCCTCACCTGTTCCTCTGTGAGTGCCGACATGTGATTAGCAGCCGACCAGGAGTCAATCTTTGGCGTGAAGTGATTCACAATTGCTCTGCAATTTTGGTGATAAAAGCATTCAGTGAACATCCTACAACAACCAGACAATCCGTCGAAAGCTTCCAGGTACAAATTACGGGACTTTGTTAGTGATTCAAAAAGAAAACATTTCTCTAGAGTCTAAACCATTGGTTCTCAAGCATGGACGTGTCGGGGACCTCTTGGAGACCCGCCATAGTGACGGGGACCCCATGCCAGTGGGAAAGGGGAATGGGGGAAATAAAATAAGACAACCAACTGCAGTGTGAAAAGGGCATCCTTTACTGTTAAACATAAATTAGGGCGAGGGAAAAAAATCATTATAAAATAATATACATTATCGGTATCGCCTGGGAAGGCACAACCGATTTAAAGCCAATTCGAAATGAAAGAATAGGGTGGCAAGTTCCCCAAATTTTATTTTTGAAAAATAAAAAACAATTTAAGGGGAGAATAAAACGGTGGTTAAAGGGGGGACACAACCTGGGAATGTCAACTTTTGAACCGCTCACTCAATCGGCGTGATATATGCAGGTGGTGTTTGTGGTTATAAAGAAGGAGATAATGCAAAGTTTCAGCCCTGTGAACCAATTTTATGAGGTACTATACCCCCAGAACGAAGTAAAGCATAGCTTTGCATGGAATCAGCTCAATGAGTCTATCGTTGAGAAAAAATGTAGTTGATAACCACATATTTTTCTGGTGGAATGCATACTGGAATACCTGTTGCCGGTTGCTATGAAAGGGAATTTCAGAAAATATGCATTTTTCAAGAAAAAAAAAAAAAAGAAGTAAGCATTTTTTTTTTTTACATTTACCAAGTTTTTTTATTACAATTTTTCATAATATAAAAACATGAAAATGCAAAATCTAGGTTCATGGCAACCGGCTCCATAAAATTTCGGCATATTAGCCGCGAATATTAAGTCTCTCGATGATTTCATAATTTCACACATTCGAAGTGGTCGAACCTCTCTACCTTTTCTTTAGCATTGGTGGACTGAAAATGATTTATAAAAAAATAACTACCGTATGCACAGTAAACAAATGAAACTTTCTGGGAATACTCTCTAGATGTTGATGGATGTAAATTGGGCATTTTTCAAAATCAGCTTTTTTTGCAGAAAATTGTTTTTCTGGGTAGTGCCCCCCCTTAAAGCAATACCCTAGCTAAGGGAACAGATTTGATCAGCAGATTTTATTATGTTCCTGCTTTTTTTTAAATATAATTAGGGGTACATTTTTTTTTTCTTTGTGTATTCTTCAGTTTTCTTTGGGCATCATCTGGAGTTGTCAAATGGGAGAGTTTCAAGATGACAATAGGCTGTTGAGGCAGTTGACCCTTGTTCTTGAGAAGCATCACGTAAAAGGATGAATGAATGGATAGATGGTAATGGCTGTACCTTATATAACTGGCGGTAACCTAACCGAGTCAACAAAACCATTTTTTTCTCAAAAAAAGAGGGGAGGGGGGTTGAGGCAAGGGCTTCACAGACCCCCAAACTGGCTTTGAGAACCACTGCTCTAAACAGACAAGTGAATTGTCACTTGTGGTGATGGTAGAAACGAGCTGACCATCGTGTATTTTTCAGTCCTCTTAGGTAAAACCCCATTTCACTCAATGTTTGCTGCTTAGAGGTTTCCTAATATTTGGGATAATCTCGACTTCTCTCGAGAAATGGGAAATACAAATTCTTTTACTGTGCAACCTCGATTTCGCAATCCATTCAGTATCTAACATTATTAATACATTTCTATGAATAACGTTACATTTTCCTTGTTTATAGAGAGAAGACAACTGTCTGTGCAATTCACCTATACCAATTGTGCATATAATGACATTGCTTATAAAGAGGCCATTTGTATAGAACCATTCATATTTTTGTTGGGTCTATGTAAGAGTAGACAACATTTAGCAGCAAGATTATCTATAGCACACCAGATATAGGAATGATAACCGAGCCACCTGGAAAATGTTTCTTGCAGATATGAAGCAAAAAACAAAAGAAAAAAAAAACTGCTTTCTTTGTTTCACTGTGTCTTATAACCAAAACACAAAATGCTCTATAGTTCCTAACATTGGTAACTAGAGAATTTGAGACCTGGAAAACCTGGAGACCAACTTCTAAGAGATATCGAAGCATGACCTTGCGAAGCATGAATGCACGCATGCCAATGTCCAGAAGCTCTAGGAAACCTTTAATAAAAAGAAAAGCTTAAGCCCCAACAAAGCTGCAAAGCTCCCAACATGCTTCCAGTTGACTGTACAAATGTTCACACGAATGTCCGTAAGTACCTTACTTTTCTTACCTGACATTGACCAGATGGTTTGAAAGCTTGGCTGCAGAATCCTTCCACTGGCTATCTCCAGTCGTGTAACGGAGTGCTGAGAGAAAACGAGAAATGAAGAAGATCTACCTCACTAGAGTCTTTTGTAGTTTAAGAAGAGCCAGGCAAGTTCCTCCCACGAAGCCTCTCCACTTCAGCGAAGCGAACGCCGGAGAGTGGGAAACCAGCAATCATGGCAAGCAGAGAGCTTTGTAGGAGGGGCTTGTCCCGCTTTTCTCAACCTGCAACAGACTATACTATGTCTCAGTTTACCAAATGTCTCAGACAGCTTGTTCCAGGGACCTTCATTTAAATGGTAAACCCTTTTATTTATCATAACAGTGATGGAAGCAGCATTTGATCCTTCGTAACAGGTTTTGTAGCAGGCAAAATATTGGTTTGGAACAGCGACCGCCGCTTTTGGAGCAGATGCCAACATCCGTTTGCATATCACTTGGAAATGAAGAAGTGATTGCATCAATCGCTAAATGACTTCATCTTTGATGATGATTAAAGTTTACACCTTAATACCGGAGCATATTACATATTATATTTTGTAATAAGAATAGACAGGACCAAGAAACACCCACAAACTTCTTTTTAGAAATAAAGCTCAGGTCAAAGAAGTTTTCCTTTAGAATGTGTATTAAAAAAATGGTTGAAAAATTAAGCACAGCTCAACACTTCAGTTGAAATAAAGCATATTTACACTCAATAGTTCCTTTAGCCTGCAAGCGTCATTTTTTTTAAACGTCAGCAAAAACCAGGATATCTGCTACAGTATGTCTATCAACAAAAATATGTCCCCCAAAGTTGTACGAACTTACCAAACTCAAGATTCTAATATCATAAACTGCAAAACCGACCTGCAAACATTATAAAAAGCTACAGTTGTGCTTTAGAAGTGACACTGTACTTTACCGGCGTTGGAACCAGAGTCAAGTCAAAGTTTGCTGCATTTGGCTGCTGCATGGGAACTACGCTGACGAGCATATTTATTTAAATATAGACCCGCGCTTTTCCCCTTCCTCGGCACAGCCTTTTTAGAATTAAGAGGTCAACCTAGAGCCCAGATCAAAGAAGGACGTAATAGTACTCAGCATAATTTGAGTCAATACCGCTAACCCAGACACTCCCCCATGCCAGCCACTGCTCCTAGTGCTCAGTGCAAAGTGGTGAAGCTCGACGCAAGCACGCTGGTGTGAGGCGGTGAAGGCTGATGCGAGCGGTGCAAGAGCCATGGTACGCCGTGACTGTAGCCACCGCACGAAGGCATGTGGCAGATACGATAATCAAGTGATCTCATCAGGAGTAAAATACCCCGGTTCTGTACTATAACAGTAACTGCCATCCCACTATTTTGCACAATTTCCTCGCAACTTTTAGCTCCTCACATTGCCGACATCGCCTGAAGATTCAGACGATAACGGGGTCAGTACAGTTGATGAGCAATCTCTATACTTTGTTTTAGTTTTAAGAACAAAGCGCAGCGTGCTCTACAAGCCAATGGGTCCTATCAAATAGCGTCAAAAGCGCGACATCAAGGCATTCGTAGTCATTCTGTACGTGTTCCAGCTTTCATCGGCGAAATCAATGAAGCACAGTGAATGCCTCGTGACTTGTGCTTTTAGTAAGTGTGTTCGTTTTGTGTGTGTCAGAGCATTTGACTCTGCTCTGCCTAAGATCAAAGAAACTATACAGTGAGTAAAGAAGTTGCAAAATACATATTTTTAAAATTTTTATTTTCTTCAGCAGTTACGACTGACCAATAATAAAATTTGTATCTTTTGCTTTGTTTAAGCCTATCTTGGAGCAGGTGAGACGCAATTCTTAGCATAAATGGCATTTTGGCGCAAGATGTAGCACTTCCGTTTATGGCACAATTTGGCGCAACACTTCCATCACTGCCATAAATTGCACAACAATTAGTTAAGTGGTTAGTTGGCATACTACAAGAATGTCTAAGTGATTGAAATTAATTTTTTTTTTTCATTCTTTTGTTTCAAAGACACGAGCAGATTTCAGCAACTTCTTCGTTTAAAGACTGTAACGATCAGCCATTACCAGTGAAACATATTTAATGAACAATTTAAAGGTAAAACTAGAAAAGGAACACATTATTCCAGTAAAATCTTATTCGAGCTCAGTGTTTGAGAAGCAACCCACGAAATACATTAACTGCTTGGAGAAATATATCAACTCTTTCCTGACCATGAGGAAAAGTGCCTGTGTTGTGTAACTTTTTTTTTCTTTTTTTTTACTTTTTAGAAAACTGTTAGGTTTACAATGCATCATGGTTGCTAGACATAGAAATGAAGCTAAATAAATGAGCCTTTGAATGATGCAAACATCAAAACAGATACCTAAAGGGGTATGGAAACAAAATTTCAGGGCTCATTTTATTGCTTAAATATATACCACGTTGCATCAGCACCCGAAAAAAACATCAGCCTTTGTTTGTAAACGCAAGAAAGGTAATTTTAAAACAAATAAAACAATTTCCCACTTGCACCTGGTAATTGGAAGGCCGAAACTTTCTTGGGAGATTGTGACGTGTTGGTCCTCCAGCAGTGGTGCCACCCTCGGCAGTACATCATACTCATATACCGTATTTACTCGCAGAATGAACACACTTTTTTTTTTTGCGAAAAATCGATGCAAAGTTTATTACGCGAAGTAAAATTTTTGCGTCCGTATTTATTCGCATAATGGCCTTTTATCCTAAAAAATCGAGGTAACTTCTTATCTCTTTGCGCGCTGTTTTTTTTTGCCGCCTTTCCCAAGCTGTTTCATTTGTTTAGGCGTTGCTTAGGCGAGGGCTTCTCCACTTATCTTTCTTATCTCCTTGCGCGCAGCACGCCTCGCGACTTCGTAACCAAACTGCGCTGTGCAAAAAAAAAAAAGCTCCTCTTTGTTTTTTTTTCTTAGTTCGGTGGGTTGTCTTTTTTTTTTTTCTTGCCGCCTTTCCCAAGCTGTTTCATTTGTTTAGGCGTTGCTTAGGCGAGGGCTTCTCCGCTTATCTTTCTTATCTCCTTGCACGTGGCACGCGACCCCAAAGTCCAGACTGGGCTGTGCAAAAAAAAAAAAAGCTCCTCTCCATGTTTTTTTTTGTTTTTTTTTTTCTTGCTTCCGTTGCATCTTTTTTTATTTTTTAACGCCTTTTGCAAGGCGTTTTGTTCGCCCACGCTGCCCATGCATTCGCAACCTCGCTGCACCAGGATAGAAAAGTGCGTTCATTTAGCGCGCGTGGGGGTCAAAATTTTGATGTCCGAGTTGGGGATGCGTTTAATACGAGAGTGAAAAAAAAGTCGAAATTTTGAGAGCCGACTTGGGGGGGTGCGTTCATTACGCGAGTGCGTTCATTGGGCGAGTAAATACGGTAGATACCCTAGCTAGAAACGCAATGACGCAATCGTGCTGCTTCGCATGACTCTTTTGCTACTACCCAGTTGTTTCTGTGTTTATTCATCACGTCTGCGTGCAGGATGCAAGCAAACGCAGAGGGCTCTTGCCGCAGAGGGATGCGGCAACAGCATGCTGAACTGCGAGACGTCGACCAATGGGTTTCCGAATTATGAGAAATTCCGAAGCGTGTGGATTCGTCTTGTGCATCTGTCATCTCTCGGGCGCCGGTGAAAACCGATCGCCTGTACGGTGATCGTTGTCACGATGAAGAGTATGAGAGGCGACCCACTGTCCTCAGGAGTCTGGGTCTTCCTACCATGAATATTCGATTGCAACCAGGGATTGTGCCGACTATTTTTTTTTTTCAAAAAGAAAAATAGCAGAAGAGCTTAGCGAATTGCACGAAGAGCAAAGTAAACTGTTAAGTGTGCACGCTGTTAATAAAACACCCAATAGTGCATACCTCCAAGTTGACCAATCATTATTAAAGGGGCGGTGCAACAATTTGCGGGCTTTGGCTAATTAATTGCGGGAATTGATCCCGTCCACATATAAAACGAAGGACCGAAAAATATTCTTTCCTGCTTGCTTTAGTTTTCATTAAAAAAAATAAAAGAAATTGGTATCTCTGGCACCCCTCAACTCAACATTGAAGCGGCACCAGCTTCGCCTGTGACGTCATTCGGAGTGGCGTTGGTTTCCGGTTGGGTGCTTCTGGCTTCCGTTTCTCCAGCGCTCGCCGGCTCGCCAGGGCGCCAGGCTCGCCGCTCTCCCGCCGATTCCCGACCAACATGGCGGCATGGGCGGACGGCTTGAGCGACGTCGAGCGCAAGATGCTTGCGACGCGGCGGGCAGTCGAAGTCAAAGTCGAGGTCGAGACACCAGGAATAATAACGATACCACGATACAACGGACCGCGACCAACGCACTCCGTCGAGCGAGGGAGAGACAAAACGTCCGGGTTGCTCGTGTAGCCGCCGTAGGCGCCTCGGGCGTCGACGGATGACAGCGACGGCAGGTTTTGTTGACTTGCGGTAGATGGCGCCACAAATAATTCATACCCTTTTAGCGGCAATATTAGGCTTTTGAAGCGTTTCTGCATGCCTAAACAACAAGATTTTTTAAACTTAACCTTAAATCAAGCTTACAATTGCCTAACACTATCACTTATAAAAACCACTCCGAATGACGTTACACCACAGGTTCCATTTGCGGCCACCATGTGGTCGCAGGTTGGGAAAAAAAGTGTTTTTTATTTTACGATTACGCAGCGAAATAGAGGTATTTTGGGGTATGGTGGCACTTTTTCTCTTACTTATGCCGAAGTAAACAATATAAAAAATACAAGCTGCACATTCGTTCAGTGTTAAAATCATTGCACCGCCCCTTTAAATGCGAGGCATTCCTTGGCGACCCCGAACCCCTTCAGATTTTGTCGGGCGGACGATCGGTTTGCCGGATAGTTTGTACGGTTCTAGCCCGAATTGCCTGCCCGTCACCATGCGCGAGAGTCACTCTACTCGTCCTCGCTGACATCTTCCGAGTCCCTTTGGTAGTCAAAATCCTCATCCTCTCGAGTTCGTAGAACATGGCGGGACGCACCGCTGACTACAAGGGCCGAAACGAATATGTCACGACAATCGTCGTGCAGCTCTGCGGTCCTCCGCCACTGCGAAACACAAGATTGTAACACACAAAAGCCACCGCGTGGCGGTGCTCATGATCAGGCCAGCCTTTGGCTGTGCTGAGGAGCCTGATGTCACGATTGCGACGGAATTCCCATGACGCATCGCACGCCTCGATGGCCGATCTCTAAGCGCTCGCTAGAATCAGACACTTGAAACAAAAAACATAGCCATCCGCTCAAGATATGAATGTGCGATTGTCATTTACGGATATCATAGGGAATATGACACCCATTTCGGAAAGGTTTTCGTATATTTTTGATTTTCCTTTCTGGCACCCCTTTAAATTATCATGCAAAATTTAATCTGCCAAAACACAATTTCTTTTTAGTTTTTTATGTCGGTTTAAATTAAGTAAAAATATGGCGTTATCTAAAAAAAAAAGAAGTGCCGTATTTTCCGGTCTATAGTCTGCACCCGGTGTATAGACTGCAGGGGTTTAGTGGGGGTGAAAATAAAAGATTTTGCTTAGATAGTCAGCCCCAGGTGCATAGTCCGCACTTACCGTCAAATACCGAGCATCGGCCCCATTCCATACTAAGCGCCAATCCCCAAATTTTGCGACATCTGAAAAAATATGCACAATATATATATATACCGTAAAATACCGGGCAAGAGCCCACTCAAAATTTACAGATAATTGCGAAAAAATGGGGCATGGGCGCTTGTCCGGTCATCAATTTTGCATATCAATTTACTGTGCATATTTTCTCAGATCTTACAAATTTGGGTAAGGGCGCTTGGAGTGGTATAGGCGGATGCGCAGTATTCTACAGTACCTACAATTGATGACCTAACAAGCACCCAGTCCCCGATTTTCACGATTATCTTCATATTTTGAGTGGGCCCTTGCTTGGCATTTTCTGGTAGTAGTGCATAGTGCGCACTTAGTGCCCAATCCGAATGTAAACATTATCATACACAGTACACCTTGACAAATGCTTGCTGTATTAGCTCACAAAGAAGCTTGTGTCATGCATAAATCAGCATCAATATACTTTGCTATTTATCAAATTTCTCACGTCTTGGCACAGTGAAGCATCTAGAAAAAAAAATCCTTGTATAGTTTGCGGACTATAGTCCGGAAAATACGGCAAGTAAAACAAATATGCGAAGTGTTCTTCATTTTGATAACAAAAAGCTCAGAAAAAATTAGAGTTCCCTCAAAAAGGTTGAGCTACCAAAAATCAAGTCAGCAGTCATGACTGACATGCCATTGGGGTAAGCAGTTTCTCAATGTGGTGAAGTACAGGTCTTTAGAACTAAAATATCATCCGGCTTTATCATCAGACCCACTGCTGCTACCAGAGTTCAAAGAATCGACGAAGGATTCGCGAAAATTGCCACACTTGCAGGCCCACGCGCGCCGGACCTGTGCAAGCAGCCACGGCTGTCAATGACGATGACGCAAAGTCCGTTTCCCGCTTGGCTTAAAAATCGCCACCACACGGAAAGAGAAATAGAAACATGGAAACGAAAACTGTGGTCTTTAAAACTACCTACGAGATGAAGCTGCAAGTACGGGAGCTCTGTGGGAGTCTTAAAATGGGCCTCCACACCCATCGATCACAGGTGATTGACGCTCTATGGGTGCAGTAAGGAAAGAGTTGTAACCATTTTCTTCCACTGGCTGCCGTCAAACCCGTGTAAAACATTTGTTGCTTACTGGGGAAAAACAGGCAGCTAGTCAATCTAGTTAGGTTGCCAACAACAAAAAGCCAGTGTTGTTCAGTTAAGAACCCACAGCCAGTGTTGTTCAGTTAAGAACCCACATCCCATTGCTGAACCAAACTTCTTTTCTGTAAACATCACAGTATAATTCTAGCACTTCTTGAGCAAGCTTCTAACCTAGAGACGCTGGGCTAAGCCCAAGTGTGGAAAAGTCGGCTCAACTCCGAGCGACGCACCCATCGAGTACATGCTGTCGAACACCTGGTGCATCCGTATCACTTCGTAGTAAAGCTCGTCGTAACTCCCAGGCGAGGGCAGGAAGGTGTCGCCGTACGTAATGAACAGGTTCAGAATGTTCACCACCTGACTGGCCAGCTGGAATATGTTGTGCTTCTTCACAAAGTCCGACTCTCGGCTCAGCAGGAACTTGAGCAAGCTGATCAGCGCTGGAAGCAGGCACCAAAACAATGTCCAAAGCACCTTCGTGTTTTCGAGGTTAATGTAACTAGGGTGCCTGAAACGCGCCTCCGACTGGTGTGTTGGGCGTCCTACACCGATCATGCACCCTGAGCAGTCCCCAAATGGCAACAAATCACGCCAATGGGAGGCACATTTAGTCGCTGGTCACAATCCCGGTGGCAGGTTGTTCAAGTGCCGATGAAGAAGGCGAATGGTCGCAAGGGTCGCCGTCGCCACGGCATCCCAACTCACTTTCCGTCAACCGACCATTTGCAAAGCGACCACGGGGGCATCTGCTGCATCTACCTCCGCCGCCGTGCCGTTGCCACAATTGCAGCCAGCGACTAAACCAGCTGGCCGCGACGTCGCGAGGCGGAAATCAAAGAACCAAAAGTGAAGACGCACCAGTCGGCGGCTCATTTCAGATACCGTAGCGAAACGCTTATCAAATTGTGTATAGAATGCCCTTCAAGCAGGACGCAACCGGGCTACAGATGACAGAGTAGGAATCTTGCGCTGCATTGCCAACCATCCTTCGGCTGTATGAAGTCATGGAGTTTCAGTCAAAAATGAATAATTTAGAGCTTGCGAGCATTCTGTGCAGCGAGATCCTTCCAGCTCCCCTTATATACTAGCTAACCTCTCAAGTGAGAAATTTTCTCTCTGGCCTTTCTAGCGTACTAGAGTTAAAAATAATTGTGTTTGCACTTCACATGAAAGGATTCCCATTTGAGCAAGCATTAAAAGGTAACAGAAACATATTTTTTAGGTACCATAATGCACCTAGGAAGCTCCAGCTAAGCATAGCAGCCAGGGGCATAAAATAGAGACATTTCTCAAGATCTCCTACAGAGCAAATGACGGATTTCAGTTTCACACCAATGAACGAGACTCACAAGCCTTACATCACTGCAAAATAACAACGATGGCCTCTGCAATAAGTTGCAACAAACAATACGACTACTGAAGCGGCAAATAATGCGACGCGTGTGACTGAGCGGGTCAGTCGACAGGCTCAACCTGGATTATGGCAGCCTCGTTAAACGTGGCATCAAGATTTCCGAATGCTGACCGTCGACAAAACGAGCAGAACTTAGCAGGGGTCACGACACAAGCGATGGCAATGCACGGCAGCAGCATATTTTGTTGTACAACTCTTTCTCCGAGCACATTTTTTGTTCTCCCTGTTCTCCCTCTTGTCTAATTTGTCTCTCGCAGTTGGAAGGAACGTCCCACCGACAAATGCCGATGTGATGTTCCTTTTTGCGCATGTACGATTTATACGCTCAATTCCTGAGGTAATGAGAAAAAGGCTGGTGGAGAGTTTTGTCATCTTGTCCAGATGTGGAATAAGCAGTTTCTAGAGAGACCAAAAAACGTGCGTCTTCAGCTGATCTGGACCTTCAAATATCCCTTCGAGCGGATCAATCCTATCACTTACACGTCCAGAGCTCTTTCCAGCTGTACTGCAGTCGCACCCGGCATTTCTTCTGGTAGCAGAGTAACCGGTGGATTATGCCCAAACATCGCCTGTATCACGAGAGAAGATTCACAAAATCATCTCAAATGCTTCCATCTGTCGGCACAAAATAAGGCCTCCCACCACCGAGTCTTTTTCAATCAATAAAATGTTTTTACATGATGCTCACCGAAACATAGTACACTCATGTTACTCAAGTTTTTTTGCCTACATTTGTACTATCAAGTGTGATGGTGCCATTGCAATTTTAGCAACTGTGGGTACTGTTTGTGAATTACCAAATGACTACTCATCTGTCACGGATGACTATAAAGCGCAGTTGCTGAGGGTACACAAAAATATTGCTCGTTTTCTATCATCCCCCCCCCCCGACCACTGGGTGAATTTTTAACGTTTCTTGGAGGAATCCCTTCAGTTTGTTAGGGTAAATTGTAGACATGTGCTGTGGGGATTCTCTTGCTGCTACCCGTCTCAGAGAATGAAAAAGACACACTGGTTTAACAATGCATAGTCATTTATTCACTGTCATTGCCTGCACCGTGATCCCAAGACCCCTCCCTACGCATTCGCTGCGACGACCTTTTACAGCAGCAAAGCGCAGCTCGCGTGGCCAAATGTACTTGTCCCCCTCAAGGCAGAAATCACTGTGGACAATTTGGCACCTGGTCACCTGGTCCAATACTTTGGATCCCCAGTGTCCACAGTGCAAATTGTGGATTATGCACTCAGAAATATTAGGCCCAAACCACTATTCACTTCAAATTCGCTTTGAATTGAATATTGAATAGTTCCTCCGACCCTTTAACTATTGAATGAAAACCCAGCTAAACTTGTGAAGGTTGTTCCCAAGCTTCCAGCTGTCAAATTCTAAGCTAAGTTCATTCTAATCGAACTACACTTATGAACTGTGATCTCAGGAGGTCCAATGCGTACATTTGGATGGCAAGTACATGATGCATTTGACATGAAAATAAACCTAAGAAGATGCTCTGCTATACCTAATTGAGGGGATTTATAAACCTTCCTGCTATATGCAAATATCCTTTCCTCAATCTTGAATTATAAAAAAAATTCCGAGGACACCTAAGCACTTCTTACAAGTTGTGAATGCGAATGCATGAATGTCGTTCTTCCGCTCCCTTAGTTCGTCTGCAGTGTACTCATGTGGACGGGCAAGTTTCGCTACCGACGAGGTTTCCGAGTGCACGCTCTGATGAAGCGACCGCAGCTTCACCCCCACCCCCCCTCTGGCAATGCCTGCCACAAGAACGGCGGCCAAGCGCGTGCTCTCGTGAAGCGGCCACCCATGGCTACCTAGGAACCATTGGCCACCAAATGCTATCTCAGCCAATGGGAAAATGGGCATTTCTTTTGAGTTTTTTTTTTTTGTGGTTACAGACGGCATTGGCTTCGCTCCATGGGATAGTTAATTCTTTCGCATCTTTTCGCATCAAAAAAAGGAAATACAATCATGCATGATTAATGCAGGTTGTCACGGCAGCTCTGCCTAACATACCATAATATCCCGAGTCATCACCTACTCCACGTTTTGGGTGAATATAGATCCCCCAAAAAACACTGAATGATCGCCCACCCCTACAAATACCCCAAAGCGGACTCCGCGATTCGTGAACATTCATCCTACCCATCACGGACGTCCTGCGAACCTCACGGTTGCAGGGCATCCGTGACAAAGTAAAACGAAGGAGGGAAAGACACTTCACTTTGTTTACGCATTTCGAAATGGAAAACGAGCCTACTAATTTAGGCAAGTGGTTGTTAGAATATAATCAATCCACCAATATAAATCACTGAGAGCTCAGAATTGTTAAGACTTCACTTATAACAGACTTCGTTCAAATAAGCTGGGAGGCACGGAAGGCTGCGTGCTGCGCTGTATAACCAAACTAGTGGATATGCGGATGCACTTAGGGTAGAAGATTCTCAAATATTTCACTACTCTTTCGATCGAATTAACCCAGGGTGTCTAGCAAATTATTTTGAAATTCCCTGACTCTTCCAGGTTTTCCCTGACAATTTCAGATGAAATTCCCTGACCACTGTGGAGGCGGTTAAATATATAAGACCATTACAACACAAAGCATTGAGCATTGAGCACTGTGAGGATCATTTTGCACAAGCTTAATCCAACTTGCATATTCCGAAATATTCGGGTTCGTCCAGTCCGGATTAAATGAGCACTTTCTTGCCGCCGACATCGTCAGTGAAGAGGCCACTTCCGGAAACACAATGAAAACTCGACGCTGAACCACACACTTCAATAATTGAATGGCAGCATGGCCGCCAGATGCACACTTTCGGATACTTTCGTCTTGAGGCTTGGATTGAGGTCTGCGGCTTTCCTATTTGTTACTAAATCTAGTAGCTCTAACTGGATCTAGCCTAATGTCGCACCCTCAATCCAATCTAAGGCTTGGACTGGATTTGTCGGCTGTTCCCCTTCCATCGGGTGAGCAGAGCTCGCGCTCCGCTCTAAGCAGGATTTATTGCCTATTTTTCTGCCCCCAAGTTCTCAAGTCTTTGCTCAGGGCACTCGATGGCGTTTCCGGCTCATTTTCCCTGACTGGACTAGCTTTTTGACAATTTCCCCGACAATTCCCGATTTTTCCCGGTAATTAAAATTTCCCTGACAGTTCCCGGTCGCTAGACACCCTGTAACCAAACATTTCATGAAAGGATTAGAAAGATGTTCTCACCGGGACTGCCCAAAAAGGGTCAAATTAACTGGAAGATTGAATTAACCGGTCAACTGCACCAACAGCGTAAAGACACTAATGTAGCAAAAACCTTTTCCTAAAACAAAAAAAAAACAACTTTAGAGATACTTCATCCTTCTCAGATGCGCTGTGCCCAGCACTAAGTAAATACAGCGAGACAGCAGGGGAAAGAAAGGCCACTCACTGGTAGAGATCGAGGAGAAGATTCTTTTTCATGTGGCTGAAGATAAACTCCACCATAAGGTCGAGAAGCGCACAGGCCAGAGGCCGTGAGTGCACTGCATGCAGTGGAGTCACCTTGCGATGCCTCATGGGCTGCAAGAAAACAATTGGACAATGAGCTCTTGTCAACTAAACCTATCTTAAGACCTTGTGGTTTGAATAGCCCTGCTATGATGCTGCTTTCTACATTGGCACACTGTTCTTTGGCTTCATCGTTATTAACCCATTTTTTTTACGGGAGCTTTTCTCCAAGGTCGACCATTTCTATATTTTGCTGGTGTTTTTATGTCTTAGCTCCTCTTCCTTTAATTGCAACTCCCAATTTCCAGTTATCCAATGAACATGTTCTATTGGTATTGTTTGTTTTCCCCTCCTCTGTTTCCTCATCCTGCTTTGACTAGGAATTCTGACCTACAGCATGCTGTTAATCATAAAAAAAATTGGTAAAAGTCACTGTGGGCCTCTTTAATACACTGCGGAAATTTCCAATACACAGAAGAGCTATTGTTTACTTTTAAAAACATGCCAAGGACAACTCCTGGTTTCACAATGGCCAGCTGCAAAATAAAGAAGCTGCGAATGTATGACCTACAGAAGTTTTATTGCAGCTGCCAATACATTCCAAAGTTGGCATAGCAAAGAACGGACCAAGTTCTGGCTTTTTAAGAGAGGGGGGGGGCGATGCAAACTAATTCATCAAGTATGTGCAAATGCAATAAGAAACAAAAATCATGTTTCGTACCATCCTGTGAAGTTGGACCTTGAACACCATGTTTACATCGTGCATGATCGAGTTTGCATACTGATCCTAAAAAGAAAAAGGGATGCCCTGTAAACATGCTTGTTACAACAGTAATGATGCACTATGAAACTCAAGTTTTAATTAGTAATGACAGAACAGGAAACAGGATCCAAATCAGGTATGGTCATACAGCCATGCCCTTTGTGCTAAACCTGCAGGCACTGTCTTTTTCTCATACCATGAAATTGTATTGATGAGAAGAATCATTTGGCTAGGAAGTAGGGCCGAAGACCTGAGCCCACATTAAAAATTGAATTTGACCTTTTGTAGAAGGAATTCAACAAGTTTTGCCTTCTGGGCTTTAACTTTTTTATTCAGCGATGGAATCGAAATATGGACGTAGTAAAAACACCCCGAGACTGGGAAACAAAAGGACGAACAAACACAGGTCTCTAACATAGCTGAATTGATTTGACAACAGTTGGTGTTTATATAGCCTCCAAGAACCCATACAAACATGAAAGAAATGACAAACTCTTTCCACAGAAACACAAAAGGACAGTGACCACCGATAGGAAACACAAAGTATGAATCATCTCTACCAGACTCTCTTCTTCAGTGAAATTGCGAGAGGGGCAAAAGATAGAAGTGTGGCTGGCCCAGCGAGCATGTAGCTTCCACAGCCACGGGCAGTAGGGGGGAAAGCAACTTTTGCTCAAATTTTGAGCGATTTTGAGTGATCTTCTAGGGTGAGAATGGCGACGTCCGGGTACACAAACGAGGATCCAAGCAAGAGGGGAGTTCCTCCTTTCTCTCCTCTTGAACTGTTTAGTAATGCTGCACGATTTGTGAGTTGAGGAGGAAAGCTAAGGAAGAAGTGGAAAAATTGTTTCATGGCCCCATTAAGTAACTTGGATAACAAGCAGCAAAGCTCACACACTAAAGGCCCATGCACACACTTGCCTTTGCTTATGACCGAGCTCTTGAGATCTCTTACGACGAGAGACCACACTATAGTCCGTTGCAACCTAAGAAAGTAGGGCGAGGGAAAGGAAGGCAGGGGAGAAGGAAGCAGACGAAATGCTAAAGAAAGGAGGAGGTTTCCCCCTCTCTTCTCCAGCATTCCATTTGCTTCCTCCTCTTCAGCCTTCTTTTCCCTCGCCCTACCTCTTTGAGTTGCAACGGACTATAGCACGCTGTCGCCTTCTATGCGCTGACCTTGAAAGTGCATTACACCAGAGCCGTTTTTGCAGCATTTCAATTGTATGTACTACCTATGGGTATGTATGTATGTCTGTACTACCATTGTCACAAGTTGTTTAAGCCAATAAAAAGAAAATGATGCGCAAAAAAAGGCAGGAAATATACGGAAATGCCAAACGTTCCACAACTACCCGATAGATGAAGAAGGCGTGTTCCCTTGTCGATCCCAAGAGGTCTAAAACACTCCACTGCAAGTGTGGGAGCCAGTCTTAGCGCAAAGTCTACGCAGCTTTGAAAAAAACAAGGACCAACCTCTGTAATGCACGTGAGGATGATGAAACCAAGCTTGGTCGTGTTTGCATTGTCTTCATCTGAAATCATGCCACACATGAGAAGGGAAGCGAACCATGGAAGAGCTCAAAGAAGGCACAAACCCTTGGTTTTCTGCATAACAATAGAGCAGAACTCCAGGAAAGTGACCAGAAGGTTGGACGGAGGCTGGTCCATCGTGTTCACCTCAACGGGCGCCAGGTCTGCACACCGAGGAAAACATCAGCTGCTTCAGGGTCACAAGATTGCTCATGCAAACCACGCTCGAGCCTACGCGAGCCTACGAGTACTGACCAGACTCAAAACGAAAAAATAATGCTTCAGTTATGGTTACACTAACCTTAATAACCAAGTAATTGGTATCGGTCTGGTGTTCAAAAATGTGCATATATGCTACTGGTTCAGTAATCTCCGAAAATTGGTCTATTTAGGTTCGAGACAGACAATGAAAATAGGTCGATGAAAAGTTGCTCTAGTGACAAAAATAAAGTTGCTACAATGTTCAAACTGTAATGCGTTTTCGCAACATGTTTTATTCGAAAAATAAATAGCTTGGCAGATTAAACTCGCTTTAAATAAATTGCAAACATTTGGTCTTGCGAGGCTGGGCAATCTAATTCATACGATCCAATTTCAGGCTGAAGCTAAATCACATATTGATATGACATTCAAAATCTCTCTCTTTTGGACAGATTTCTACTAGAGATATGCAGGTACCATTTGCTCACAGTCTGCAAATTTAAATCACTAATTGCACGCATCTCTAAAAAATAAAGTATTCAAAGTTGAAAAGACATGCCTTGAGATTCTTTCTAAATTTTATTTGTCAATATGTTGCTAGTGCTGAACCGCTGTAATATGTCAGTTATTGATTAATTTTTTTCGGCATCAGTTTCTGCTCTTTATTTGTTTTGGTGTTTTGGTTTGGGAAGATTTTCTGAAACAAGTTCTTTTTCGTTTGCTGAATAAGGTAAGTTCATCCGTTGATAATTCTAATCTAAACTTCCACCACCTAGCCGTACCTCTGCAGTAAATTGCAGAGCGATACATAAAAAAACAAATTTTGAGGACTGCTTACAGGGTTCAAAGCATTAGTTTACATGTTGTAGAAAACCATTACTAAAACATATAAAATAGCGCAACAAAAAGACAAGGACTAAGATGAACCAACTAGCCCAACAACGTACCCTACAAAACCATGACACAGCAAACGGCACATTTTTTTTTCCACTGTTTTAGACCATGCTATGGCAACCATACTTCATGCATTGGCAATCTCATTGGCCAAGAAAATGCCAGCGATGACACCACCGAAAGTCACTACGACACATCTAAAACAATGCAAAAAGGCTAAAATCACTTTCTTCACAAGTGGGTAGCACTTACAAAAAAAGAGTGATTTGAGTGTTGTTTTCCCTTAATTTGTGCGCCTCATTCCGAACGTTTTGTGCTACCCATAAGCTTAAAATTATTGGGAGTCAATATAGCCCACCAAAACTAACTCTTGAAACATTTGAATTCCTGAAATTCTTTCAACTAAAGCAGTGGTTGGTTCTCAACCACTGATGTTTTGGGACCCCTTCTGAATCAGTGAAAGAGATGGGGGAAGAGGGGGATAATAGATGACTCCAAAGACAAAAGGGTAAATAAATAAAACTGAATACATGCAAGCCAACTTTGAAGCTCGGAAACATACTAACCAACCCTACTAACTTGGTGCACATGAAGACAGTCAACACCAATAATAATAATAATAAAAATATTGCTCAGTTGAGGGTTTTGGGGACCCTAAGAAGGCCTTCGGGGACCCCAAAGGGTCTGCGAACCCTTGATTGAGAACCACTGATCTAAAGCAATTTAGAAAAACTCATCCGCTGTAAGAAACACATAGGCCGGCAGTACTATGAAAGCCTACCTTTGTAAACCCACCCACACTCACTGTGCAATTGCGACCGAACCTGAGTGACCCATTGATATGACTCTGAACCTGCGATACGGCATTCCAACGATTCCAAGAACTTGCGAAGGTTCACTATTTAATGCTGAGAGACTCTGTATAACTCAGAAGTACTTTTATAGGACACTGAAAGACTTTGTAAACTCAGGTAAATGAGACTACTGTTGAGACCGGTAATAACGAAGTCGACGGGAATCGAAATCACTTCGCTATATCCGCTATTTCGTTATAACCGACTTCGGTTTAACGAAGTGCAAAAGGAATGAGAAATCGTGATCACTTTGCTGTAGCCACTATTTCGTTATAACCGACTTCGTTATAGCCGGTCTCGACAGTATATGAAGCGACTCCACAATACGATAAATAATTTTACGTCTATAGTATGAATTCATTATGTGACCGAATTCAGGGATCTAAAATGTGACAACAAACCTGGTGTACATATGACACAAAATGCCCAAATACACAATTGCTGATTTTTTTCCCATTTTTCTGACACGGCTACAACTACTGGTGAGGAGACATGAACTTGGTTGGTAAACGTTGGTTTTTGTCGCAAACCTGTTTGAGTATATTATGCCAAAAAAAAAAAAGCCATTTTCCAATTGCCTACATTGTGTAGAGTACAGGGGGCAGTAATACAAACTTGCCAAAAAGTGTCGATTAGAGCAGTAAGAACTCTGCATGTGGTGCCTCAGGAGTCCAATTTTGGTCACTGTGTGGTCTAATCTGGCTCTCACAGGGCTTCGCCTCGTGAGAGCCTGATCAGATTTCGACTCGTCTGCTAGTATGAGCAAAGAACAGGAGCTTTCCTTGCTACCATGTGTAGGGAAAATAAAACAAGAAAACACCTATGCGTCATCTGCTAACGGACCTGAAAAATGCAATCATCTGCTACGAATCTAGTCCTGCAGGCAACAAGATTTAAAAGCTTAAAATGTAAACATCTGCTATTTCAATAAGAAGCAATCGACTACCCATGCTTCCTTTGCTAATCTAGAGTTTTTTTCGCAGCCACACATGCTAAAATCCATCAGTAGACAAAGAAATGCTCAGAAGAACATCAGCAGCGGCGAAACCACTTTGTCCATTCGTATGTGGGTGAAAAGCTCTCACCAAAATACTGCCCGATCGTGAACTCGCAAGCAGATAAATCTCTAATTGGTCGACAATGCTTGCCCAGAAAAAAAAACTGCAATGGCACGTCTAATTGGCAGCCTAGAAAGCCCTTGCTCTCATGGATAAAAATCAGACCCCTAATGCGAAGTTGGAATAAACGGTGGCCACTTCCAGAAAAAAGGGAGGTGTTGGTGATAGGCCGCGTTTTCATGGTCAACTCTCAAAATAGCCTGCATTTTGAGCCGGTTGTTAATAATGCTGCTGATGTGGCAAAAGACAAACTAAAAAACATCAGGTAGAATAAGGGTTTTTTAGATGTCACACCACACAATCTACCGGGTTAACATGCAGAACGATGTTGAAGTTGGCCGTGGAAGTGTGCCTTATCAATACTAGCGCCCATACCTCGGCAAATCCATTCATGAACTCGCTCATTCACCATCATTCACATTCACGGCGTGAATCCGAATGGCTCTGAATGAATTCTTGAAACTGAAAAATATCATGATGTGATGGTGAATGACTTTGTGAATTTGAAGGAATTCGTAATGTGATAGTGAATGAATTCGTGAATTTGAATGAATTCGTGATGTGATGGTGAATGAAGTCGTGAATTTGAATGAATGTCGTGATGTGATGGTGAATGACTTTGTGAATTTGAATGAATTCGTGATGCGATGGTGAATTAAGTCGTGATGTGATAGCGAATGACTTCGTGAATTTGAATGAATTTGTGATGTGATGTTGAGTAAACTCATGATGTGATGGTGAATGACCTCATGAATTTGAATGAACTCATGATGTGAATTGTGATATCTGTACATGTAGTGTACAAAATAAAAATTATTTTGTTTTCAAACAATCATGCGGCCATTTTCAATCAAAAGTAACGAGTAACGTAATTTCATAGGAGATTCCCTAAAATAATAATGACATTACATCACTCGTTAGACATTTGGGATTCTAACGAGTACGTTAGTACGTTAGTCAAGAAACTAGCGCGTTACCAGTAACGTCGTTACTTGAAACGCATTAGTTCCAACACTGCTCTCACATACGACTACGAGGGGGCAGCGAACCGGTGCCAAGGCGGCGGGCACTAGTAGCAGCAGGCGCCGCTTCGTCTACGTGGCGCAGCTATATATTGTTTCAAAAGAGACGAAGCCGAAGCCGACGTCACGAGCAGGCGCACCTGATCCGGCGCCGAGACCAAATCACGTGGCCTGCCGGTTCCGCATGGCGGAGCACGGAGCACATTCATGTGACAAGATCGCAGCGCGGCATTGGCTGGGTTGGCGCTCTATCAATGTGCTTTGCGTTTCATGCACTCGAAATGCACCACTTCCCCGATGGAGTCAGGTCCCAATTTCAAGTGGATGACACAAAAAGGCGCCACAGTCGTATTCCACAAGAACTGCAAACTCGTGAAGGGCTACCAGCCGTTAAGTCAAATTTAGTCAGAATGAACCTGCATGACTTCCTGAATTATGCGGAATTCATGACGTGATGGTGAATTCCGATGAATTCGTGTTGACCGTGATGGTGAATAACTTCATGAAGTGATGGTGAATTCGGATGAATTCATGATGTGATGGTGAATTCGGATAAACTCGTGATGTGATGGTGAATTCAGATGAATTCATGATGTGATGGTGAGTTCGAATTCATGAAATTCACGATGGTGAATTCCGATGAATTCGTGATATTCGTGATTGACTTCGTGAATTGGTGATGTGATGGTGAATGACTCCGTGAATTCGGAGGCGGCGGTGATGTGATGGGGATGAATTCTTGGCGCGGTTGAACGCCGTGATGTGAAGGGGATGAATTCTCGGCGGAGTTTGAAAGCCGTGATGTGAAGGGGATGAAGTTTTGGCGCGGATGAACGCCGGGATGTGATGGGCCGTGACTTCGGGAGGTCGGAGTACCTTGTGACGTGAATGCTAATGAATTTGGAGACGTGATTTTGTTCGTAATGTGGTGGTGAATGAAGGGGCTCTAAAATGCCGACCTATGCTAGCGCCACCACCTCGTATGCGATGCCACAGCTGTCCGTTCCAACCTTGCTCCCAATAGCTTGCATGCCAGGAGTGCCCCACGCGGGGTTTTTAGAGCCCCGACTGGAGCTTTGTTGGGTTAGCCCATGTTGCTGCCTCCTGTACATCAGAGAGCCATTTTTGCATAGAACCAAGATGATATTCTTTGAGGACGGATTATGTGGTGAAAGATGTCTCATTTCCCGCAAGTCGAAACCTACTATAGTGGGTTGCCAACAAACAGTGCACAGTGATGCCGCCACAGACTAGGCATGACGACTTGAAGTGCCCTACGCCAGTTACGGGCCTCAGAACTTGATGCCCAATGCCATGTGCAATCCCCATAAAATTTTCTTTGCACACTCCACATGCAGTATTCACATGACATCACTATTCAGTGAGGTCCTAACATTCTTGCTACAGCATCTGCCTGTGCCTACTATTCTGTGTGTCATGTAGTGCTTTGGCTGGCCAGTTTGAGGTTCTCATGTTTTGCATACTAACATGTAAGCACATCTAGCCGTTACGACTACAAAGTTTACAGAGCTAGCGCAGCTTCAGTTAAACGTCCACGTTCATGCACTCAATCGATTGAGTGCGTGGATGTGGACGTTTAACCGAAGCTGCGCTGTCTTAGTAAACTTTGTAGTCATAATGGGCTGGACACGCTTACACGGATTGCTAACAAACAGAGTTTAAGGATTGATGTCTTGCCAAAGGTAGAGTCAATTAGAATTAAGGCGCTAAAGTGCTTTTTGAGATCCTCGTTTGATTGTCATAACTCAACCTATGAGCTCTAAGCATCCTAAAAAATCCAAAATTACATTCATGCATGGCCAACTTGCATATTAAAAAAGTGATTAAGGATTGCGACACTAACCGTTGTAACAGAATGACAGATGGCGCTACCGAACCTTGCTGAATATGGTTGAACGACAGACAGCGCTTGTCAGCCACTAGCAAGCAACGGGTTCCTGCATGGATGAACGGGACTGGTCGGCAGCTCGTCCCTGCACGAACCCATTGCTCGCGAGTGGCTGACAAGCGCCGTCCGTCGTTCAACCATATTCAGCAAGGTTCGGTAGCACCATCTGTCTTTCTGCGACAACGGTAAAAATCTCAACATTTTATCACTTTTTTAACATACAAATCGGTCGCGTATGAATTTAATTTTTTTTAGAATGCTTAGAGCTCGTAGACTGAGTTATGACCATGAAACAAGGATCTCAAAAAGCACCTTAGTGCCCCTTTAAAGGGGCACTGACACATCAAAATCATATTTTTTTTTATTATCCGAAACGATTGAAAACGATGCAGAGACATTACCCTCAAAATTTGAAATTTGGGACTTCAGTATTTGTGAAGTAAAAAAACAATTTCCAAATGCCGAATTCGAAGTTCCCGCGCGATCAGCGCCGGTGCCTTGACGTCAAAAATTGCGGAGACCTGAGAGTCCCCTTTCTTTCACCACTCCCTGCTGTTGCCATGGCGACCCAAAGCGAGGAGGAAAGGAGTGAGCGGCGGCGTTGCGGCGGACCGGTTTTGAGCGGTGTCGCCTGTTTTCCGTTGGAGGATACAAATCCAGGAGACGGCACCACAACGAACTCCCGATTTTTGGTATTTCAAAAAGAAGGGCCGTAGTGCGTTCGCAATTGTGTTAAAAAACATGTTTTAGGATTGCCGTAATTAAATGTTATAGAGATGTCGCCTACAAAGCTTCTAAATTTCCTGATTTTTGACGTCACCGATCAAAAGAAGCGAGGAGGCGAAAGACGGGAAAATCAAACGCCAAAAATAAAAAGGCGCGCGCGCGCGCAGGAAAATTTTTTTTCGCGATGCGGTTTTTTTTTCGTGTCTATGACTGCAACTTGCATCGTTTTAGACAATAAAAATAAATACGACCTTTGGGGTGTCAGTGCCCCTTTAAAGGGATACTGAACCAAAATATGGAGTTCCCAAAATAAGGCCGCAGAAGTGTTAAATGGGAAGCTACAGACTCCAAAACATCACTCATATATCGATATCTCAAATGGATGGCCATAGTTTTGGAAAAGAAGGGTGCGATCAAGCGAACAAAGTCTTTGACGTCATTGTCTTCCGGAAGAATTTGAGAGTGAGGGGAGGTGGCCTCGCTTCGGTTCACCAGCTCGACGGGACGTAGCGAGGAGGAGGGAATGGGAATCGTGACGTGCCTTGTCTCGTCGGCCGTGTTCAATCGCGCACTTCTTTTCCAAAAATACGGCGATCCGTTAAAGATATCGCTGTATGAGTGATGTTTTTGGGTTTTGTAGCGTCCTGCCTATCCATCAAGCCTTGGTTTGCGAGCTCAAAATTTCGGTTCAGTATCCCTTTAAAGATGATCTCCTCCAAGACACAAGTGTCATCATGTGCTAAGGTACGCACCAGCAGCCATTCCCGTTTGTGATCATAAGATAAAAACAACGAACACTAAGTGCCAATTGCATTCAAACATACCTAATTTTATCGCTCATCATAAACTTTTCAACCTGGGTATGTCCCCAATAAAAGTTCACTGCAATTTGAAACGCGTGTACACCGTGAAATTTAGGCATCATTATTTTACTTCTATGACATACGTGCGAGTTAACTCAGCACGACATCCGTCCAATCATATTATCTTTTTCATTCCACTGACCATGTATGACATTTTTAGACAAAATAAATGCGTATTTATGCAGGTTACCTATTCCCATCATTTGCTCATTTCTGAACAAACCACGATGCAGCCAACAATACACCACACCGCCGCGAATTGCAGACCACACCAATGGTGATCGAAGGCGATTTCTCTTCCTTCGATGCATCGCAACAAGCAGCGTGAAAATCTATTGCTTTGGTTGTCAAAGTCTTGCCGCAACGACCTCAGGTGCCAACCTGTGCAAGGTTGCGCTATGGTTGAGTGAGAGAGCTTACCGTGGGGAGAATGCTCTGTTGTGGAAAGGGGAGCACTGCTGGGTGCAGAGGAGGTGGAGCACGATTCTGTTTGAGACTGCGTCGCATAAAGAATGTTGCCCGCCAGAATGAGAAAGGTCAGCCCGGTTAGAAAAATGTCTGCCTTCGGACACCAACGTCCATCTCACAAACAAGCGCAAAACTTTCTGCGAGCTTACGTTTGTGAGGATGGTGATGAAGTTCCTGTTCAAATGAACCGCTTCATAGAGTGCAAGAAGAACTGCATCGTCGCTTCTACGAGACAAACAAATAATTGATTTCTCAATACATTCTTTCTATCAGATCAAATGCATGCATCAATAAATCCATTATCGTAAAATGCCGAGCCTGTACCCATGTCGCAAAAAGTGGCAACCCCCTACTTTTGAAACATTTGGTATAGGCAATGGTCACAACAAGCACCCTGCCCAGCAAACCTCCAAGCTCACCGATCTAAACGAGGTGCTCCTCCACATTGGCTGCTTCTTCAAGAAGTGTGAGTTTCTCAAAGAAGTGGTCAACTTTTATGTGCATGTGTCGGTGCAAAGCGATAAAGATTGAGTGAGACTGCCATCGCAAAGCAAGATGACGAGACTGTCGCGGCTGCTTGAAAAATTGGGGTCTCCACTAGACCCCTGTACTGCTCTCATACTGTTCCGTTGGATCAAATAAGGGCTTAGCCTACCACGTGTCCCTTCTGCGTTTTTGCTCACTCATCTAACAAGAGCCTATCCCCATTTTTTCGTGACTATCTCCAACTCTTCCGAGGGTTCTTGCTCGGCACCTTACAGTAAGTGAGCTTCCAACGGAAAATCAACTGCCAACAAAGCTGTTGTGTGAACAACTTTTTAAACCCTCACTACTTTAAGTTGGACCACTGTGTGCAAATGTAGCCACTGAAGTACAAACGCATGTAACCCACACAATCAAAAGGTCAAAGAGTACCCGCAGAGGTTGAGGCCATAGTAGAATCAAAAGACAGGTGGAACTTGCCTGCCAGAGTCTTTCATCGGTAGGCCCTCATCAGCCAAAAACATTGTGCCCACCTGAAACATGGTAAACGTGCCACTCAGAAAAAGTGACCCCAGAAATCCAATGCATCATGAAATTATTTTTCCATTCATTAATAGAGCTACTAGTTGCCATAAATGCAAATTTCTTTATGATGAATTCTACGAGTCCAACAAACTATTGCATTGCACGAGTCACTGTTCAAAACAATCAGTGTGAAAAATCAAACATGCAAAACCACTGTACGTGGTGTACAGTGGCACCCGTTTAAAACAAACTTCGTATGACATATATACAGTCTAAGCTCATTATAACTAGGGTTCGGAGTTTTCGGTTTAAACCGATAAAAACCGATAAAGTACGCCGAATCCATTTTCAGAAATTCGGTTTTAACCGAAAAAGTTCAGTTTGTAGGTTCGCCATTTTCGACTTAAACCAATAGAAACCAATAAAAGTATGTCGAATTCATTTTCTAAAATTCAGTTTTAATCGGAAAAGGTCACTTTGACCTTCCAGTCGTACCGCAGAGCCGTGGCGAAAAAGTGGAACGACAGTGCCGACCGAAACGTGTCCGAATGGATAAGATACACGGATGCCATCACGACGTCATGGTTTAATGTGCGCATCATCAATCAGAACTTGAAGTCCGAAATGCCCCATGACTTCGCCATGTACGAGCGTGTTTTCAAACTCGTTGTAAGGAAGACTGGATGCAAGCTCTGCATGTTGTGCTGTGCTTCAAAACGTCGCACCGTGTCTCTTTTGGCGGTCACAACGGGTTGATTGGCCGATTTTCGCTCAGGCAGCGCTTCATCTCCTCAGCCCCCCAGTGTCCAGTGTTAGCGTGAAGAGGGCATTCTCGAAGCTCACGGTCATATTAACAAAAAAGGAAAAGTGCGGATCAACGAAGGAAACCTGGGAAAGTACATGTGTGTGTACTATAATAAGATCACGTAATTCCGATGTACAGAGAGTAAAGTTCCGTGTGTTTTGGGCATAGGGTTCATATCTGACTTGTTTGTACTTCCGTGTTTTTTTGTTGTTTCTTTTACAGTTGCACACATTTGCCAAATAAAGTATCGATTTCTTTTTCAAGTTATCTGTGCAGTTATTCTTTGAGTGATCACAAATATCAAAGCTACAAGGATCGTCTGATTAGGTGTCCGTTAGTGTTTATTTTAATTCACCGAAAGAAGCCGATAAACTTTTTTGGGCATAAATATACACCGAAAAAAACCGAAAATTGAATTTTAAAATAAACACCGAAAAAAGTATGCCGAATTTTGCAATAATAGAAACCGAAAACGCGGAACCCTAATTATAACAGACCTGGCTACAACAGACATTTGGATATAACATACCGATTTGTGAGGTTCGGTTGGTGCACATCTATGCACCATTGGCTCAACTTCTTATCTGCATACAACATACTCCTTTTAAAACAGACCAAAATCTTGGTCAAAATCAAGGTCTGTTATAACGAGCTTAGACTGTATTAGTTGAGCACACTGCCACATGGGTGACAGAATTAGCAGTGTGCACGGCTTACATGCGGAGGTACGGGAATTTCGGTAAAAGAGGAGTTTGTCACAAAAACCTTACACAGAGAAAGCATAAAGGACGAGTACAGGGAAGAGACAGGACCAGCACTGCTGGCTTTGCATGTGGAGATTGGTATAATTTTAATATAAAAATGAACGGGGTCCAGTGGAAAGAAATTAAAAAGGACCCATTGTAGAAGAACCTTTCATCTCTTCCTTCTAGGTATTCATCCTTATACTCCGAGCTTTCTGCCCGTGCAATGTTTACCCAAGTAGCAAATCAAATAATTTTGCCTCGCATGATGACAATGCCTTGTTCGATCACACTTATAAGTCTCCATTAATGCCCTCGAGTGCACATGCAGAAATTGAATTCTCGCCATAAGGAAAGCAAGTGAAGAGTTTATCCACATGATAAAAAGGCAGTGCAAAGCAAGTGCAAGAGAAGTCATCGGATCACAGCATACCACAGAAATTGTTGGCAGTCATTAGTATATGTGCACATTCCACATAACCAGGTGGGTCATGTATCCTCCAATGGCTACCAGCAAGCCAGACAAAACAATATGCAGTCAAGTAATTAAAAAAGTAATTACTTTTTAAAGAAAGCTTGCAGTTACTTCTATGGTCTGGTAATGAAATAAATTCAAGTATGGTATGTACTTCTCAGAATATCTGACTGCAACTGATGGCTTCTTTTTCGGTAACATGTAATGGCTCGCATGCATTCCGTGTGCAATAAGACTCACGAAATTGGTGACTGTCGACAGGAGTCCACTTTGTGGCTCTGACTGCTCCTGCACAAACTGCCTGAAAGCAGAGTGCATTACTTGGTTCACATCTCATCTCCACTAAGTGGTCAAGAAAAGAAACACTGAGCAAAGCCCTACAGTCACTGATGATGACTGACTAGAACAAGGCAGCACTTGAACGCACATTAAATTGCAGAGTATGCTGAAGTGCAGACACAGCATTCAGTACCAACAGAAGCTGCAACTAAAGTTGGTTCCATCTAAGCCACTCAATCAATGTCAGGGTTTCTGGTCAAACTGATGGATTGTCTTCCTGCGTTGTGAATGTGCTCTTTGTCAAGGAAAAATCAGCAATACTGTGATGGCAGACATCTTCCAAGTTCTTTCTCGGGTTCTGCAGCACAAGCTTTCGGTCCACGGGCTCCAAGGTGTGGTGTGCTGACACACTCAGCCACCTGTCGCGAACCCCGCTGCCCTCCACTCCCCCCTTCCCCATACCAACTGCAGTGGCACTTTGGCTACTTAGCCACTGCACAAAAGGACAGATGCTTTCAAAGTCAAGGCTGGTCAGCTAAGGGAATCACTAAGAAAACTCACTCGTAAAACCATTGACAATAAAATATCAACAAAATTACAAGTTTACAAGTGGTAACAACTTGCCACAAGAAGTGTCTTGTTCACTCGAGTCACCAACAAACACCAACTTGTCTTGCCTAAGGGATGTGCCCCAAATGAGCACATTCCAACACACTAATAATTTCAAAAATTGCGCTTCAGTTGCGAGATAATCACAGAAACAATGGGCGATCACTCAATCACACTAAATGCATCACATTCTGTACATTTGTTTACAAGAGTCCCAAGTACCATTAACTGAACACTCATACGAGTTCCGACTTCAAAGGGATTCAAACGGTGCTTACCTATTGAATTCAGACAAGGCTGTAGAAACCACCAGTCCATACCCCTGGAAAGGAAGTTTTATTCATGTGCTCAAATCTTCCACACAGTGTATGAACTTGTAGTGCAAGAAAACATTTGGGAGCGACACTGAGAGGACTGTGAAAGCCTAATTCTAAGCTTGTAACACATAGTGGAGACATCCCAGACAGCCCCAACCCTGTTCTAAGCCAAGAAGGCGACTTTTTGGCCCATGAATGGACTAAAGAGAGAATGGAACAATCAACTCCGTGGTGCCATGCACCCGCCGTAGGATCCTGAGAGATAGGCCCATTTAATATAGACAGTTAATGGGGGTGAAAACCAAAAGTGAGCTAACCTTCGGAGCAATACTAAAAAGGTTCTGGAACACATCGAAGCCAGGCCAAAAAAATAAAGTCTTCTAGGTAATGAGAAAGTTGGTTTCTTCGCATTGTTTTTTATTTTTTATTTTTTTTATTTAGAGGATACTACAGGCCATTGAAGGCCCAAGTAGGTGTGGGATACAACATATACATTCATACATACAACGAAAGCAAATAACACGACATTAAAAGGTTTACAACAACTAACTAGCAAATATACAGGATATATTATTTAAAAAAAGGGGAGGGGGGGGAAGCTTTTGACAAGCTAAGAGAACAATTGTCCAAAGAACCCATCCTAAAAGCACCGGAGTTCTCGAAACTTTTCGTGCTACGCACCGATCCGTCGAACACCAGCGTGGGTGCCGTTCTCATACAACAGCATGATGCTGTTCTTCACCCGGTCGCCTCCTCAAGTCATCGACGTCTCCCACGTGAAGCAGACTATTCAACGATCGAACAGGAAGGTCTGGCTCTTGTGTGGGCAGTTAATAAATTTCATATATTCTTGTTCGGAAGGTCATTCATTTTGCAGAGTGAAGACCAGCCGCTTGTTTATATGAATTCCACAAAGCACGTCAACAACCAAGTCTTGCGCTGGAGCTTAACTCTAACGGAGTATGACTTTACCGTTGAGTATATCAAAGGTAGTGAAAACATTGGCGCTGATTACACGAGTCTGATGTCTGTTGCTTAAGAATATTTGTTTATGTCCTTCAGGGTATTATGTACGTAAATAGATTTTTTTTAAGTGCATGTGTGGCCGACGGCGCTTATATTGAGTGACTTTTGACGTGTACGCCGTACACACCACTGTTTATGTTGAAACAATTTTTTTTTTTTATATTCAATGCACATTGTGTAGGCTTTGGTGCACAATCCTTCGCATAGAAACTTGTATTTTTGTGTGCGCGCGTGTTTGTTCATTGGACATAATTTATAGCACATGATAGCTTTCTTACTCAGTGACAGTGAACGTGGTAGAATTGTCTTAAGTGGGGGGTGATTGTGGTCATTGGGGGTGAGTGTGGTGATTTCAACGGAAAAGAAAGAAAGCATTCACTAAGCGATAAGAAAAACGAAGAGGAAGTAGTTTTTGGAGCTCAATGAGACAGCATCAGGCCGGTGGGCTGTGCCTTGCAACTTTACGCAAGGTCGTCCATCGACAGGTCGATCGAGGCTTGCAGCTACACGCAAGACTCGAAGCCTAGCCACATGTCAACAGAGGGATTGGGACATCCCCCCACGCCATTTCTGCAGCGCTCACTCACGAGGCTTCGAATTTTGTCACATTGCTCCCCGGCAAAGCTTGGAAGACTAGCTCATATTCCGTATGTCCGTATAGCTCTCAAGTTTTGAGCAGCGCTCCATACGAGCAAAATTTTATTTAGAGGATACTACAAGCCATTGAAGGCCCAAGTAGGTGTGGGATACAACATATACATTCACACATACCACGAAAGCAAATAACACAACATTAAAAGGTTTACAACTAACTAGCAAATATACAGGATATATTATTTAAAAAAAAGGGGAGGGGGGGAGAAGCAAGCATCAAGCAGTATGTAATTCCATCATGCACTAATACCAAATGACCTATCCAGATGTAGTATGAAGGTTTATACAATCCTAATGTCCATGCGAAAAAGATGAAGGTGCAGCAATGTACAAAGCAAAACATGCTAGTTGTCAAGACGCTCGAGACCTTCTACAAAGTTGGTGTCGATAAATAGTTCGAGAGGTAAACCGTTCCAGTCGCTAATAGTGCGAGGGAAAAAGCTAAACTTAAACATATTAGTACGCGCAAAAATGGGTGTTGGTGAAAACTGATGTCTGTGCCGCGTAGCTCTTGACGCTAAAGGGGAAATATATTGCAATGGGTCTATGCGAGTCTGTCCTTGCTGAAGATGAAACAAGAATTTCAACCGCGCTATTTCCTTCTGGCCTGAAGAGTCTGTATTCCATTAGCCTGCATAAGTTGAGATGGTGAATCCAGCCTTCTATACTTTCCGTAAATAAACCGAACCGCTCGACGTTGCACCATCTCCAACTTCTGGATATCTTTCTGAGTGAATGGATCCCAAACGATATTTGCATACTCCAACTTGGATCTGACTAATGAATAATATGCATGCAGCTTAACCTGAATCGGAGCATCGTTCAACTTTCTTTTAATGAGAAACAACTTCCTGGATGCCGAGGTACAAATAAGTTTTATATGAGGAGACCAAGAAAGTGTGTCCGATATAATTAAACCAAGATATTTACATTCTCGCTCCACAGTAACCGGGGTGTCCGCAATATTATAAATGTATTCAAAGGGTTGCTTCTTTCTTGTAATACGTAAAAGTGTTGATTTAGCAGAGTTAAGCTTCATTTTCCACGTATCGCACCATGATGCAACGGAATGCAAACTATGATCTAGCAATAACTGATCCGAGCTCGAAGTTATTTCTTTAAAAATAATGCAATCATCGGCAAAAAGACGTATATGGACACCTGCGTCAATGATTGATACAATATCATTTATGTACACCAAGAACAAAAGAGGACCTAAAACGCTCCCTTGGGGGACCCCTGACGTTACAGGCAGAACTGGAGAGATGCAACCTCCGACGGAAACAGACTGTGTGCGATGTGACAAGTATGCAGCAATCCAGTTAACAAAACCATGTGGAAGACCAAGCTGTTCAAGTGTAAAAAGCAGTTGTTCATTAAGCACCTTATCGAAAGCTTTGCTGAAGTCCAGGAAAAGCACATTAATTTGACCTTCCCTATCGAGGATTTGCGCAAACTCATGGATGGTAGTGACGAGTTGGGTCGTAGTTGATAAGCCTTTGCGAAATCCATGCTGAAATTCTGTTAGAAAATTACGACTGTCCAGCAGTTCATTGATTTGGCTGCAGATGATATGCTCTATTAATTTACACGAAGAAGTAGTCAAGGAAATTGGACGGTAGTTCTCAACTGCTAGGCGATCCCCTTTTTTGTGCACAGGTACCACTATGGCAGTGCGCCAATCATCTGGCAGCGAATTCTGAAACTCACACAACTTGTCATGCATGCTATCGGAATGCTCAAGTTGGTTTATAGTTGCCAACCGATTTTTCAGACGTCTTCGTGGGACCAACAATCAACCTACAGAGTTAATGTATACCAGTGACTAAAATTTCACCGCCGTTCAATCCGTTACTAAACTTTTCAGACTTCATTTGCACAGTTTGTCCACAAGAAGGTCGCCCTGAATTGAGTTTCCGCCATTTCTTTTTTGTCTTGTAGCCTCGGTACCACACCCTAAGAAGAGAGAAGCTGGACTGAAGCTATAGTCAGATGGTCCAGTTTCATTAGAGCAGCCACAGCCACCGTTTATCTCGTCGACAGTCACAGCACTGCTGCCGTTCTTTTCGTGTTCTCAGAATACAGGTGCTTTCTGCCGATAGGTCTACTACTGAAGTATATAGCTTGGTTGGCCGAACTTCAAGCAGTTCCAAATGACTCCACCAAAACCCCGACAAACGCTGCAAATGTAGCAAGATGACAGCGGTGAAAACAGCTGCTCCATTAGTGCCGAGGCCACCTGGGCGGCGCCAGAGCCGTATATGTAGAAAGTTCGGCCATTCGTTGGAAAGTATAGGAGACAAATGAGGAGGCGCCATTGGCCAAAAGCGGGCTGGGCGTGTTCCAGGGCGTCTTCAGAAATTTGAATGTGACCAACTAGAAGCTGGAAATAATACCCTGGCGGTGGTCGCGAGAAACAAACCTGATAACTGAATTGGGGTAACTCTCGATGGCTGAAAATATGGTACACGTGATGTTTCAATCACGCTTATCCAAAATGATGGTGGAAGGGTGTGACTAGTGGAACGATCGACATAATCCGTACGCCAAGCGCCGAGGGCTGGGAATCTGCCGCCCGAGCGGTCAAACTCTGTCCGTGCAAAACAGAGTTGAGCGGAGCATTCGTTTCTTACATCTTTCTGCATGATCAAGATCAAAACAACACGTGAACCCTATTTTCAACCACGAAGCGTTACTACAATTCACTCTTATGCGCTTATTAAAACCATACACGAACATAGACCTTTGATCAGAACTGTTTCTGGCTACCCCCGCTAGGAGATTCTTTTCGACTCCTGGTTGGTCAAGAGAGCATGCCAAGCCCTCTTTCCGAGTCTACCGCACGCCCTAGCTCTGCCCGCGCCTCCCATTGACCAAACCCTCTACATATACGGCTCTGGGCGGCGCTATTTCTGGGAGTGGGCAATCTTTTGGTGTTTCTGGAACCGGGGTGGGCTGTCTTTCGAGGGTGGGGCACCCCTTGGAATATTAGAGTACATAGTGGGAAAGAGCAGGAACACGAGATTTCAGTTCCCCGTTCTGGCAGAGTCGAACTGGAACATCGCATCCTCTCCCTCTCTGATTCCCGGCAGAACTTTTAGTTGGAGTAGTTGCTACTCGTTTCCCCACCCCCCCCCTTCTGTGAAGTAATATTTGTTAAAACACAATATTTAGAGGAATCTGTGAATGTCCTCCAGAGTACCCTTAGAACGTGCAGCCCCTCACACTTTTTGTGACTCAAACTGAAAGCTTGTTTCGTCCAACCTAACTTAAACTCAAAATTAGAGTTGCAACAGACACGGCTGCCTCGACAGCAGAGACGAGGGTCGAGTCAACTGGTGGTGGCACTTAAAAACTTGTTTACATTATTAGAATAGAAAGCAAGGCGAGTCTAGTGTGGCCAGGGGGCCCATGGGCTTTGAGCGTCAGTCAACACTGCGAAGCCGAGTTGTGCACACCGGAACACTTGCTACACGCAATTCTGTAGCACCATGCTAATGCGATTCTGTGACTCAAAAATATTCTTGAAAATGAAGCAAAGAGAGAAGGTGAAATTCTTCAATGTCAGGAAACCCGCCCCCCTTGAAGTGCATCAGGAGGCACATGGCAACAAATCCCTCGTCCAAACTCCGCATTTGGAGAGGGTCTTAAAAGAAGGTCTAAACATTCCTGGGTGATGACAGGAGGACTGAATGACCGATCATAAGCTCACTGAAAAAACAACTTTTCGAGGTTATTGTCGGATTAGCATCCAGGAAATTGCAAACACAGTTTTTATTTCATTTAGTGCAGCACATGCAACCCCCCCGCACATTGCGCCATGCAAGAGAAGCTGGCCCCTGCAATGTGACAATGCTCCTGCAAACAAAACCTTTTAAACACAATAGGTACCGCTGACAAACAATGTGACGGTCATCGTGTATGCTCCTCCGATATAAATTAAGAAAGTGTTGAAACTTTCAGAGTACTTGCCTGGTTTCTGTTTACTAGAAGCTCGTAAATTATAAAAAGTAAAATCTGGTAACTTAAAGGGGCCACGAAATTAATTTTGGGCTCGGATAGATTATCTTAGATTGAGATTTTACTGATTGCATATCGTTTAGTGGGCCAAAAGAAAGAGAATAGGAAGTCAAACCCCTGCTTTTCGGTACGAAAAATTTAAATAGCAATTGCTAACATTTTCTAAATTAATTTTTTATTTTGAAAATTAACGAACTTGGACCATATATGAAGACTCGATATAATTGAGAAGACTTGGTCCCTTTAAAACCAGGTGTGTCAAGAGAACAATCTTCACGTCCAGCCATACTCACATTCAGGGCAAGCTCATTGTCTACGATGGAGAGCTTCACAATGTACGGGTTGGCAGCCTGCAGGAAAGAGCCCGGCGTCAACTCGCCTCGTGGCCCAAGAAGGCAGCGGTGCAGCCACCCACCTCATATTTCCGATAGCTGACGAGAATGGTGAGCACCAGGACAGCATCGTAGCCACAGTGTGCCCGGGAGTGCTTGTCAGCAAGCAGCTGGGAAGACAGAGCAGTCCCATCGAGCAAACGTTCATTTTGCTCGGCCCATTTTCAGGGTTGCATTTTATGGTTGCAACACACAAGCGTATATCGTATTGACCGAGGTCGCGTCTCGATTCCGTGACCCCCAGGTCAAATTGACGGAAAACGACGCACACGCAGCGGGAAAGAACAGAGATACGTGTGTGCCATGTCAATCTATCCCAGATGCTTGCACAGCCTTTCGCAGAAATCTTCCTTTCGCTCAGACTCAGACTTAGAGAAAAAGTGTTGCTCTGGGGAGTTTCCACTAGTGTTGGCATGCTCTATTTTGTGAAGCTAAACTCTTGCTTAAAACTGCACAGGAAGTGCAGTGTCCCCTACAGTAAACAAGCACTTTGTTTTTCTATTAAAGATAGTGAATTGTGCTCGAGAGATCACAATAGGACCATTCATAAACTTTCACCTTAATATCCCGCAAACAAATCACATAAGTGCTTCACGAAATTATAAATTTCAGACAACCTCCAGAAACACTTGGCGATTTCATAGGATAACATGAGCCTTTTCATGTGCATACTCATTCATTATCTGCACACTTGCAACATGCTCTCCTCCTGCTACAGTGAAAAGGAATGTGCGCAAAAGATGCTGCGGCAGTCGGCTATGTTACAACACTCTGTCAGCGATGAAATAAAAACATGAATAGTAGAACTCTAAGCTTCTAGGGGAGATTTCCGCAAGTTTCCAATACTTTACGTTCTAATTTAAGTCGCATGGCAAGTATTCTCTGCAAATCCTAAGTGGTGAACCCAAGACACGTATGCCACAGCACAAAATTAGTTGCTTCTTGGCAGCATATTCGCTTCACAGAGTTCAGCCTTTCATGCCAAGACACCTGGTTGGTGTATGCAATCGTGTCCTAAGAAGCTCTACAGAAAAAGTTGATCTTGATTCCGGCGCAACACTACTATACTGAAGGAAGAGTCTTCATACTTCAGAAAGGTCAATGGCTGAAGCAAGAAGCAATGGTTGAGTGGCATTTGCCAACTTCTGATTTGACAACGGCAATAAGAGGCAAGTGTGAAAGTTGCACAAGTCTGAACCTTCTCCGATCCTACAGAAAAACCCTGTTTCTAAACGCCGTAGCAGATGGAACCTGAAGTTGAAAACTATGGTGGAATAGTCAAACACTGCTTCACATACTTTCTAAACTGGTTCTATCATCAATGTACCTCCGTCGAAGAAAAGCGCAGACAACACTCTCATGATGTCGAGCCACTTTGACTACTACTTCAATCCTTCGAAATATGTGAGGAGTATGTGACACACAACGTTAGGAGTACTTTACTGACTTGAGGAAGTGAATGCGAGATCTACACCCATCAAACAATTAGATAAAGCTAATGAAGTTAACACCCATCAAACAATTAGATAAAGCTAATGAAGTTAATAGAAGAAATTGCTGTCCTCACATCAGTAAAGTGCTTGACCGTATGTACACAGAGCACATTTAGTACAAACACGACAGCGTCCCCTTTTCTTCTAATTTTACGCATGCAGTACTTCAACCCTAAATTGGGGCCCCGCATGGGCCTAGTCCAATAGACTAGTAATTTTGAATGACAGTCTTTCAGATGAGAGGGAAGACTGGGCCCAACTGGGCATTACCTATCGTGTTAACTATGTAACTCTTAATTAAAGGAAATAACTTGCTGCATGAAAGATGTCGTAAAAAAAAAAAAGAAAAAGGAAAGGCTGTTTTTGTTTTCCTCCTTACAGCCAGAACGACAACATTGCAAGAACTGCCAAGCAAAATTAAAAACAACAAAATAGGCTACCAAGTAAAGTATCCAAATTTCTTGATTACCAAACAAAGTGTTACAAAGAAAATAAGATTAAAACCGCATCCTCCACAAAAGGAAAATGGCCATCTCAGGCATTGCCCCCCTGGTCACACAGCCTCCAAAAGCCCCGAAAGTTGTGTCAGCTCACCCGAAGTATGGCTTCAAACACACAGTTCATCATGATGTACTCCAGGAGGGTATTCTGGCTCACATTCTCAGTGGCCTGAAAACAATATAAGGAAGGCACCACTGCACAAAGCATGCAGAATAACTTAAATGGGCACAGACGCTAAAAAAAAAAAAAAGCACTGTAGAAGTTGGTCTTGGGTCGTATAGACCGACACACTGTTTACAAACAAGCCGCGTTTGTCCACACTTGGCGTGGGCACTGCGCTTGCGCAGAAACCAAATTCGCGTGTAGTGAAGCGTCTGCGCATGTGCAGTGCCGTCGACAGCGCCACCGCAGCTGCGTGACGTCGGGGCCACGTGTTGGTCTATACCAAACCAGTTTACTGAAGCAGAAATTTCTCAAACAATTGTATGTGTGTTGATACGGTACTGACAATGCGCACGCGTTTTGCCCAATAATCTTAATCACCTCTTCCGAATGGTGCCACATGCAAAGTTGAAGCAGCAAAACATTTAGGAAGTCACCGATGTTGTTGCAATGATTTCTGTGCAATCTGACTCGCAGGATCTGATCAAGAATCCTAATGGTGCATACCACAAAATATGCTGCCCCAAAGTTGAGCGCACGCCAAAGGTAATCAGTGGAGCAGTAGCCGAACAAGAGAGATACGGCACTTTCGAGTTCCGACCTAGACAGTCAGTCGGCACTGTACAGTGGGAGTGTATGCACACGTGTGGCACACCATTCTAGCTATAGTCAGTGTATTTGAGAATTCAGTAGAATTGCCGCCTGATGCACACATTCGTTGCCTTCTGCCGGGCTTGTGCTGCGCACGAGAAAAAAAAGCATTATCAAGGGCAGAAAGTTTGTGCTGGAGGCAGAGCATCTTCTACACAATCGTGTGGGATGCTGGTTAAAAATAGAGGTGTGCAAATAGCAAAAGCTGTATAATACAATATGGCAGCAGCGTTTAAATGTAGCCCCCATCAGCATATGGATCAGTAAGAGGGTAAAGAGAGGTAAGGAAAAGGAGGATCGACCCGAAGGGTCCGCAGCACTTGAGGGGTCAGGCTGAAGAGGCAGCACACATACTTCCTAAACACCACACCTGCTGTTCCAAGTCCGACCTGCCCACGGCACAACCGAGGCTATGAGGCACCATGAGCAAAGCATACCGTCACTAGAACGAGGAGGAATCGAAGGACAAGACACTTGAGGCTGTCTGTGTACTCTCCAACTAAAAGGCCGCAGATCAGGTCGATGAGCTCCTGGAATACAAAGTGAGGACAACAACAGGTAAGCGCCTTCGATACCAGAGTGCAGCCGCCCCAAACGTACCTGCATCGTGGGCTCGGCCGTATCAAATCCAATGAGCAGGTTAATGATGTCAAAGCCATAGTCCCCATGTGCTTTCCTGTAGACGCCTTGAATGAGGGCGCACAACGTCTGCAAACAGCAGGGCCTCACAGGTTGAAGTGACAGACCTCTCGGAAAGTGCCCATGCAAAGGACCATACTTGGAAGCAGTCCTCCAGACTTTACCCCTCGAACCGCGAAGCCCATTAAGACTAAAACTATCAAAGAAACTGTGGTCGAGTAAAGAAACAGAATGAATCACTTCGGGTGATTAGGGAATAAATGATTGGCTACAGGAGCAAGAGAGTGTGCTCTTCTTAGGTTGCAGAATTGCTCGTTGGCACGATTGCCTCCAATGCCAAGAAATTCTCGGTCACAGAAAGGAGGTAGACATTGTGAAACCTCTGTTATATCACTGCGAAAAAAGCATTGATAGTAGTGTGTACAACCGACATACAACACGAGGCAGATCACCAACAAAATAGTACCTCTACCTCATATCACGTGCACAAAGATTCCAAGCTTCTAATCTCACTCCAACCTTAATGAAGGGCACATGACATTGCTTTCCTGGTTTGCCAGGGGTTAATGAATTGCACTTAATAAGAATTCCACCAAATATGAGATAAGCATATTTGTTTGTGAGCACAATCAGTAAGCACCAATGCCATGAGACTGAAAGAAAAAAATATGCAAACAATGAAGGCAGATGACAGCAACAGCAGTCTTTCAAAATTGCACCAATGAGACAGTTTCACCACAAAATTTGCATCCACTTGCATAAGCTCAGCTTCCACAGCATTAGCTAAGGAGCAGGAAAACTTTCCTGGGTCTTTCCAGACTGTCACTGATCAAATTCTCCATGTTAAGGGGGAAAAAAATGAAAAGGAAATTATTGGGGTTAAGATGCCAGACCAATGAAGGGCATCTGGCATGCCCCAGTGAAAGGCAGAGGGTCAATTTAGACCCCCTGGAAATGCAATAAGAATCGGTGACCATATGAATTTTGGAGGCTATCATGGTTCTCTAAACACATGTTCGGCAAACTAGCATCTCATCTGGCAACATTGTAATACACAAATGCTCACAGCTGGGGACAGGCAGGACAGAGGAAACTCAGGACTCCCTCCCTCCCTTGTAGCTTTAGCCCAGTCTCAAACCTGCCTCCCAGTGGCCCCGGTGCTGGGGCAACACTGACTAGGTTTTACCAGAAGAAAACAGGCAACTCCCTCAGGCGGGGGGTGATTGTTTAAGTTTTTTTTGCCCGATCCTCCAAAGATCATCTTGGTGATATCTCACACCACCTGGCGATAGTTACGAAATTGGAGAGGGAAAGCAAATCGGCTTAGACGGGGGAAATCATACCTCTGGGTTTTAACTTCTAGGCTAGGTGAAACAAGTTACCGCCCGTTCCGTTATAAAGGGTACAGCGGTTGGCATCCATCCATCCATCATCTCAACAATGAAACTTGACTGACCTAGCCAGTAAACAAATAGAGCGGGAAGGCATGCATGGAGATGGCGAGAACTGCCAGACATTTTAGAGTTTTTATGAGGTGTAAAACTCCAACAATTCTTTTAAAAGCATAAACAAAAGTGCACAATGTTGCCCACAAAGCAGATTCCCCACAATAGATTACTACCAGTTCATATTTAAGCTTAGATGCCCCAGCTTGCAGACACAAAATAGACCAATCTCACCAGCCAGTTTGACTACGCCACCACTGCCGCAATGCATCGAGGGAACTTTAGTCTTTCTGCGCATGCGACAACCTCGCTGGAGCTCTGCGCGTGCAGGGCGCGAACAGTCTCGTAGACTGCCGATAGCCCACTGTGAACTCAAGTTATGGCTGCCTCGCGCATGCGCCGAACACTTGGTGAGATCGGTCTATTGCCGAGGAGACACCATCCCCACCACACAACTGTGTGCCTGGTACAAAAGCGGAAGAAGACAGCCATACTGAAGATGTGGGGACAACTCTCAAAAGAAAGCCTTACCTGCAGAGCATTGACAATTCGGATGCGATGCTCACTTCGCAGTGCTTGGACGCAGTGGTAAAACAAAGTGTTAATTGTTTCCTGGAATTTAAATTAAAATTTCCGGTAGGAAACAGCAAGATGGCTTCCAGAAATGACAACGGCAAGTGTTGTGTCCAACGCAAAAATATCTACCTTAAGTTTCACAAGGTCTTCTCCAGACAAACTGTCGAACTGCTGTTGGATGAAGTTGACATTAACCTGCAAGTGAGACAACCTTGTCAAGAAACACCCGAGTCACACTGGAAATGACCTATTCGGGTTGCTTACCGAGCACAACTACTACTACTTACTTTCAGCAAGAAAAGCTCATCCCAGAAGTTCTGGTTGTCTATGGAAGGATCCTTTCCCTGGAGCCAAAATAACACCGCATCAAATATTTCCGCGTTGGCAACAGAGCTATGTTTCTCACTTACTTTGAAGAAGCTTTCGTAGATCTGAACGAATTTTTCTTTCAATGGCTGTCTAGAGTTTTGTTTGGCAATCATATTGCGTCAGTACGCAAAGCAGCGAGTCGCATACAACCTAGACACGAAAAAGATGAAAGACCAAGCTCTTTCATAAAGCCGGAGGGGTAACTCAAAAATAAGGGGCTTCTTGTACTAGTTTGTCCTCCCCAACAATCGCACAACAGAACTCAAACGTGTGCGCAAAGCACGAAAGACGAGAAATATTCTCGAAAGCGGATTGCAACTTCCTAAGCACGATGGAGCACTGGACTGTACGAAAATTCGAATCACGTATGGGGGCAAAATTTAGCGAAACAAATTAAGAACTCAGAATGTAAAACTTATTGCTATAATTGTTTTGACAGATAAACGAGATGTATTGCAGCAGTCGGGAGTATTTTGTTCCGCTCTCCAAACTGAAACGATGATGGCAAACCCTAACACCTACCTGCCACCGCGGTGACAAGTCTACAGCAGGCTTGCCCCACAAATGAAATATCCGTTTTCAATACGGGGGTTCGCGGCTCGTTTATAATCGCGTAAACGTGTCAAAGCAAACCAAATTTTTGGCCGGAATTCATTTACAGCACGATATCTAGCCACTCTCCAGAAATGCTTACATACCCGGATACCCGTGGTTCAGCCAGTTCAGCTGGCTTTAGCAGTGGCTTGTTTCCAGATATTTACGCCTCTTCTTCACAACATTATTCATATATCGTATTTACATCACACTTCAAAAAAAAAAAAAAAAAAATACGGTCGTGATATTGAGGTAAATACTTCGACCGGGCCTTGACAAGGCGGGGAAGACAGGCCAGGCGGGCGAGCGCTTGGATTGGGATTGTCTTCTGTTAGCCCAGAGTTGGATACCTAAATAAATGGATAAATATTGACTGTTTTCTTTATATCGGGCGGTAGCTTGCATCACCTAGCTTTAAATAATTTTTTTTTATATTTAAAGGAGTAAAGCTATAGACCAGAATATAAAGCGCCCAAAAAAAAAAAAAAAAACTTTGCAAAACGAGCTACAGACCTTTGCAAAAAGAGCTCTCTGGCCGCCGCCATTTTGCGACTCGAGCGACCCTATCAGCCAGAAATTTCTGCCACCCGTATGAGCTGTGAAAATCCGGTCAGCGTGGCTCCCCACCTGCATTGCGCATTCAGAGTTCGCCGGCTTTTCTTGGAAGTTTTTACTTTATTTGCCTGCATGGGATGCTTACACTTTGTGTGTTATCTTCCACTGTAAGAACCAAGGAATACCAGGGCTCGTTTCCTGAACAACCTTCGCAGGAAACGAACGAAGAAAGCGAGCATCAAGCAGCACGCGACACAGGCAGTTCAACGTTCTCGGAGGATTATTTCCGTTGAGATGATCTCCAAAAAGCCTTTGCGGCTATGTTCCGGGTTTCGCGAGAAAAGCTGATGGGGCTGGGTCCGGGGTGGGGGGACGGAAAAGACGTGTTCGTTCATTTGCTTTGAAGCTGTGCAAAAGAAAGCAGCTCTCTTCAAAACGTGCTCCAAAACACGCCGGATTAAGTCCGACCGCCGTGAAGTGACTACCGCCGACACTGTATATTGGACAGTGGCGTAGGCAGAGGGGGGTTTCGGGGGTCGAAACCCCGGAACATTTACAAATATAACAAGGTGATTATAACATGGGAAGGAAAGGCAACAGGAAAAATAGAGATAAGACGAGGCCTTAGGCAGGAATGCCCGTTATCGCCTTTGCTGTTTATGTTGTATCTGAGAGGATTGGAGGATAGACTAGAGAAAGGGGGGAGTGGGCTTGGATTCGACCTTTCTTACAGGACGCTAGGCCAAAAAATTCAGCAATCTTTACCGGGATTGATGTATGCGGATGATATGGCTAACAACAGGACAGAGTTGCAGGAATTAATGAGCATCTGTGGTAGGGAAGGAGAGGAATTAGGTTTAGAATTCAGTAGCGAAAAATCAGCAGTCATGATTTTTAACGAGGATGAAGTTGAGAGGCTGAAGATACAGAAAATTACAGTTGAGAGAGCTAGTAAATACAAGTATCTAGGAGCATGTATATGTGATGGTGCAGAATCTCTCAGTGAGCATGAAAAGTATATAATAGGTAAGGGCAACAGAAATGCAGCTGTAATGAAAAATAGAGCACTTTGGAATTACAACAGGTATGAGGTGGTGAGAGAGATTTGGAAAGGGGTCATGGTGCCTGGCTTCACTTTTGGAAACGCAGTGCTATGCATGAAATCCGAAGTGCATACGAGACTAGAAATAAAACAGCGCGGAGTATGTAGACTGGCTCTGGGGGCACATTACGAAACGCCAAACCAGGGAGTACAAGGAGACATGGAATGGGCGTCATTTGAGAGCAGGGAAGCGGTGAGCAAGATAGAATTTGAGGATAGGTTGAGGCAAATGGATGGGGAGCAATGGGCACGAAAGGTTTTCAGCGTGTAGACACAAAGTGGAGACAGCGCACTAGGAAATTAAGAGGAAAGTTTTTGGGCTATAGCGAAGATACGGAAGAGCAAGTCTCAGTTAAAGGGGCCCTGCAATGACTTTTTTACTATTTTTTAACACCGAACCTGAGCGCAGTGAACGTAGTAACTTAGTGAAACTTTTCCTTTCTCGAAATTCCCTTTATTTTAAAAGTTATAGGGGAATTAAAATTACAAAAACAAGCAAAAAATAACCTCCCTCATGACGTCCTTGGTTGCTTGAGAGTGGCCGTGAACTAGAGGAGAAGTAGTGAGCTCATTGAGCGCTCACGGCTGCCGCACTCCGAGTCGACGGCGCGAGAGGGCGCCATTGAAGCGTGCTCTGGATATGCTGTATGCAGCGGGCAGCCAGGGCGGCTCTCGTGGCATTTGCTGCGCGATTAAATACTAATTCGGCATGACACTTCATTGGCCACAAACTACAGCTAACACGGGGGAAAGATCAGTTCAGAACGGGAGCCACTTCGCGCTGCCATACCGCTAAAGGGCTAAATCGCCAGCCAAGCCTGCGCCGAGAGCCTTGCACGGACTCACATTGAGTACATAAATCGAAAAGGAACAGTTTCTTTATCTCGCGACACACGACATGAGATACAACATTTCCACAAAAACCTCTCAGTGAGACTTCTGGTGTTGAACTGCGCTCGCCAAACTACGGACATCCACATTCAAGCTACTAACTGCGAGTCGCAAAACATTGTGGAGGTTCTCGTCAGTCATTCGTGAAGGCAGGCAACGGGCAGCGAATTAGACAACTTTATCTTTTTTTTTTTTTTCTTCTTTTTTAGCTGACCGCGTTGGAGGGGGGGGGGGGGGGGGGGGGGCACTGGGGGGCTAGGGGCCGCATGATACTGCCTCGCGGGCCGGATCCGGCCCGCGGGCCGCTGGTTGCCGACCACTGGTCTAACTGAACACAAAAGAAACGTAAAGATAAAAGCGCCTAATTCCGAAATTGCGACACATGTACAAGAGTGCAGAGACTGCACAGCCGAGTGGTTCGGTACAACGATAGTATGCAAAGAGGTCAATGACGCCAAAGGGGTTGTAAAAGAGACAGTAATAATTAGGTCGATCGGCAATTGCATAAGCCAAGCGTATATGCGAAAGCTTTCTTGCGAGTATGAATTTAACAGGTCTTGTGTTTTTCGCGAGAGGTAGCCCTTTTGCCAGGATCTTGTTCCGTTTGTATGCGTAAGCAACAAAATAAGCAAAAAAAAAAAAAAAAAGGTGTAACAGGTCGATGGGTTCTAACTGCAGTCGGTTCCGTGTGCTTATGGCCTGAATGTCCAACGGGACTGAATGTCCAACGAGACAAAAGATCCAAGTGAGACATAATGTCCAACGAGTTTGAATGTTCAACGAGTCTGAAGGTCCAACGGATATGGAATGAACCTTGCATATAATTTGGCAGATATTCCTTTTTTCGAATAGTAGGATTACTGATAGTTACGGCGGTGAAAAATACGTTTGATGAAACAGGGAACCGGACGTTTCGGTGCGGAGATCTTGGTACGCGGTTGTTCCGGTATACGTGGTCATTTCGGTACCGGGCTTTTCAGTACCGGGCTTTTCGATGCACGGCTATTTTAGAGTGCCGCTGAGCTTGCCCCGCTGACGTTGCCTCTGTGAAGTCCCCCGAATAAAATTAAAATTATGTTCGTGTATCTTGTAGACTTCATAAAAAAAAAAATTATTGTTCATTCTATATATCTAAGTATAAAGATAATTTCTATTATTAAAAATGAAGTGATAAAGGTCCCACATGCTACAAGATCAAAGACAAAACTCGTTGACTATTGACAATTGGTCACGCGTTTGCTTTTTAGAAGGTTGTAACTCTGACGTGGAAACAAATGTGGGGTCCACGAGAGTTCCAAGCTTAGAAACATTAATCGTGCCTATCCCCAGCCACAGTCTTATTTCCGTATTGTACGGGTTGCTATATTTTCCTTATTATTGTCCCTAGTCCCGCAAAGATGATGTCCCCCGCATGGAATAAAAACGCCTGATTAAATTGTTAGTATTATTGTTAGGTCAAGTCGGTGTAATATGTGCAATTACAATAAATTTTAATTTATTTTTTATTATTTTTTACAAAACGAAGGTGAACGTTGTAGACATTTGTGATTTCACTTTTCGGTCCCCAGAAACAAAAATTCGATCCTCATAAGAAAATCAGCGTTCCTTCCATTACGCCTTTGTGGTGAGGTTTTGTCCGGTGATTATCCGGAGGATTCGGCGCATTGACACTTATCGCGACGATTAGTTTCGCATCCTTCAGCCACCAAAGCTATTGCTGTCGCATTGGACCATGCGTTAAGCAACAAGTACGTAATTTTAATAATGAATACAATACTTTTTTAGAATTGGCTTCCGTCGTTTCCGCTCTTCATTTTCTGGTCACGTGGAAAGCAGCAATCGCACCGATAGGCACCCAGTAGCATACCGAGGCTGCGATAGGATTTCAACTGGTTACAACTCTATCGCAGACCCTCTGCGACAGTGCGACTGCGATTAATTCATATGCGCGAATTACAAGTGCACATATGACCACAGGATCAGGAGGTCAACCCCTCGCTCGATCTTCCCAAATTCCATTATGCTACAGTCGCGAGTGAACATATTCAAGTAGAAACCTGCTACGCCGATATAGTTCTACTTCCAAATAAAAATAAAGAAAAGCTTGACTTTTTGTTCCGGTTATCAGCGGACGGCTTCAGAAGGCTCTGCGCCCTGCGAGCTGCGAGATGGCTTTGTTTTTTATTCGCTCAAAAAGAGGATAGAAAGCCCGGCACGTCGCGAAAAAAAGTGGCCGCCGAAGGTAGGAGAGGAGGGGCGGGGAACCAGGAGCGGAGGGATGGATGGATGGATGAATGAATACGGCTGAGCCCTTTGGATCGGGCGGTAGCTTACGCCACCTAGCCATTTTGTTTTACCATTTAAGCTTAGAATATTTAAATGTGAAATCTATATTCACTCCGCAGTGCAAAGAAAGTGAGGCTATGAAACCCCCTTGCCATCAGTGGATAAGAAAATACCTAGTTTTCTCTCGATTTCTGCCACCATTCACTTAATCTTTGCTTGGTAATCTCTGCAGTCTTGAAATCCACTCTCCCTTCGCTGTCTCCAAAACCCAATGACTTTATTAAGTCTATGTTGTCTTCGGTAGGCATAGGGTGAAGCCCTTTACAGTAGAGTATCAAGTGCTCAGCCGTCTCGTCCTCCTCTCCACAAGCAGTGCACACTGTATCAATTTCCTGGTACTTCACTCTGTATGTTCTGGTTCGCAGAACACCCGTTCTTGCCTCAAACAGCAATGAGCTTCCCCTAGAATTGTCATAAATGCTTTCTTTG